AACGAGACGATGCTGTTTGAAAAATAATAAACTAGTCGGGATTTATGACGACACGAGGTTCGTACACGGCTGGGGGTGCGACATGATCCACAAGAAAACTGCGAGAGCAAGCAAAGAGAGAGAGGTGACAGAAAACTCGAGAGAAAGAAACATTCAGACGACCTCCTGTCTGCGACGTCGAAAGCACATGACTGGCAAACCGCAGCAGATGACTTCATAGGAAAATTCTTCAGCCTCGCCAGCTGAGCTTTGCGTTTGCGTTGGTCGTCCTTGAGGTCCACGTGTCCCCGATGCAGCTTGATCTTGTGCTGTTGAGCTGCCGGCATTGTTGCTGCTCGTGCGTCGCATAGCTGCTTCTGCTTCTGCGTCGGTTTCAGCGATCATGCCGTATCTCTGCAAATATATCAGACAGGGACATGTAATGGTGATGACGAACCACTTACATCTTCATCACGGCAAGGAGCAACATCGATGGGACGCCTGGAGATTCTCACAGGAAATGAGCTGAAATGCAATCGCCGAGGCTGAAGCTGAATTGTTCGGGGCGAATTTGCAGGTCGAGTGCTGGAGCGCAGGAAGCCAAATAAGTTGTGCAGACCAAGCGGAGATGACCTATCTGCTGAGCGAGGAGGCTTGCGGTCTGTGTGATCGCCGAAGAAGTCATTGCCCTGAACAGGCGTCAGGATAGACAGAGCTCAGAAATGATCACACTGGACTCACATATCTTGCCAAGCCTCTATTGTTTGTTTGCGGTCTAGGCGCAATAGAGATCTTATGAGACAAATGAGCGAATGATCAGGGTATTTATAACGAGCTCACGTCTCTTGGTCGAGTTGCATGTCCCTGATAAAGAAGTGAGATGAGGCATGAAAGATAAGACAGGTGACTCGCCTTGAGCTTCACGTGAGGATCAGCATTGTCCTGAGCGACACACAAAATCGCTTAGAAAAGAGCCTGATGAAAACGACAAACAAACGCACGCCAATCCAACGAGCACGCTTGAGTGCTGATTCCAGACTCCATACATAGATTTTTGCATTGATTCCACAGATAGCACTGGCAAAGTATTGTCCATCAGAGGACATGGCAACAATCATAATGTGATCGTCGTGCCAGAGTGGGTCTCCAAGTTGCTGATTTGCTTTGAGGTCCCAGATGCGAACTGAGTAGTCCCTTGATGCACTGACAAGATGGCATCCATCGGGAGACAGACAAATGGATTCAACAGAGTTGGTATGACCCAGAAAAACGACGAGTTTTTCCCCGTCGATCGATTGCCATTTTCGGATGGTGTGATCATTTGAGGCAGAGAAGATGTATGCCCCATCCTTGGACCAACACAACGATGTCACCCCATGGTGATGTCTATTTATCTCGATCAGCAGCTTGCCGTCCTTTGACCACACCCGGACCATTTTGTCATCGCCGCCGCTCGCGAATTTGTCGCCTTGTGGAGAGTATTTGACCGTCCGCACTCTTTTATCGCCTCTCTTTATGGGTTGTGCAATTTGTCTGCCAGTGGCCGGGTTCCATCGTCGTATAGTGCCGTCCGAAAATCCACCTGCTACCTCCAACCCATTCGGAGACCAATCAAGGCACCACACATAACTGTCATGATTCCCCTCCCACTGGCACGGGTCACCGACCACGCTCCCCTCCTTTACATTCCACAGCCATACTCTGCCATCATAGCTTCCACATACGACCATTGTTTCATCCAACGGCATCGCCATTGCGGTTACTCGGTTTCCATCACCATCACAACCCTTTCCTACTGGCTTTCCATCTCTTGTCCACTGGTGAATTGAACCATCGTTCGAGGTACTCATTATATTGTCACTGGTGCCCAACCAGGTAAGGGTCTTGTTGAACAAGTTGTCGCATTTGATCATGCCCTCTGGCATCAAACTCCCTGCTGTACGTTCTGGCGTTGGCTTCTTCCACGATGTGGTCCGAGTATTGTGGTTGACGAAGTAGGATCGACCGAGTGGCGAGACGTGCCATTCGCATCCAGGAACGAGCAACTCCGAGGGGTTATCTATGTTCGATCCTGAGTTCCCCGCTCTCATCGCACTTTCGTTGCTCACCTAGTCGCACTCCTGGTAAAGGTCTGTGCATTGCATACATGAGGAGTGCCTCGTCGCGATACAATGGTCTGTCATCATCATGGCGCTCTGTCCACATAGGAGGGAGCGCCTCATTCCCTCCTGCTCGATGTTGAGTCGGTCAATTGGTTTCACGATGTGCTTGCTCACCTTTCCAAAGTGCATCCTGGCGGTGCTGTGCACCATAAGCCGGCGGATTCTCAGAGCGCTTCAGGGGAGCAATAGGTCCTGATACTAGATCTGACAGCAGTCCTTGGTCCGCCTCTCTCCGTTTTGCTGGCGTGCTTGACTCGGCCGTTTTGTTCAGCATGACGACGATTGGGGACGTTGGTGATAGTGGAGGTAGTGAACAGACCTAGAATCTGGATATGCCGTTTTGCATGCTGTATTTACAGGCGCCTTGCTTAGGTGATAACCTGTGCGTCTGATGTGTTAGTTCTAAAATAGGTCAATCACTCCCCGCCCTGTACTGATTCCTGTGCTCTCAAGACGCGTAGACCATGTACATTGTACATTGAAAAGTTAACCCTCACAAAACAGTATACCATCTAATAGGTAACACAAATGCGCCGAGCATGAGGGATGTTATTTCATTCCCTGAGCGTACCAGCTCCCTCATATACACGTTCCATTCGGTTGTGTTGCGTTCCAGGTCCCAGTACCTGCTGGGGTACGAGTAATTAGTACACAGGATTGTCAAGTCAAGGGGAAGAATCTATACGTGCGAGAGGAGCCTAAGATATCGCTTCTTGGACCCGGACCAAGTGGCACCCCGAAGTAGGACCCCGGAACAGCACCACCAACCGAGCGCTCAACAGCGCCGAAGTCGCCCAACGGCGCCGGTGCCAACCCAAGATCGCCCTTCAAGAATACTAGAAAACAAATAATAAACCCACAAGGCCGTCAAAACGAAGCAAATACCCCATCATGCCTCCAGCATCAACCCCAACCAACCAAACCACCCTCAGTTCAATCACACGACCCAACCGCAAAACAACAGCAGACAAACCCTTGCTATCCACGAGTAGAAACATAGAAGAACACATCCAAGGAAAAGGCATAAAAACCGACATCCTCGGCTTAAACTTGGCAAGAAAGTTGTTGTCAACGCACGGGCTCGCCCTTCCCACGGCAGGCAATATGCTACAACCTCTATCAATGGCACTCTTCGAATTCACAATAACAGCAAACCTAGGAGTGACTCACTCAGAGATCCTGCGAGCAATAGCATACCTCATACACGAAGTGGATAAAGACATAGACACAACACAGGTCATAGAAAAGATCAAGGCTCTCATAGGGGGACCAATAGCACTACCGGACGAAAAGGTGGACATCCTAGCGGAAACCCTGGAAGCCCACAAGACGAAGTTGGAAGAAACAATGAAAGAGGTAAGCACCAATTTGCAAACATCCACCGAAGGATTGGGAAAAGCGATAGAAAATGCAGCCACGACTGCAGCCAACAGTGGGCAAGGCCAAAGCAGCGAAATGGGATCTGAAGGACCTAAAACATATGCGACAGTGGTTAAAATTAACATCTCTCCCCCGCTAACCAAGATTCTAGCAAGGAACGAGGCACAAGCAAGACAGATCCTAGTGGACAGACGATCCCCGATCCACCCCAACTCACTAAGGGAATTAACGGAAGCCCAATTAGTCAAGAAGGCCTCACTAGCAATGGAATTCATGGAAAAGGAGAATACTGGAACCTCGAAGAACATCACGTTCATCTCGGCACGAAGGCTACAGCATGGAGGGATTCTGTACGAACTTAACTCAACCGAGGCTGCAGCATGGTTCAACACGCCAGCAAACAAAAGTAAATTCCTCAACCACTTCGGCCCAGAAATAGTGATCAAGGACCGCAACTTCCATGTACTGATCGAAAATGTACCACTCACGTTCATGCCAAATAACCAGGCGGCAATAGCAGACATAGAGAAGAAGGCAGGGATGAAGCCGAGGACGATCAGCAGGACCCGTTACATAAAACCGGAAGCGAGACACCACCCCAACCAGAGCATGGCACACACCATCTTCACATTCAGCACGAAGGAAGCAGCAAACCAAGCAATCAAGTTTGGCCTGTCGGTCGAGGGTAAGAAAGTATATGGAAATATCAGAACCCACCAGGTGTTTAAAATGCCACTCCCTGGACGGGAATCACATCGCCGCAGCATGCCCACAAGAGAAGGAAACTTGCAGCACGTGCAGAGAAGAGCACAGGACTGCCGCATGCACGATCTTGGATCAAAACGACTTCCAATGCAAGAACTGCGACGTAAAAGGGCATGTGACGTGGAGCTGCGATTGTCCGTCCTTCAAGGCCAAATGGGAAGCGCACAAAAACCGAAATGAAGACGCTAAGTACTGTTTCTATATAACAGAGGACCCACTCACCTGGGAGTCATTCCCAAGCTCAACACCAGGCGACAATGACCCAACCAGCCATGATAACCAGCAAGCGCAGCCGCAGCAGACTCAACAACACTATCCCCCCCCAAGAGAAAGAAACGAAGACAGGAACATCGAAGACAGGAAACACTTCAAACCCCCAACCAGGAACCACTCAAACCCGAACCGCCTTCCACTAGGACAGAACCGCATTTCCGACATGTGGAGAACGCAGGAAACCCATCAAGATCATCAAACAAACGACACAAGGAACGACAAGAACGGAACAGAAGATCAACAATGGGAAAGCTCACCCTATGGCTCACCACATGGACAATACAGGACATCAGGATGGGACCAGGACCACATAGGTAACTAATGAACGGTACAACTAACAACAGACCAACAGCATGTGACGACCTACGCATATGGCAGCAGAATCTCCGAAAATCGAACCACGCATGGGAACACATGCTGAAGAGCATGGACCCCGAAATCTATGATATCGCCTGCATACAAGAACCATTTCTGAACCCGGTCAATCTAGCCAATGCCTCCAACTTGAGGCAATTCTGGGATGTGATCTACCCCACAGACCACCACATGACCCCCGGCCGCTCCCAAACCATAATGCTCGTCAACAAAAGGTTATCGAAGAACAATTGGCATATAGTCCCGCTGAAATCGCCAAACATAATGGCAATAGAGCTAACAGGAGACTTTGGAAAGGTGTGCATTTATAATATATACAACCCCTGTGACAGTAACAACACGATCCACTTCTTGGAGAGACACATGAGATCAGAACATAATGCTCACAGACGAAATCAGCCGATCACTCAAGGTGAAAACCAGGCACAAAACGAACATATCATTTGGATGGGCGATTTCAACTGCCACCACCCCATGTGGGAAATGACACATAATGTACACCTTTTCACCGCGGCGAACTTAGATGCCGCGGGATCACTGATCAACTTACTAGCACTGTATAATCTAATACAGGTACTCCCCCCGAACATAGCTACACTAGAAGCATCAAACACGAAGAATTTGACCAGGCCGGAGAATGTTTTTACCTCAGCAGAATTCAAGTGTTCGTTCATCCAGTGCAGCGTCGAGCAAGAACTATGACCGGTCGTAACCGACCACTTCCCAATCATCAGCACAATCGACCTCAAGCCTGAATGGATAACACCAACCCCCAAACACAATTACCGCAACACCGACTGGGACAATTTCCGGGAAAAACTGGGGGAAAGGCTGGCATGCATAGCACCAGCAACGGAAATCACCACGAAAGACCAGTTTGAAGTAGTGCTAAAGGCGTTAACAGCAAGTATAACGGACACGATCGAAATCTGCGTACCGCAGACCAAGGCGTCCCCATACGCAAAGCGGTGGTGGAGCAAGGAACTGGATGCTGAAAGGAAGGCAACACACAAGCTAGGGAGGATAGCAAAGAAGAAACGAGACAGAGGTAACGACCCAATCCACGAAGCCTATAGAGTAGCACACAACAAGTTCGCGGAAAGTATCAAGCGCGCCAAAGAAGAACACTGGAAGGAATGGCTCGAAACACTATTAACACTAACCGGGACATGGAATTTTCACAGATACGCTGCAAGTGATCCCGCTGACCAAGTCCACACAAGAATAAAAACCCTGCAAGATCCGAGGGACACAGACGGCAATGGAACCACTCAAGACAATGAACGAAAAAGCGAAATCCTATACAATGTTTTGTTCAAGCCGGCCCAAGACAACAACCACGCAGAGCAAGATTTCGAATATAGACCGCCGGTATGTGAATTCCAACCGATAACGGACCGACAAATCCATAGAGCAATCACGAAGCTTTCACTGTACAAGGCCCTGGGCTTAAATGGGGTAAGCAACATTGTTTTTATGAAATGCACTGATCTACTTGTCCCTTTCATGGCGCCCGTCTACCGGCCGACCTTCACGCTAGAAATCTACCCAAGCGAATGGAAGTGCTCCTCAACGATAGTACTACGCAAGCCAGGAAGACCAGACTATAGTGTACCGAAAGCATACAGACCAATAATGTTGCTGGACATGATGGCTAAGATTCTTTCTTCGTGCGTAGCGGATGACCTGACGTATATTGCAGAAGAACACAACCTCTTGCTGCCCACGCACTTTGGCGGGCGACCAGGACGCTCGACAGTGGATTCCCTACATCTTCTCACAAAGTTCATAACCGACTCTTGGGCATCGAAGAACGACCACGTATCACTCCTCTTCTTAGATGTGAAGGCAGCATTCCCCAGCGTAACGACACACCGTTTACTCCACAACTTATGCAAAGCGGGCATCCCCAAACAGTACGTCGATTGGTACGGGCAAAGACTAGAAAACAGAACAACGTACTTGTTCTTCGACAACTACCAGTCAAATATATTCAACGTACCTGATGGCCTAGACCAGGGTTGTCCGCTCTCACCCTTCGGATTCATCACCTACAACTCAGGAGCACTAACCGTCGCAGACCCAGACCCACAAAGCAGCAAACTGAGTTTGGGCTTTATAGATGACATGGCGCTAATCGCAAGAGGCCGAACATATGAAGAATCAAATGCAAAACTGAAGAACATGATGGAGAAAGAGGGGGGGGGTTTAAGTTGGAGTGAGGAGCATCATGCAGAGTTTGAGCTGGAAAAGACGGCACTAATCTGTTTATCTAGGAAACACATACCATGCAACATCAACCCCAACAAGACCATCCCAGACCCGCGACTCCCAATAACTATACGCAACCACACAATCAGACCATCAAGCTCACACAAGTTTCTCGGAATCATTGTGGATCAAGACCTCAACTTCAGAGAACAAGCAGCCCATGCGCTAGCGAAGGGCACGAAGTATGCGATGGCGTGCATGAGAATGACGAGAATGACAAGAGGCATACACGGAAGGTTGATGAAGCGGCTGTTCGAAGGCGTCGTCATCCCGAAGATGCTATATGCCGTGGATGTTTGGTGCGCAGGGCTGGTAGCAAAGGGAAGAAGCAGAAAGCTGGGGGGAAGAGGACCACGAGGCGTCGCCTCTCAAATGGCAAAGGTTCAAAGGATGGCAACATTATTGATCACAGGGGGTCTAAGATCCACAGCTACAGACATGCTAGACGCGCACGCTAACGTACTACCCTTTCAACAGATACTTCGAAAGAACTGCTACAGGGCGACGATGAGGATGGCGACCCTCCCAGAATGCCACCCGCTACACAAAGGAATCAAATCAGCATACAACTACTGCGAAAGCAGAATGTTTAAGGGCAGAAAACGACACCCCTCACCGCTTCATAGACTGATGAACGAATTCCAGATAGACCCATCGAGTGTTGAGAAGATCGACCCAGTGAGACACTATCCGATGTGGGAGCCGGACGTCACAACGCACATAGCGGAGGAGAGCGAGGCAGCGCAGATAGAAGACGAAGTAGCCGACGAAGATCTACGAGCCTACTCTGATGGCTCGATGGTGGACGGAGGAGTGGGGGGAGCCGCGGTGATAATGAGGGAAGAGGAGGTAGTGGGAAGCAAGAGGTTCTACCTGTGGAACGATGAAATGCACACGGTTTATGAGGCGGAGGTGGTGGGGATGATATTAGCGGTGCAATTGCTAAGGGAAGGAGGAGGAGCGCGAGGAGGGACGATGTCCCTGGGCATCGACAACCAAGCGGCCATTAGAGCAACGGAGGCATTCAGATCAAAGCCGGGCCACTACTTGATGGACATCTTCCACGACGACCTTAGACGCCTAATCCCAGAAGACGACAACCGCAAACTCACCATCAGATGGTCCACAGGACATGTTGGAATAAAGGGCAATGAGGAGGCAGATGAACACACAAAGAGGGCAGCAAGAGGAGAGACGTCAGACCAGGGAGAACTACCCAAATCCCTAACAACAAGGAAGAATGGCATTTGCACACTCCCCCATAGCAAATCAGCACTCATGCAACAGTTCAACGCCAAAATCAAGCAAGAAGCGACAGCCACCATGGCAAGCTCACCGCGATACGCGCTACTGCAGTCCATAGACCCCTCTGCGCCATCGAAGAAGTACGAGGGAAAGACACAGAAGCTCTCAAGACGTCACTGCTCCCTACTGGTACAACTGCGCACTGGACATATTGCACTAAACAAGTACCTTAAACGCATCGGAAAATCTCCTACGGCAAGATGCCCGAAATGTGGAACGCACAATGAAACAGTACACCATTTCCTGTTGGTGTGCCCGGGGTACGTGTTAAGACCATGTTCAACGGGTCGGACCGGAGGGGCTTAGCTTCAGCTCGTGCACTGCGCTCTTTACCCGAGTATGTGCCCCTAATTTACAGGGGGGTAGATATCGTCGGCCGAGGGGTATGGACGGTCCAGACGAAAGGGGGAAGGCTACCCGAGACTTCGTCCGGGTAGAAACTAACAAGGTATAGACTACCCAAAGGTAGAGGCGGAGGTATTTAGCCTTAGGGATATAATCCCGAGGCTCGGAGGATAGGACTAGGACAATAATCCTAAGAGCCGAGAGAACACGAGGATTGAACAGAGTCTAAGTTAATATTCGAACTGAGGATATGCTACGGGTTACAAGGGATTTATATACTGTAGTATATCCGACGGGTATCTGGCCGAAGCGCAGTCTTCGGATCAGAGGGCTATGTAGGAAATGTACTAATGGATATGAACTGCTGCGGACGATCGAGAATGGAGCCGGAGATTAAATGAAACAAGGGGGACAAGTTAAATGAAAGGGAAATGAATAGACTAACGGACCGATCAGAATGAACCCGGATATTAACTGTCAGAAGGATCCGGGCATATAGGGGCATCAAGAAGCATATACAAATGGGGACACGGGGAAATGAATTCTAGAACGGACCCGAGAGAATGGACGGACCGGACCGGACGAGAAGCTTCAGGTACGGAATATGACAGTATGCGGGAACACGAGAAGCCCTATGAACGGAAGTCGGACCACGCCAGTGCAACGTCAAGTATCTACTCAGCGAGAAGAAGGGAATGAGGGCGACTTTGACGTACATCGCTCGGACAAGGAGAATGGAGAATATCTTTGGGGATGTAGCCCCCCCAGATGAGGAAGAGGAAGGAAGATGAGAACAAGGAAAGAGACGAGGAAAACACCCACCACCCAACCGATAGCCTGAAGAAGGCCTTCACCGTTCTCATGCAAGCCGGAACCATTGTAACAGAGTATACATATAACATTAACAAGGCAACGATACAGTACAAATAGTGTAGGTAGTGTCCATCATAGGGCTTCGCCCCAAAGGACAATAAACAAGGATCCAAAAAAAAAAAAAAAAAAAAAACCTCGACCTCACATAATACGTACCTAAATAGGTTGCCATACGACCCTGGGAAGGGCAAACCAATTAGGTAGCCTTTCATCAATTCCTTACACTGCCAGTAAATAGCCAAATAATGGTGAATATCTTTAACGTGGTAACATAAGCTTTCGGCACTGTCCGCTACGGTACCAGCCACGAGAACTAACCTTCTTCTTTAGGCAATTGTGCGTCCGCTCATTACCGCACTCTTGCGCTCGTTGTTGCCCACGACGAGCACGACTATTTGAAGACATACTCTCTCTTTCTACACAATGGGCGGAACAAAACGTCGCAAGGGCGTCTCTCGCAAGGTTCATATCACAGGATTCTCATACAATGGACAATATCGCAATGACGTTCTTGGACAACGGGCAGTAGTGCGTGAGCGGTCTGCAGCTCAACAGCGTTATCGCATTAATACAACAGGTAAAGTTTCTTTTCTATCTACTTCAATATTCTGCTCACTAGTTTACTAGGCCTCAGTGCTGATTCTCTTTCTGCACTCAGAGACGTTCGTTCGGAAATCCCAAGCTCTCCCACCTACGCTGATGATGAAGGACCACTCGGGGAATGGGAGCCAATCCCCGAGTCCTGGAATGATGATGAAACGATCGTGCACGCCATCCGAGACTATGTTGACAATCTGTGAGTTCTAACTTTTGTAGCACACTCCTGCTGATGAAAATATAGCTGGAATTATCGTACACATAAGGACTCCTGTACATGGCGCAGACGTATAGAAGACCTACATGCCAATTGGGCCCCACTTCTTCCCCAACTCGTTGATCTGTTTCTCCTTTGGAAAGCTTCAAACTCAACTGACAGCACATCAATGTCTCCGCATTCACCATCTGAATATGACTTTTTCATTCCGGTAGTGGACATATTCACACTCGACACCGAAGTCTTGATCTCACGCGATGCAGACTGCCTGTCTCCCAGTGCAGCACTTGTTCGTGCCGGATACCTGGGTCACGTGCCACATGCACCGTCCCTTGCATTTTCACTGCATACGTTAGAACACTTCCGACTGCTTCGTGCCCGCAAGCCCTCTTTTAGTATTGAGGCATTTGCAAAAGTGCTGTGTGATTCATACCGGGTGTGTATATATCCCATCATTCTTACACTGATGCTGATGTATTACTAGATACCTTATCAGCGACGCTATCGCACATCCTTGTCGGGGGCGTTCGATACCTACCTAGCCATTCTCCGTGGTGTCGACAAGAAGATCAATGAAATTCTCGGACGTGACACTCCCAACTGGCGCATTCTCAATGCCTGCCCCCCTTGCACTTATGAATTGGAGGAAGAACCTACTCTCACCTTTGGACGGATGTATGTCCTTGACGGTGGGAACTCGGCCAAACGGATGGCAGAAGGTGCACGTAATCGTGGTGACATGCGGGAGTATACTGAGAGTGATTACTTACTTCCCCGCACATATGTTGACAAGTTTGCCAATGAGGTGCAATCGCGAAATTCAGACGCCCTGGACTCGCTGGAAGCTAACGATGATGATGAAGATACTGAAGCAGACCCGACAAGACGCAACATCGCATCAGACTGCAGCAAGAACTGGAAGGCTGCTGCGAGCGATGAAAAGAAGCGGATGTGGAGTATTTTCGACGAAACAGGTATCTTTGTCTCCACCTGTCGCCATGGCCTTCTTTTGTGGGTAGCAGATATGGTTCGTAGCAGAGAACTGTGAGTTTTGCTATGATCCATCATCCATGTGTTCTGACATATACATAGGGCCAAGTACCCCCTCGCAATTATATCTAAAGTTCTCGAACTCCTCGGCGAGCGCTCTCTCGCCGCCTACGACATTGGCTGTGGGTTTGCTTCAACAATCCGCTCCAGCAGCCTCGGGAAGGCATTCAAGCAGCAAGGCTGCCGTATCTGTGTCGATGCGTTCCACGGATATGCGCATAACTATGCTTGCCAAACCAAGAATCATCCAAATGGCATTCAAGGCGCAGGCATCGAGGACTTTGGAGCCATTGAGCGCTTCTTCAGTGCATCAAATGCACTCGCTCCTGTCATCCGCTATGCGACTGCCTACCGTCGTTCCATCTTCCTCGACCTTTTCTATAAGCAGTGGGATGACGATAAATATCTTAACCTCGCCACGATGATCTATCACAACTACAAGCAATCTATCAACATTATAGCGTCGGAATCTCTTGCCCTCGACACTGCCAAAGTGTCGCTTGGAATCCAGGACGGTGATCTGGAGGCTTGGTGTCAAGAAGAGATAGAGTATATTGCTTGTCTTGGCAAGGAGACTGAGTGGGACATTCACGCTATGACATATGTCGAGCTTCTTCAGAAGTTGAGGGACGCGCAGTAAGTCTTGTATATTTGTTTTTTGTTATCTATGTTAATCTATTATTTCAGGACCTGCGCCAGCGATACTTCCTTGCAGTTTATATCTATGGTGCCGTCTGATTATCAATTCTTGCCCCCCTCACAGGACGTATCCTATTCCACCAATGTATCAGCTACGAGAAAGCTTGAAACTCATCGTAGGTACCATGCTGAATGCCTCGACACACTTCAACGTGAAGTTGTTGCCTTGGAGGTCAAGATGGGTGTTGCTCACCGGTGGCAGCCAACCTCGCCAGAGTATCAAGAAACCATGAAATATATGGCAACGCACACCTATCAGCGTGCCCTCGATAACCTCCAGCGCCTCATAGTGCAACGTCTATTCGAGTTGCAAAAGCTCAACATCTCTCAGACGGGTAAGTGTTTTGTTTGCTTTCAATGATCACCTACTGATGTGATTATTTAGCCTACAAAATGCGCACGCATATCTCGAAGTCCCTCCAGACGCGTTGTCACGCCATTCAAACTGCCATCAAGAAATACAATGATGCAGCGTCGCAGCTACACCCACCGCGTCCGCCGCTTGAATGGTCCAAGGTGTCTCACTATAGTTTTCTTGAGGAGTTCAATCTTCTCCGCGAGACGCGACAAGACATCCGCGACAAGATGTGGGCAAGACCAGTGATTTGTGAGACAATGCGGCAATGGCTACGCATACAGCGTGCAAAGGAGGAGATTGAGAGGTGTAATGTCGAAGTCCGGCGCTTGCATACATTTATTGTGGATGAAGACCGGCACTTCGCTCGTGTTCTTTCTTCACTTGAAGAATCGCCTTTATATTTCGCTGTTCAAGAATTCTGCAAAGACCGGCGCCTGGTCAACTCCCAGCTCCTCGACCGCATTTTTCAGATTTACGCACTTTCAAGCTTTAGTGGGGTAGCCTCTCCAGGCTTAAGGAAGGGGCGAGTTGATCTTGATGTAGAGGGGGATGGTATGGACGGTATCCTTGCTGGCCACCAGCATGAGCACGAGCATGATGGTGATGATGAAACCATCGAGATGATTGATGACGAAGGTGATGACATGCAGGATATCGGGACTTTAGTAGAATACTTGTCAGATCTTGCACTTACCCGTTGAAGCAATTTTACATGCAACATTTGAATCACTATGAATTGCGTGAAACTAGGACGACTTGCATAGGATTACAGTACTTAAATCAAGAAAAGCACTGATACATGATGGAGATGAATTGCATAGATCACTAGATTACAGTAGATGAAAGCACCGATACACAATGGTAATGAGCTACATGGATTACAGTAGATGAAAGCACCGATACACAATGGTAATGAGCTACGTATACAATTACAGTAGAGAAAGCACCGATACACATTGGAGATGAGTTGCGTGAAAGACAGTGTGTATATGTAATCAACTCAACTTCCAGCGAGATCGTTGATCTGCCCTTCAGCCACATCTTTCTTGAATCTTTCTCTCCTCTCACCATCACTCAACCTTTTGCATGGGAAGCACTGGAAAGAACTATTGGGTTGTCTTAGGCGGACGGAAACCAGGTATTTTTTTTGAACGGTATGTTTTGTTGACATGTAGCAAACACAGCTAATAATCTCGCAGACCATACGCCCCTCAACTCCATGGCAGCCATTACTTTCCTATTGTCGTCCATTGTCAGCAGGAGGAACATGCTCAGAAGCTAGACACACTTCAGACGCTCGTGAAGGATATCAATGAAAGTACACCTCCAGCCGATGCTGCGCAGCTGTTTCTCAACTCAGATGTGGCCCAAGGAGTTCTTCGACGGGATGTTCAGCGCTATGCTATTCAGGGATTTTACGTTGTCATCTATGGATATACACCAGGCATCTACACCATGTGGTATGTACCGTATGATTTTAGATCTTCAAGTATCGTGTTGATCAGTTATATATGTAGGGAAGACTGTCATCGCGCAGTAACAGGGTATAAGAATGCAGAGTACAAGAAACTCACTACGTTCGCTGAGGCCATGGCATGGATGATTCTGAAGGGCCAAAAACTTGGACAGGAAGAACTGGTTGGCGCTGTGAGATCAGCTGTCTTAGGTACATGTGGGCTAGTGCGTGTTTGTCCTCCTAATCAGAAAACTTCTCATAGAACCATCTGGAGCCAGCTCCAAACCCATCTCGATGTTACACGGTGCCAACCCTATGAAATCAGCCGTCTTACAATGTGAGTAGCGCTACCGTGTGTTTGTCCTACTGATCATAGAATTTAACTTAGCCCAGTTCGTTATTGACTCTGAGTCAAGCTCATATGGGCAATCATCGGCTTCAGTTGGTACTATCTTACCAGTCACACCTAAGGCCCTTCGTACATGGAGAACAACGACTCCTGGATCGGCATCGCAGATTGTCAGCACCTCACCTCGTGTCCACCAATTCATTCGAGATCTTAATGGAATCCAAGGTGCACATTATCACGCCCCTCCTCTTGATGATACTCCGCTCCCTTCTTTTGGCGATGTCACTGATGGCTATCTGCAATCTCATGGTTACACTGCTCGTGCAATTCTTTGTATCGCACATGCAGTGGAAGTCTCTCAGTCTGGGGAGGATTTTGTTCACGATATCTCTGGAAGGGGCCTTGCTATCACTGAAGCTCAATGGCTGTGGTTACTCATAACTGGTGACAACACCTTCTGATTCATGTATCTCTACTTATCGCTCTATGTCATTGTTTGAAGTCACGTGGCTATGTACATGTTAACCGATGCTAAAGCGAAATTCTTAGCATTTCTTCGCCTTAACCAATGTCTACTCGTTGTGTTCCGCACCATGAAAGCAAAAACCTGGCTTGGCCGCTATCATACGAAATTACAGAAACTCACTACTCAAAAGCCTCGGAAGCCATGGCGCCACCGCAGCAAAGGTCGCTACAAGCACACGGCCAGCGAAAAGGCCACTTTGAAGGAAAAATGTCTAGCCCATCGCATTACATATGCTGATGCTCTCAAGGATGCCCGTGAGGTCGTGCAGGAGCAGGCAAAGCTACTGCATGAGAAATTTGGCGGTCATAGCATTCAGTATTATCATGAAGAGCTCATGCAGCGTGCTCGCATGGCTGCTTCATCACGTAGTCCTTCAAGATGGAACACATTTGTTCGGCGTGAGGTGAAGCGGACGAATCAGGGTACGTGTGTCCTCACTTGTTGTTTTTTGTCGTGCTCAGTGTCTTGTACCTTTAGAACGTCCTCCAGGTTCCCCTTTCCTCAAAGCTTCTCATTGCGTGAAAGGACTTGCGGCGCGTTGGAATGGCATGTCAAAAGACGAACAAGAGAAAGAGACCGCGGATGCCATGAAAGATCTCGAAGACCATCGCGAATCTAAGCAGCTTGCCCTACACAACGTGCCTCTGAACGCTTTTCAAGACGTTCGGAAAAGTCTCGAGTTACTTGACCGTGAAGTAAGTATGACATTTGTCTTGAAAAATGTAACAACTAGTGGCTAACACCAAACAACAGATTCATGCTTTGAATGCACGTACAGGCCTTGAGGTCGTGCTACTCACTTCACGTTCAAATATTGACCACTTCAACCAGCCACATATCTTCGTCACCGAGCGCGCTGCTGACTTCTTTGATGCATGCTTGGGCTCTTCCATTGCGGATGTCGCAGTACGTTTCGAGGCATTCTGCATAGCTGGGGTACAAGGTAAGCGCCTAATCATATTCTTGTTGTATCACACTTAGTTCTGCACTGGCAGGTCTTGCCAAGTCTCACCTCCAAGAAGTCCTTGATCTCAAGAAATCTACCAGCGAGAATATTTTACGGAAGCTTCGTACGTCTCTTTAACACTTTTATTTGATTTTAATCTGACTCGGCATATAGAGGCAGCAGCAGCCCCCACCAAGGTGTCGCACATGTATTACCAAAATTTCGGCACCTACATTACCGCTAAATTCGGGATCATCATCGAGAACTGGCCACTGCAGAAGTTCTGCTGCCCAGGGGACATCAGCTCACGCTCCGAACTCGCCGTTTTGAGCCTTGCATGGGAGTCGAATGCCACTCACTTCCGCAAGCTGACAGACAGCAAGTTTAACGAGTGGAGTAACCAGCGCTTCCAGGATGCAATGGATCAGGCGAGAGTAGAAAGAGATGATGGGATGGAAGTAGATGGTGAAGGACAGGAGAACATCATAGAAGGATCCGACAACGAGCCTCCGCTCGACTCCACCTCCCTTCCTCGCCAGCAAACATCAGCTCTGAGTCACAGCGTGAATGTCATTACAATGGCAAACGGAACTAGTGTCAACATATCAAAGAGGACTCGCAAGCCGCGCTGCGATAAAGGTCAGAAGCGTGGTCCTCGAACGAAAAAGCGCTCAGGTCAATCAGAGGCTGATCCTAGTATTGTGTCTGTAGCCTTGTGATAATTAATACTATGTTTTTACATCTACATCTTGCAATTTATGACCGTATGTTAATTCCTTAAGAATAGTAAAAAAAAAACATGAATTTTGACTCAATTGTGAGATAATAGTCGTGCTCGTCGTGGGCAACGACGAGCGCAAGAGTGCGGTAATGAGCGGACGCACAATTGCCTAAAGAAGAAGGTTAGTTCTCGTGGCTGGTACCGTAGCGGACAGTGCCGAAAGCTTATGTTACCACGTTAAAGATATTCACCATTATTTGGCTATTTACTGGCAGTGTAAGGAATTGATGAAAGGCTACCTAATTGGTTTGCCCTTCCCAGGGTCGTATGGCAACCTATTTAGGTACGTATTATGTGAGGTCGAGGTGAAAAAAAAGGAGCCTAAGATACAGTGGCCCAATATTCATACACTCACGTACTGCATGATGAAGTTCCTAGCACCACTCTCGTGTAAGGTCTTCAGGACATCGACGGCGCATTGCCTGACCTGAACAATTGACGTGGAGGATGCATTGCTTCCAGTAATCAGCGTGTTGGCACCCAGATCGTTGGTTCCGATACAAATGGTGTACATCGTCTCCTTTGGCGTACCATTTTTCGTCTCATTAGGTAAGCAGGGAGTTTCCAACCTGGGCGGTCACTGCGATCAGGACAACATTCACAAACCATTTGAGCGTACTCACTGGTACCACCCATGATCGGAGGGAAGGGCTGGTAAAGCAGGTTCAAGGATGTTGCCCCGGAACGATCAAATCGAAACCTCTGTAAACCTCGCATCCATAAATGGCTCCGCGAATATCAGCAGCACGCTCTGTAGATTGACCATGAAGACACACAAAAATGATTAGGGTGATATCAATATACATCTCCAGACCACCATGGCCAAAGTCCGCAATCAATAGAGTATTGGGAAGATATATGAAGATATATCAGTAACATTTCACCTCCCCTCAGTGCAACACTGATACAGGGCAATGACATATGGGACAGTAATACAAATCCCATGCCTCACCCTTCAGATCTGTTCGCAGGCCCGTCACTTCCACTTCGTCTATGTAATTTGTTAGGTTCCCTGCGCCACAGCACCCGGGCTGCAAATGCCACCTGATGGTTATCGCTCCAGCCCCGGCGTTGGAGTTTCAGTTTCGCCCCTTTTGTCGATGTTTCTCATGTCCAAGAAGACGACGTGTATCTCTCGTCATCATCGATACTCATCCCCCTTTGATCGTTGAATACATTCACAGAGAATTGGCATGACCCATGAGACAGACATGGAATCAGTCTTGGCCATGTAATGTACGAGGGATAACAACACCTATATTTTGATGCAACATGGTCAGGGTGTATCGGTGACTCACGATTCTCATGCCGTTTTGCAAGGACTACGAATGCATAGTGTGTTTGCTGAGCAACGAGGCGTGTGGTTGGTGTCATCGTTGAAGATGTTATTGCTCTGAACAAGTGTCAGGATATCAAGAGCTCAGGGATATATGATCGCATTGGACTTGCATGTATTGTCAAACCTCTATTGTTGCTTTGCTGTCTAGGTGCGAGAGAGAGGGAAATCTGATTAGACGAATGAGTAAAGGGTCAGGTTGTTAGCAATTAAGTTACTCATGTTTCGAAATTCTAGACCAAGCTGCAAGTTCCTGGTAAAGAAGTCAGGTGAGGTATGAAAGAAGAAAGACGACTCTCGTCGAGGGTTGGCATTGGAAAAATCTTGCCCACCGGACGGCTGTAGGTTGACAAGCAAGGGAGAGACATGAGATGCAGGCTGAACAAAGTCAGTATGCATTGCTGGGGCACAACTGACGTACAATATTAATGTTGTTTAAGTTGCCTGTCACAATTACAGCTAGTATCTAGCACGTCAGACTGCTTATCTAGCCCCACTGCGCAACAGAAGAGAGTGCGAGTTGTGTACTTCAAACGAGACAATGCTGTATGGATATAGTAGAATAGTCAAAAAAATCTTCACTTGTGACGACACGAGGCTCATACACAGCTGGGAGCAAGACATGATCCATAAGAAAAGTGCAAGAGCGAGCAAAAAGAGAGAGGCGAAAGAAAACTCAAGAGAAAGAAACATTTAGACGACCTCCTGTCTGCGACGTGGAACGCGCACGACTGGCCAACCGCAGCAGATGACCTCCAAGGAAAATTTTCCAGGCTCGCCAGCTGAGCTTTGTGTTTGTGTTGGTGGGCCCTGAGGTCCATGTGTCCCCGATGCAGCTTGATCTTGTGCTGTTGAGCTGCCGGCATTGTTGCTGCTCGTACGTTGCATAGCTGCTTCTGCTTCTGCGTCAGTCTCAGCAATCATGCCGTATCTCTGCAAAGATATCAAAGAGGGACATGTGATGGTGATGACGAACCGCTTACATCTTCATCATGGGCAGGAGCAACATCGACGGGACACCTGGAGATTCTCACAGGAAATAAGCTGAAATGCAATCGCCGAGGCTGAAGCTGAATTGGTTGGGGCGAATTTGCAGGTCAATTGCTGGAGCGCAGGAAGCCAAATAAGTTGCGCAGACCCAGTGGAGATGCTGAGCGAGGAGGCGTGTGGTTTGTGTGATCGCTAAAGAAGTCATTGCCCTGCATAGGTGTCAGAATGGAAAGAGCTCAGAAATGATCGCACTGGACTCACATATCTTGCCAAGCCTCTATTGTTGGTTTGCAGTCTAGGCGCAATAGAGATCTTATGAGACAAATCAGCGAATGATCAGGGTATTCACAAAATAATGCATGTCTCTAGGTCGAGTAGCATGTCCCTGATAAAGGAGTGAGATGAGGCATGAGAGAGAAGACAGGTGACTTGCCTTGAGCTTCACATTAAGATCGGCATTGTCCTGAGCGACACACAAGATCGCTTAGAAATGAGCCTGGTGAAAGCGATGTACACATGTACGTCAACACCACGAGCACACTTGAGTGCTGCTTCCAGATTCCATACATACATGTTTGGACCCAGTCCCTTGATAGCACTGGCAAAGTATTGTCCATCAGAGGACATGGCAACAATCGTGATATGATTGTCGTGCCAGAGTGGATCTCCAAGTTGCTGATTGGTTTCGAGGTCCCAGATGTGAACTGAGTAGTCGTATGATGCGCTGACAAGATGGCATCCATCGGGAAACAGACAAATGGATTCAACATGGTTGGTATGGCCCTGAAAAACGACGAGTTCTTCCCCGTCCATCGATTGCCATTTTCGGATGGTGTAATCAAATGAGGCAGAGAAGATGTATGCCCCATCCTTGGACCAACATATCGATGTCACAAAGTCCTCATGTCCCTTTATCTCGAACAGCAGCTTGCCGTCCTTTGACCACACCTGGATCATGTCGTCATTACCGCCGCTCGCGAATTTGTCGCCTTGTGGAGAGTATTTGACCGTCCGCACAATTTTATCGCTTATCTTTATGGGTTGTGCAATTTGTCTGCCAGTGGCCAGGTTCCATCATTGTATAGTCCTGTCGGAAAATGCACCTGCAACCTCCGACCCATTCGGAGACCAATCAAGGCACCTCACTCTGACATTATTCGCCTCCCATGGCTTACCGACCACGCTCCCCTCCTTTATATTCCACAGCCATACTCTGCCATCATAGCTTCCACATATGACCATTGTTTCCTCCAGAGACATCGCCATCGCGGTTACTGGGTTTCCATCACCATCACCATACTTTCCTACTGGCTTTCCGTCTCTTGTCCACTGGAGAATTGAACCATCCTCCGAGGTACTCATTATATTGTCACTGGTGCCCAACCAGGCAAGGGACTTGTTGAACGAGTTGTCGCATTTGATGATGCACTCTGGCATCAAACTCCCTGCTGTACATTCTGGCGTTGGCTTCTTCCACGATGTGGTCCGAGTCTTGTGGTTGACGAAGTAGGATCGACCGAGTGGCGAGATGTGCCATTCGAATCCAGGAACGAGCTCCTCCGAGGGGTTATCTATGCTCGATCCTGAGTTCCTCGCTCTCATCGCACTTTCCTTGCTCACCTAGTCGCACTCCTGGTAATGGTCTGTGCACTGCATACATGAGGAGTGTGTCATCGCAATAAAGTGGTCCGTCATCAAAATGGACCTCTGTCCACATAGGAGGGAGCGCCTCATTCCCTCCTGCTCGATGTTCAGTTGGTCAATTGGTTTCACAATGTGCTCGCTCACCTTTCCAAAGTGCATCCTGGCGGTGCTGTGCACCATAAGCCGGCGGATTATTAGAGCGTTTCAGGGGAGCAACAAGTCCTGATGGGTCTGACAATGGTCCTCTATCTGCCTCTCTCCATTGCATTGGAGTGCTTGACTCGGCCGTATTGTTCAGCATGACGATGATTGAGAACATTGGTGATAGTGGAGGCAACGAAGAGACCTGCTAGACATGCTGTTATGCTGTCCTTGTAGACGCCTTGCTTAGGTGATAACCTGTGCCTCTTAGGCGTCAGTTCTCAAATAGGATCAATCGCTAGCCATGGTTCGACCGTGCTCATCTGCATATTCAGCGAATCATATTTCGCTGCAATTTCATTGATCCTGTTGTGTTCTCAAGATGTTCAGAGACTATGTACATCGTACATTGCAAATTAACCTGCACAAAACAGTATACCATCTAATAGGCACTCGAAATGATCACGATCATATCTATACACATCTCCTTGAGATTATCAATGCAACCCATTCACACCATCAAGGGCATCGTCACTCACATCGGACATCACCAACCCAGTATCACACCCACTGTCCTCATTCTCCAGCCCATCCAATGTACCCCTCAAATCCTCCATCTCTTCCATCTCACAGCTCAAGCCCAACAAGCCCTCAATACCCGGCATCTCACACTACACTGGCAGAATATCCACATGCGTCATCCGAGCAGGTAACTCAGTAACCACTTAGACTCTCCGCAAGCGGGAACAGCCTCAATTTCGACGGAAGTGCCTCTGCATTCTTTGAGGCACCGCGTATGCGGAATGAAGTCCTCCCATTGTGGGTACACCATGTGCAAGTCTTGATGGCAGTAGGGGACTGAGGAACTGATGTATGGGCTTTTTTTTTGTTTTTTTTTTGGTCCTTGTTTATTGTCCTGTGGGGCGGAGCCCTATGATGGACGTTACATACTGTATGGTACTCTATGTTTGTCAGTCATGTACAGTGAAATCCTATCTCTGCAATGGTCCAGGCTTTTTCGGCAAGGACGGTAGAGCCGTCTTAAGGCATCTGGGTGTGGGTGGTACAATTTGTTTCCTGGTCGTGATCTTTCTCTTTTCTCTTACTCCTTTTTTCTATCTTCTTGCCTCTCCCCTTTCCTCTCTCTCCATCTCCTTTGGTGGTGTGACGTCTCCGAAGACCTGCTCCATCCTTTTCGTTCTTGCTATGTACTTGAGCATTGCTTTTATTCCTTTATCCTCACTGAGCAGGTATTTGATGTTGAGTTGACGTGGTCCAACTTCCATGCTGAGTGTCGCGCGGTGCCCTGCGAACTTTGGACATACTAGGAGGAAGTGATGCACTGACTCTTCGTGTAATCTGCATTGTTGGCACGTCGCTGATGGGGCGCTTGCGATGCGGTGGAGATATTTGTTCAGTGCAATGTGTCCCATGCGTAATTGGAAGAGTAATGTTCCGTGTTTCCTGGGTAGGTGCTCAATCTTCTTTGCGAACTTCTTGGATGGTGCTGATTGGTCGATCGTCTGCAGGCGGGTATACCGGGGGGACGATTTCATGATCATGATGGCTTCGTCCTTGATCTTGCTGTAGAAACCTTGCTTGAGGGCGGACTTGCTTGCGGGTAGAGTTGCTGGTGTGCCATCCTTTGCTAGGAGTGACTTTGGGAGCAATGGTGCGTCTGACGAGTCCCCTGCAGCTGCTTTCTTTGCTTCCGTGTCCGCGGCCTTGTTGCCCGGGATTCCGGTATGGCCTGGTGTCCATCTGATGACTAGTTTTCTCCTGTCGTTGTGGGGTAACAGTTGGCGCAAGTCGTCGTGAAACTTGTCCGCCAGATAATGGCCTGGTTTCGACTGGAATGCTGTCGTGGTGCGAATCGCCGCCTGATTGTCGACTCCCAGTGCCATTGTCCCTCCCTCGTTGCCCCTCTCCTCCCTCAGCAGCTCGACTCCTAGTATCATTCCTATCAGCTCTGCCTCGTACACAGTATGTTGCTCAATGCCTCCTAGGTGTAGGTGTTTGCTTCTGATCACCTTGTCTCCCCTCATTAGGACCGCCGCGCCTCCCACTTTCCCTTCTGTTGCGGATCCGTTTGAGTACACCCTTAGATCCTCCATGGCTTCTTCGTCCTCCTTGGCCGCTCTCTCCTTCATGTCCGCTATTCTCGTGTCTACGTCCAGCTCCCACTTGGTATAATGCCGTACTGGTGCGATTTTCTCTATCTTGGATGGGTCTATCTGAAATTCGTTCATCAGTTTGTGAAGCGGTGATGGGTGGTGTTTTCTCCCCTGGAATTGTCTTCTCTCGCTATACTCGTACACCCCTTTGATTTCCTTGACTAGCGGGTGTGGGGCGGGGAGTGTGGCCATTCTAATGGTTGCGCGATAGCACGTCTTCCTTAGTGTTTGCTGGAAAGGGAGTATGTTAGTGTGGGCGTCTAGCAGATCTGTTGCGGTCAATTGTAGGCCTCCTGTTATCATTAGTGTTACCATGCGCTGAACTCTTGATATTTGGGACGCAAATCCCCTTGCTCCTCGACCACCTGCTCGTTTTCCTCTTCCTTTGAGGCTTGCGCACCATATGTCCGCCCCATACAACATCTTTGGGAGCACGACACTTTCGAAGAGTTTCCTGATCAGTTTTCCATGGACTCCTCGCGTTGGTCGGATAATCCTTCTGCATGCCAGGGCGTACTTCGTCCCTTTTGCCACAGCGTGAGCGGCGTGTTCCTTGAAATTGAGGTCTTGATCAATGATAACTCCCAGGAATTTGTGTGACTTTGACGGTTGTATGGTGTGATCTCGTAGGACGATCAGTAGCCGGGGGGATGGGATGGTTTTCCTCGGGTTCTCTGGGTCGGGAATCCATTTGCTAGATAGGCAAATCAGGGCGGTCTTTTCGAGCTCAAACTCAGTGTTGTGGGTTTCGCTCCACTCGAGCGCGCCCCCTCGCTTCTCCATCATATGCTTTAGCTTGCCGTTGGACTCTTCATACGTTCGTCCTCTTGCCACAAGCGCTACATCATCTAGGAACCCTAGACTGAGTTCTCCCTGTCTAGTTCTATGGTCAGTTACTCGTAGTACACCCGAATTATAAAATACAAATCCTAGGGGTGACAGCGGGCACCCCTGGTCTATGCCGTCTATTACATTGAACAAGTTAGATTGGTAGTTGTCGAAAAATAGGTACGTCAATCAGTTTTCGAGGCGTCTTCTGTACCAGTTGACATACTCCTGTGGAATTCCGGCCATTCTTAGATTGTGCATTAGTTTACTTACTACCACACTCGGGAAGGCCGCTTTTACGTCCAGGAAGAGTACCGAGACGTGGTTGTTTTGCGAGGCCCATGAGTCAGTGATGAACTTGGTGAGTAATTGTAGCGAGTCTGTTGTGGAGCGGCCTGGGCACCCTGCGAAATGGGTCGGCGGGAGGAGATTGTGCTGTTCTGAAATGTATGTTAGATCGTCTGCGATGCACGATGAAAGAATCTTAGCCATAGTGTCTAAAAGCGTGATGGGGCGGTAAGCTTTTGGTATACTGTAGTCTGGTCTTCCCGGTTTCCTTAGTACTATAGTTGATGAGCACTTCCAGTCGTCTGGATATACCTCGAGCGTGAACGTGGCTTTGAAAATCGGACCCATGAATGGGACTAGCAGGTCGGTGTTGCGCATAAACACGATGTTGCTAATGCCGTTTAGCCCGGGAGCCTTGAGTGGTGAGAGTTTCTTGATGGCGCGATGGATCTGTGTATTTGTTATCAGTTCGAACTCGCATACGGGTGTTGGATACTCTGGGTTCTCGTCTTCGTGGATGTTCGCTGGGGGGGGGCGGAAAAACACGTCATAAAGCAGTTCACTTTTGCGTGCATTGTCCTGAGTTTCGGTGTTCTGCGCGTCCGCCCTCAGATCTCATAGTGTCTTGATTCTGGTATGTATCTGGTCGTTTGGTGAGCTTGCCATGTACTTGTGGAGGGTCCAGATCCCTGCTGAGGTGAGATCGTCCAGCCATTCCTTCCAATGTTCTGCTTTCGCCTGTTTGATGTCCTCTGCGAATTTGTTGTGTGCAATCCTGTACTCATCGTGCACCGGGTCGTTTCTGCATGCGGTAAGATGCTTCAACTTGCGGCCCAGTTTCCTTACCCCCTTTCATTGAGCGTCTAACTCCTTCGTCCACCATCTCTTTGAATACGGCAAGGGTTTGGTTTTGGGTACTTGTTCTGCGACAGTGTCCGCAATGCATCTTGTCAGGTTATTGTACGCGGTGTCGAATTGTTCCCGATTGGTGAGTTCAATTGGTTGGGGGATCATCTCGAGCTTGTTTGAAAGGGCGGTGCTGAACTTGTCCCATTCGACTTCGCGGTAGTTCGGTTTGGGTATTGACTGGATTCTCTCCGGCTGCAGATCGATTACGCTGACTATGGGGAAATGGTCAGTAATTACTGGACGTAGGTGATACTCTACACTGCATTGTATGAATGAGCGCTCAAGTTGGGCTGAGCAGAAGACGTTGTCTGGGCGGGTTAGATTTTTGGTGTTGGAGGCTTCTAAGGTGGCAATTGCTGGCGGGAGGGTTTGTACTAGATTATATATGGACAATAAGTTGATTAGTGTTCCCGCAGTGTCTAAATTCGCTGCGGTGAAAAGATGCGTGTTGTGGGGCATTTCCCACATGGGATGGTGGCGGTTGAAGTCTCCTAACCATACTATATGCTCTTGGACTTCGTTATGATTGCCTTCAGCGACTCGTTGCACTTGGTTGCGTCTCGTGTTGCTTTCTGAGGCCATATGCCTTTCGAGGAAGTGAAGTGTTGCGTCGCTATCGCATGGGTTTGTAGATGTTGTACAGACGCACCTTCCCAAATTGACCTGTTAGCTCTAGTGCTATGATGTTTGGTGATTTTACAGGTATTATGTGCCAGTTGTTCTTCAATAACTTCTTGTTAACCAGGGTGATGGTTTGCGATCTTCCTGCGCCGGTGTGGTGGTCGGTCGGATAGATGACATCCCAAAACTGTCTTAAGTTAGATGCGTTAGCTAGGTTAACAGTATTGAGGAAGGGTTCCTGTATACACGCTATGTCGTATACATTTGGGTCGAGATTCCTTAACATATGTTCCCATGCGCTGGAGGATTTGTGTAAGTTCTGCTGCCAGATTTTCAAGTTGTCGTTGGCGGGTGGATCGGCTTCGTTGTGGTCATTCATTGATTACCTGTGTGATCTTGATCCCATCTGTTTCCTGCATTGTACTTGTCGAAAGGTGAGCCGAGGTTGTGCATTGTCCATTCTTGATCGTCGTTGTCTTCTTGCTGTTCTTCTCCTTGTGTGGGGACAGGTGGTTGGGGAGGGCGTGTTCTTTGGATCCATGATTCCGGGATGCGAGCTTGATTGCCTAGTGGGATTCTATTAGCGTTGCGGTTAGTGGGTTTCCTTTGATATGTCGTTCGGTGTTCGATTATTTGTTCTCTTGGTGCTGCTTGGGGGTGATGCTCTTCGTGGTGAAACTGTTGCTGGGGAGGTTGTGGTCGGTCTACTGGTTCTTCGCTGTTCTGAACTGGGTGGTTCAGTGATTCCCACGTAAGTGGGTCTTCAGTCAGGTAATATCGATACTTAGCGTCGTCGTTGCGATTCTTATAGTTCTCCCACTTCTTGACAAATGTCGGGCAGTCCCAGCTCCATGCCACGTGTCCTACCTCATTGCAGTTCCTGCACTTGAACAGTTCCTGGTTCGTGATTGTGCATTCTGCGGTTTCTGTGTTGCTCGTTGCACGTTCCGCAGCTATCGTGTTCTTGAGGGCAGGTGGCGGCTACGTGTGTGCCTTCGTAGGAGTGGCATTTAAGACATCTAGTGGGTTCCTGGATCAGCTTTCTTCCGTAGACCTTCTTACCTTCGACTGATAGACCAAATCTAATCGCCTGGTTCGCCCCTTCTTTGGCACTGAATGTAAAGATAACGTGGGCTGTGCGTTGTCCCGGGTTGCGCCTAGCAATCGGTTTAATGTATCTTGCTTTGATGATCGCTTTGGGTTTGAGCCCGGCTTTCTTCTCTACTTCGGCCAGTGCTGCGTAGTTGTCGGGTATGAAGGAAATCGGTACGTTCTCGACTATTACGTGGTACGATCGATCTTTGATCATTACTTCTATTCCAAAATGTTCCAGAAACTTGCTTCTGTTTGCGGGGTTGTCGAACCATCTTGCGGACTCGGCTGAGTTGAGTTCATAGAGCGCTCCGCCATGTGGTAGTCTTCTTGCTGATAAGAATACCATGCCTTCGGGGATGTTGTTGTCGTCCTTGGTCATTAGTTCTATGGCTAGTGTGGCCTTTGCTACTAGCTGCGCCTCTGTAAGGTCTCTGAGTGTATTGGAGTAGAGCGGGGATCTTCTGTCTATTAGGATCTGTCGAGCGTGTGCCTCGCTTTTTGCTAGCGCCTTTGTCAGTATCAGGGGAGGGTTAGCTTTTACTACTGCCGCATATGATTGTGGTCTGTTAGACCCTGGCAAAGCCATAGGTGCTTGGCTGCGCAAGTTGTCTTGGTTGGCGCATTTCGCTGCCTTCACCAGTTCATCTACTGATACACTGATGTTGCTACGCACCTCTTTGACCATATTTTCCATCTCCATCTTTTGTTTCTCCATCATCTCTTCCAGTGCCTCCACCTTCATGTCTAATGTTGCCACAGGGCCTCCCAGGAGTGCTTTAACTTTCTCTATGATATTCTCCGTGTCGATATCCCTCTGTGCTTCATAGATGGTGAAGGCGAATGCGCGGATAATTTCTGCGTGTGTAGCTCCGAGGTTAGCCATTGCGCTGAATTCGAATAATGCCGCTGAGATGGTCAGTAATATGTTTCCTGCTGATGGGAGGCTTAATCCATGCGTGGTGAGGATCTTCCTTGCAGCGTTCAAATTGGTGATATCGGTCTTTATTCCTAGACCTGATGTGTGATCTTCGATTGGTTTGCTGATCGATAGAAGAGATTTGCTCGCGGTCGTTTTGCGGTTGGTTCTTCCTGTTTGAGTCATTATTGATGGGCTTGATGAGTCGTTGGGTGGCATGTTGGGGGGGGTTTCGGGGTCCTTGCTTCTTTTGATGGAGGGTTTTGACCGGTTGTTGCGAGTTTTTTGGTGGGTTGGAGTTGCTGTTGCTGTTGCCTTTGGACAGCTTGGGCGTCTTCTGCGCTATTGAGCGCTGCTTTGGTTGGTTTTGTTCCGGGGTCCTAATCGGGGGTGCCACCTGGTTCGGGTCCAAGAAGCGATGCTGTATGGGCTGAGGGAGGCGAGTGCACTGTGCCTGCCCGCAGCCATACAGGTGTGTGCGTTCTCATGCGTCATGATTTGAATTGCGCGAACGGCATCCTGTCCGTAGGTCGTACTGAGGTGTATGGGAGTGAAGGTTGCGCTGGTTGCAGAGTCTGGCTCTGAACTGAACCTATGGGTATGGCACGCATGGAGCAACCGACGTCGAACTCAGACGAGCGCTTTAAGCGATGGCCTATTTTATGTGCATGTTTGTTGTGGACACAGCTAGTTTACCGACGTAGGGTCAATATGATTGGGGAGATATAAAGCGCAGCGAGGAATGAAGGTAAGTTAAAAAATATTGGGGAATATTATACGCACAGGCCTTGACCAAGAGACGGTGCCTATCTCGACTGATGTTGTCCGAAGAGCATCATATGCAAGATTCAATTGCAATTTTGATGAGGTTGGAGGCGAAGCGAGGCGCTGATGAATCGGCTGTAATCCCGTGGGTTAGTCTCATGTCGTGCAAGAAGACCGTACATATGCTGTGCAATGAGCATCCGCATTACGCTTCCGTGACTTGGTTGCGGTTAAACAGGGAGATAAATCTTCACATCCTATAGGATGCTGTGACAGTGACACACTAGTAGACACGCATTGCAAGAAAAAAAACAATCATGCAGCGTTTCGTGTGCTTGCGCGAGACAAAGAATGCCCCCATAAACCGTTTTTCGCTGTCACTTTCAGACTTCTTATCCTTTCAGCCATATACTAAATGCAATAGAAGATTTTCCAATGCCCATTGTACCATGCAGCAAAATGAGCCTGCCGTTTTCTCAGTGGTTGAGTAATCGTGTGATGTCATTGATGCGAAGCTCCACCCAGGTCCTTCTAAACACGAAGGTACGTTTGTGGCGTGAGTTACATTTACAACGACCTAGGGCAGTTTCTCTCAAGTTCCTTCGTATGATCGGGGACCGCCAGGATCTACTAATGAGGTCAGAGAATGAGAGGGAATAAGAGGTCGAAATACTGACATTGAGCCGGACTCCTTGGTGTCAAATTGTGATCTAGATGGTAAGATACCCATTCAACGGAACAGCTTGGGGAAATACTACCCGGGTTCGACAGTTGTGGTTAGAAATCATATGGGCCACGGTACCGAGAGATACGATATGCCTCGACATTTGAAGACGTGAATCAAAGGATCAAAACCTAAGCTATCATTTAAAATGTTTGAGGCCAGGCAGCAATTTTCAAGTCAACTGGTCAGAAACGACGTGTCAGCTGTCCAGTGAACGTTTTCGATAGTAACATGAGTGAGCTGGGCGACAGAACCATCGGGCTGTGGAATCTAAAGAGACGTCTCAAGACGTCTGGCTTGAGATCAGATGAAGGAATGTTTCAATCGGATCCAAATCATCCAGAGCTATTTCGTGAAGTTTGCTGGATGGTTAAGGATCCATGAACAAGTCTGACCAGTGCACGTAAGTCGCCTGTTAAGCCTCATCTGAGTCATTGACTGTGAGAGGCTTTTAACTTGTGTGTAGAAATAGAAATCGGAGAGCCAACGATCGAGTTGTGAGCAAGTAGCAAGTGAACAAAGTAACGGTCGGGGCTCAGTCCGTTTATCTGCGTAGTGTAGCCAGTGTTACTCTGAAATATGAATCACCCAGACGGCACCTGTTGACATAAGTATATAAGTGTAAGTCGTGAAGGAGACCATGTTATCATGTAGTATGCAGAAGGCTATAGGGTAGACCAAAAGAAGGAAGACAGTCCTCATCGTATGAATATCACCGCGACCGAGTCAAGAATCTACAACGAACACGGGACCTTGGGCTTTAAAGTCTTAAACCCTGTCGATGTCCGAGTCGTCCATCTTACCCTCGGATCCTCCAGCACGTCCGACGCATTAACCCTCTCCTCAATCCCACAGCTCAAGCACACCGACTGCTCAACGCTCCAGTGTTTCGAATGCGTAATGTTCATAGCCGCAGTCTACGCTGAAATGTGGGTGCAGACCAGAGGATCAAGAGAGAGACGTTATCGTTACGTTGGCTCATGCGCATCGAGGAAAAAATGCTCACAAGAATCACCGCAACCTCCCTCGTAGGCAATGGAAAGACTAGTTCGATGCGGGCCGACGACGGACAAGGTAAAATCCACAGCATCCTATGAGGTATGATGGTTCCTCTGTGTTGGGAACAGAACTTTGCCCTTGAGCAGTTTGTGTTGATCTTCCCCCTGCAACTTGTCCTTGCGGTGTTGGACTCTCGCCTATCTTGCTCACACGTCGCATAGCTGCTTCTGCTTCTGCGTCGGTTTCAGGGGTTATCCCGTATCTCTGCAAAGATATCAAAGAGGGACATGTGTTGGTGATGACGAACCACTTACATCTTCATCACGGCAAGGAGCAACATCGACGGGACGCCTGGAGATTCTCACAGGAAATGAGCTGAAATGCAATCGCCGAGGCTGAAGCTGAATTGTTCGGGGCGAATTTGAAGGTCGAGTGCTGGAGCGCAGGAAGCCGAATAAGCTGTGCAGACCAAGCGGAGATGACCTGTCTGCTGAGCGAGGAGGCGTGCGGTTTGTGTGATCGCCGAAGAAGTCATTGCCCTGAACAGGCGTCAGGATAGATAGAGCTCAGAAATGATCGCACTGGACACACATATCTTGCCGAGCCTCTATTGTTGGTTTGCCGTCTAGGCGCAATAGAGATCTTATGAGACAAATGAGCGAATGATAGGGTATTCGCGGTTTTGTAACAAGCTCACGTCTCTAGGTCGAGTTGCACGTCCCTGATAAAGAAGTGAGATGAGGCATGAAAGAGAAGACAGGTGACTCACCTTGAGCTTCACGTTAGGATCGGCATTGTCCTGACCGACACACAAGATCGCTTAGAAAAGAGCATGATGAAAGCGACGTATACACGCACGTCAATCCCACGAGCATGCTTGAGTGCCGCTTCCAGACTCCATACATAGATTTTTGGATTCGGCCCCCTGATAGCACTGGCAAAGTATTGTCCATCAGAGGACATGACAACAATCGAGATCTGATCGTCGTGCCAAAGTGGGTCTCCAAGTTGCTGATTCGTTTCGAGGTCCCAGATGTGAACTGAGTAGTCGTATGATGCACTGACAAGATGGCATCCATCGGGAGACAGACAAATGGATTCAACAAAGTTAGTATGACCCTGAAAAACGACGAGTTCTTCCCCGTCGATCGATTGCCATTTTCGGATGGTGAAATCAAATGAGGCAGAGAAGATGTATGCCCCATCCTTGGACCAACATATCGATCTCACCGACTCTTCATGTCCCTTCATCTCGATAAGCAGCATGCCGTCTTTTGACCACACCCGGATCATTTTGTCCTCACTGCCGCTCGCGAATTTGTCACCTTGTGGAGAGTATTTGACTGTCCGCACAGTTTTATCACTTCCATTTATGGGTTGTGCAATTTGTCTGCCAGTGGCAGGGTTCCATTGTCGTATAGCGCCGTCGGCAAATCCACCTGCTACCTCCACCCCATTCGGAGACCAATCAAGGCACCTCACTCCAACATCATTCCCCTCCCACGGGTTACCGACCACGCTCCTCTCCTTTACATTCCACAGCCGTACTCTGCCATCATAGCTTCCACATACGACCATTGTTTCATCCAACGGCATCGTCATTGCGGTTACTCGCTTTCCATCACCATCACAACCCTTTCCTACTGGCTTTCCATCTCTTGTCCACTGGTGAATTGAACCATCGCCCGAGGTACTCATTATATTGTCACTGGTGCCCAACCAGGCAAGGGTCCTGTTAAACGAGTTGTCGCATTTGATGATGCCCTCTGGCATCAAACTCCCTGCTGTACGTTCTGGTGTTGGCTTCTTCCACGATGTGGTCTGAGTATTGTGGTTGACGAAGTAGGATCGACCAAGCGGCGAGATGTGCCATTCGCATCCAGGAATGAGCGACTCCCAGAGGTTATCTATGCTCGATCCTGAGTTCCTCGCTCTCATCGCACTTTCGTTGCTCACCTAGTCGCACCCCTGGTAATGGTTGCACTGCATACATGAGGAGTGCGTCATCGCGATAATACGGTCCGTCATCATCATGGAACTCTGTCCACATAGGAGGGAGCGCCTCATTCCCTCCTGCTCGATGTTCAGTCGGTCGATTGGTTTCACAATGTGCTCGCTCACCTTGCCAAAGTGCATCCTGGCGGTGCTGTGCACCATAAGCCGGCGGATTCTCAGAGGGCTTCATGGGAGCAATAGGTCCTGATGGGTCTGACAGCAGTCCTTGGTCCGCCTTTCTCCGTCTCGCTGACGTGCTTGACTCGGCTGTTTTGTTCAGCACGACGACGATTGGGGACATTGGTGGTAGTGGAGGTAGTGAACACACCTGCTAGATATGCTGTTTCGCATGCTGTATTTACAGGCGCCTTGCTTAGGCGATGACGTGTGCTGCTGATGTGTTAGTTCTAAAATAGATCAATCGCTCACCGCCCTCTCCCAATCCCTGTGCTCTCCAGACGTGGAGACCATGTACATTGTACATTGAAACTTGACCTTCACAAAACAGTATACTATCTAATAGACACTGGACACACAAAAATGATTATGGTGATATCAATATCGTAGCGGCGCCTGTGCGCCAGTCCCAGACTCCGATCTTGACCAGTTTGCTTTAAGTTCACTGTGGCAGGGCCAGGCACTGCGGCTATGTACTGAAGCTCCACTAATACTCGTAGTCTTGGTTTTTGGATTCGGATCTCATCCTTGGCTGGAATTTGAAATCACGGAGCCGGTCAGCGGCATCTCCTGCGGACGAACATCGCGTCCAAAAGTTCCAGAGATGATCATGAGATGCTCCTGGATGGTCAACTTTAGATAATGTAGATAGGGAGGGCAAACACGAACGAACGTAGTACTGCAGTACGTTGAGTCGGTGGCCAGAACACAGAGTTTGGAGAAGCTTGTCCAACTTGAAGTGAACAATGGTCACGTACGGCGAGTCTATGTAGCTACGCTCTTGATTCGATTAACCATTCCGAGACGACAATCCAAGACGAGTTGCAACACAAAATAAGTGCGTGCAATGCTGTGGCCAGCAATAAATTTGAACACCTTCCGAAGTCAGAGGATCGCGGATGACGATTCCGTCACATAGAACGGATTCTGCGTTGTCTGTCATTGAAGCAGTAATGGCTGATGGTGGATGATGTAAGGATAGACAGGTAACTGCCAATTATCAGCACAGAGCGGTTTACACAGAGAACGTTTGAACATTACTGGGTATGCCGAGTTTCATTGTCAAACCTGAAGGTCACTGCCGCCAGTCACTTGACATGCTTGCTTCTGGCATGTGTGAGGTTGCGAGAGTGGCAGATGAGCATCGTCGAATGTGATGCGTGGGCTGAGGATGGGCCAGAGTCAGTGTGTTGACCGGTGAGTGATGGGGAGCAGAGCTTGTAACACGATATTGGGACATACTGAGCGGACATTTGATTCAGCGTTGCAGCAGAAACGAATTGGCGCAAATGAGAGAAGAGTTCACGCGCTTGCACCACGTCTACCTCCACGTTTTTGGCGTGAGTTCAACGCGGAAGGCAGGGAATAGAAGCTCGATCCCATTGGTGTTCACCGTCCAGCAGGCTCGTGAATACTTCTCCATTCACAGTCGGCTGCACGTATGAGCACAGAGTCAGTAGGAGGATCCATGACGGTATGATATCAAAATGATACCGGAGCTCTTGCCAGGAGATTTGGCAATGTCAGATGTAGTCTGTATAGAAGTTATGAATCGTTGTTTGCAGGTAGATGAGTGCACATTGAGCTAACTACAGCTGTGAGCCCCGTCGTGAGCGTTACTGGTTGGACGATCCAGACGGATTTGGTCAATACGCTCCAAGCGTCATCGCGGAGGCATCCTCAGCCTGCCATAAGACCAGTGTAAGTAGGAGCAGAAGAACATTTTGCACCAGTGCGGCACGTCTGAAAATGAATCGATGTCAACCGACTCGAACGATGTGCCGTTTTGGCCGTATACTGCGATATGGCAGGCTGCTCTCTAGGTGGACGTCGAGTGACATCAACTCTCCTGTTCTGGTAATTTGACAATAGCAAGGTGCTGTCAGGCGTCAGATTATCAAACCAAGAACGACAGATGAGAAGATCCACGTTACAATAAACTTGCGCGTATGGCTACGACACCAACTTGAACCACTGGACCATGGATTGGTGTCGGCGTATGAAAAAAAAGGTACTGTCGCAAGAACTGTGTGACAACGTTTGAGCGGCGTAAATGGTCTTTCTCGGGGACGTTGTTGTCGTGACTGACTGGGAAATTGGAGACAATCGACGAGGTCCTTAATGGTGTACTAGTAGAGCATGTAGGACTTGACTCGGACGCGAACATGAACGTGGTCACGTGCAGCGCCTATTGGCTTCCTCATGTACGTTCTACTTCAGTGAAGTTCAGTCATTCCTACATCTTCTAGCAACAGTACTCTCCGAACAAGCTTCAAACACAGTCAATGATCATGTGTTCTCTCTATATTACTCCTCCGTATCCGATAACCTCCAAAAATCCGAGTCGTAGAAGACCAGCGCTCCCGTGAACGATTTGAAAATTTGAATGCGGTCGCGTGCAGCGTTCAATGTGATCGTCTACCACACTTCCTGCATGGCTTCCTCAGGCTCTGAATCGTGCACGTTCTACCATATTCCACTCATTCGCTGCATCTACTAACAACAGTTCAATATCCCGCGTCGACCTCTTTGTCCCTTCTCTTCTCCGCATACCGACTGCAATACCTCCCGATATCGCAGAAGACCAGCACAATCCTATTCATGCCTTTGTAAATTTGAGTCCCTCCTTCTTTCCCTTCGCATTCATCACGATGATGAATTTTCTGGTCCGACTCATCGGTATGCAGAATCGTGCTGACCAACCATACAGATACTGTTTCTCCTTGACCCTCATGTCCGATGCTCGCTCACCATCTGCACTCTATCCTTCGCACGTTCGTAAGTCTGTCTGTCCCTCTTCAAGTTCATTTCGCTGACCCTAAACTGTTGAACGACGTCAGCAGGCACCGCCGTAGGTTCACCATCAGTTAGTGGTCACCCTTCCTCCGTCACATTTATAGAGCGCGGAGAAGACGACTGGTATTCTTGATGCACTCATGGTACTTGCGTGGCTCGATTTCTGGGTTCTTAATACCCGTCATGTCGAAGAGATTATATTGCTCCCTGGTCAGGTTGTTAGCAATTGAGTAACTCACGTCTTAGACCGAGCTGCAAGCTCCCTGTAAAGAAGTCAGGTGAGGTATCAAAGAAGAAAGATGACTCTCGTCAAGGGTTCGCGTCGGAAAGGTCTTACCAACCGGATGGCTGTAGATTCACCAGACACGAGATGCAGGCTGACAAAGTCAGTATGCATTGCTGGGGCACAACTAACGTACATTGTTCAAATTGCTTGTCACATTGTAGCTAGTATCTAGCACCATACTAAACCGTCAGACTGCTTATCTAGCCCCACCGCGCAACATAGTAAGAGAGTCCTACGGGTTGTATACTTCAAACGAGACGATGCGGTTTGAAAAATAATAAACTAGTCGGGATTTATGACGACACGAGGGACGTACACGGCTGGGGGCAAGACGTGATCCATAAGAAAAGTGCGAGAGCGAGCAAAGAGAGAGATAAGAGAAAACTCGAGAGAAAGAAACATTTATACGACCTCCTGTCTGCGACGTGGAACGCGCACGACTGGCCAACCGCAGCAGATGACTTCCAAGGAAAATTCTCCAGGCTCGCCAGCTGAGCTTTGCGTTTGCGTTGGTCGGCCCTGAGGTCCATGTGTCCCCGATGCAGCTTGATCTTGTGCTGTTGAGATGCCGACATTGTTGCTGCTCGTACGTCGCATGGCTGCTTCTGCTTCTGCGTCGGTTTCAGCGATCATGCCGTATCTCTGCAAAGATATCAGAGAGGGACATGTAATGGTGATGACGAACCACTTACATCTTCATCACGGCAAGGAGCAACTTGTTCAACGGGGCGCCTGGAGATTCTCACAGGAAATGAGCTGAAATACAATCGCCGAGGCTGAAGCTGAATTGGTCGGGGAGAATTTGCAGGTCGAGTGCTGCCAGTGGAGGGCAGGAAGCCGAATAAGTTGCGCAGACCACGCGGAGATGACCTGTCTGCTGAGAGAGGAGGCGTGCGATTTGTGTGATCGCCGAAGAAGTCATTGCCCTGAACAGGCGTCAGGATAGACAGAGCTCAGAAATGATCGCACTGGACTCACATATCTTGCCAAGCCTCTGTTGTTGGTTTGCGGTCTGGGCGCAAGAGATATCTTATGAGACAAATCAGCGAATGAACAGAGTATTCACGATTTTATAACTAGCTCACGTATTTAGGTCGAGTTGCACGTCCCTGATAAAGGAGTAAGATGAGGCATGAAAGAAAAGACAGGTGACTCGCCTTGAGCATCACGTTGGGATCCGCATTGTCCTGACCGAGACACAAAATCGCTTAGAAAAGAGCTTGACGAAAGCGATGTATACACGTACGTCAACACCACGAGCACGCTTGAGTGCTGCTTCCAGATTCCATACATAGATTTGTGCATTGGGTCCATAGACAGCACTGGCAAAGTATTGTCCATCAGAGGACATGGCAACTACCAAGATATGATTATCGTGCCAAAGTGGGTCTCCAAGTTGCTGATTCGTTTCGAGGTCCCAGATGCGAACTGAGTAGTCGTATGATGCGCTAACAAGGTGGCATCCATCGGGAGACAGACATATGGATGAAACAGGGAGGGTATGACCATGAAAAACGACGAGTTCTTTCCCGTCTATCGATTGCCATTTTCGGATGGTGTAATCAAATGAGGCAGAGAAGATGTATGCTCCATCCTTGGACCAACATAACGATGTCACCCAGTTGTCGTGTCCCTTTATCTCGATCAGCAGCTTGCCGTCCTTTGACCACACCCGGATCATGTTGTCATCACCGCCGCTCGCGAATTTGTCGCCTTGTGGAGAGTATTTGACTGTCTGCACACCTTTATCGCTTCCCTTTATGGGTTGTGCAATTTGTCTGCCAGTGACCGGGTTCCATCGTCGTATAGTCCCGTCCTCCAATCCACCTGCTACCTCCGCCCCATTCGGAGACCAATCAAGGCACTCCACATATGCGTCATTATTCCCCTCCCACAAGTTACCGACCACGCTCCCCTCCTTTATATTCCACAGCCATACTCTGCCATCATAGCTTCCACATACGACCATTTTTTCGTCCACAGACATCGCCATTGCGCTTACTCGGTCTCCATCACCATCGCAAGACTTTCCTACTGGCTTTCCATCTCTTGTCCACTGGTGAATTGAACCATCGTCCGAGGTACTCATTATATTGTCACTGGTGCCCAACCAGGCAAGGGTCCTGTTGAACGAGTTTTCGCATTTGATGATGCCCTCTGGCATCAAACTCCCTGCTGTACGTTCTGGCGTTGGCTTCTTCCACGATGTGGTCCGAGTATTGTGGTTGACGAAGTAGGATCGACCTAGTGGCGAGATGTGCCATTCGCATCCAGGAACGAGCTCCTCCCCGGGGCCATCTATGCTCGATCCTGAGTTCCTCGCTCTCATCGCACTTTCGTTGCTCACCTAGTCGCACTCCTGGTAATGGTCTGTGCACTGCAAACATGAGGAGTGCGTCGTCGCAATAAAGTGGTCCGTCATCAAAATGGACCTCTGTCCACATAGGTGGGAGCGCCTCATTCCCTCCTGCTCGATGTTCAGTCGGTCAATTGGTTTCACAATGCACTCGCTCACCTTGCCAAAGTGCATCCTGGCGGTGCTGTGCACCATAAACCGGCAGAATCTCAAAGCGCTTCAGGGGAGCAATAGGCGCTGATCGGTCTGACAGCAGTCCTTGGTCCGCCTCCCTCCGTTTCGCTGGCGTGCTTGACTCGGCTGTGTTGTTCAGCATGACGACGATTGGGGACGTTGGTGATAGTGGAGGTAGTGAACACACCTGCTAGATATGCTGTTTCGCATGCTGTATTTACAGGCGCCTTGCTTAGGTGATAACCTGTGCTTCTGATGTGTTAGTTCTAAAATAGATCAATCGCTCCTCGCCCTCTACTGATCCTTGTGCTCTCGAGACGCGGAGACCATGTACATTGTACATTGAAAAGTCGACCTTCACAAAACAGTATACCATCTAATTGGACGAGTTTGAAGGGCCATCGTCCTCCGTCGTCCAGTGTAAACATGAGGTTGTTGAGAGTTGTCGAGGCCTCACGATCTTGCGCATATTTAAATGAAACCATTAGAAGAAAAATCAAGGATAGAAGAAATCAACCTGTATTACTTGCTTCAAACGACTTTGACAAGTACCTTGATCCATTAACCAGGTGATAATTCCGCACACAATCAAATCAAACCCCAACGGAATCACATCAGCTGAAAATTACAAATCTACTCTTACAGCGAAATATTCAAGGAAGATCTACATAGAAAGAAAAAAAAACGATCAATGTTCATCATATACTCACTGCGACAACTCCGATAGGTGAGTTACCTGCTTTCTGTGTATAGATTCAGGCCTCGGGACCGGAATTTGTCCTGAGGTGCGGTAGACGCAGAGGTAGCCACAGAGGTAGTCGTAGTGGAGGCAGCACCGCGACGGCCTTTAAGATAGTCGACAACAGGTAATATCATCAAAAACAAGATGGTGCAGCAAATGGTGATCGGGATAGCGATGAAGCAAATGATGTAGGTGGGACAGTCAACTGTTGATAAGATAGAAGTGAGAGTAGGGGGTGTTTCCCCCTCTCCGGACGTAGGCGGGCCAGTAGTAGCCTTGTCACGAGTCGGGACGGTTGCCGAAGGGCGGATGACACTTGCTGTCATGGGTGACGTTTTCCGAGAAATCTCCCGGGGCCGTAGCTCACGGACCCCGGTCCTGAAGAATCGGAAAACTTGTTCTGGCGGTACCGGCCCGAAAAATCGCTGGTCGTCCACGCTGAGAAATGTGTACTTGAACAACGCGCACTGAGAGGAAGTGAAGCCGCGGAAAGTAAGCGAGGTTCCAGGCCTGAGGACAGCATTGTAGACATATGCCAGCTCTTGCTTCGCTCCGGGACCGTCAACCACCAGACTCTCGCACTTGTGAGATCCCGAAAGCATATGGGGAACTGAAGCAAAGAGACAAAGGGTGTCCCGATAAGAGTTCACGTTGATGCGCATGTGCTTTGCGAGGAGAGCGAGGTGAAAGGTCGATGTGCAGTGTTTAGCGAGCAGGCAGATACCATCCAGATCCACATGCGTAAGACTGTCCCAGCGCTTGATAAGAGCTCGGAAAGCACCACGGAAAGCAAGAACACGAATAGGTCGGACCGCTGATTTTGCGGATCCTTCCCTGCGTAAGCCTGACTTGGATTGACCGGAAGGAACTTCAGAGATCCATTCGAAATGCTGTGGCTTGAGGCTCGATAAGAGATCGAATAACGGCGAGTCCACCCTTAGCCAGCGGGCGTGTGCGGCTGTATCCGCGGCAAGTTGCCGGTAAAGCTCTGGAGTAGGTATGCTCGACAACAGTGGGACCCCAGCGTTGAAACGAAACCTCAGGGTGCGAAGGTTTGGAAAAGCGGTAGCAGCACTGAGCACGCTGGGTGCTGGAAGGGTCTGGCGTTGAGATGATGGTAAGAAATTGATTTCTATGCACTTGACGTGTTCCCTATCGGCAGCTGTAAGAGTCGCCTGATTCGGGGAAATGCAATGGTGCATGAGGTGCAAGACAGAAAGCTCCGAGTGTAAGACGATCGTCGACAGGAATATGGGTTTTGCCAATGAAAAAACGCGCCGGTTGATCATGATCGCGTTGATAGTGCATTGGTTCGTGTAGTCGAAAACAAGGCAGAGAATGTGGTTCAAAACAATGTCTGGGAGAGTAGTCAAGAGATCGAGATGCCTTGGAAATTATGGGGTTAGGCAATTGTTTCAATCATAATTGGGTTTTCAAACCTGCCACCGTCATTTGAAGATTCAGCAGGCGCCATCATGGAAAGAGCGCTGAGCAGGCGGTAGTATGTGATGAAGGTGTCCACTGTCCAAGATTTGAGTTCAACGGCTCACCAATGTCACGTGATGTGCACTTCAAAATTACTCGCACTTCAAAATCTTGATTCTGCTCTACCACAGGGAACTCAGTAAAGCTTGCACATCTTGTACTCTTTAAGCTCTTGTACGGTATTAAAGGGTTCTCCGAGCATAGAACTAGAGGAACCCAGCTTGTCCTGCTAAATCCGTCACATCGCAAACGAGCGTCACGTTGATTCAAGGGTGGCCAACACGATTAAATGGCGATAATGTTTGACAAGGGCGCCGGATACGTTCGGAACGTACGGAACACCCGTTCCACCCCACTGGTCCCCGCAACTGAATCCATCCAATTTGCAAGTCGTGCTTAGGCTTATTCATTGATCATATCAAGCCTATCTGTGGTCATCCGGACTTGGCCCAGTGGACACCTCCATCCAAAATTAGCTGTTCACAAAATTAGGCCTTAGGAGTAAGTGAACTATCATTATACACTTGCGAGGTCAGCTGATAGCCTCGTATATAAAGCAATCGTTCTCTTCGCGGATTGTCTGAACACTGAACTCAATCCCGTATCCGCTTGACCATAACATGCGTGCATACTTCTTCGACAACCTTGAGGGTGACCAACGTCTCCCACATGACTCCGGCATGGAGGTTTCAGACGAGGTTTTGAAAACCATTGGTGTTTTGCACTGGCACATTCCCGTTGATGCCGAGGGCAAGTATGAGCAAGAGATTGCTCTTATTGCGAAGGAAAGGAATTACAAGAACCACGATGTTGTCGCTATCAGCAAAGAGGGCCTTGGTGATGAATATGAAACGAAGATCAAGAGCTTCTACCACGAGTAAGCTTCGTCTGTCCGATGTGTACCATGTACTTATCTGATATCTCAGACACATGCACGAAGATGAAGAAATCAGATACCTACTTGAAGGCACCGGCTTCTTTGACGTTCGTGGTATGTAGTAACTTGAACCCGGGGGCTTTTTATGAGATTAACGCTATGCAGAACACTCCAGTGAATCCTGGATTCGTTGCCATATGGGTGCTGGTGACCTCTTGGTCCTCCCTGCGGGCATTTACCACCGCTTCACCCTTGATATGGGTAACCGCGTTAGGACCATGAGACTGTTCAAGGTTTGCTCTCAGTCTGTGTTCGTTTTTATATTCTGACCGTCCCTGCGCTCCAGGATGAGCCCAAGTGGATTGCGCACAACCGTGGCCACCAAACGGATGCTAATCCCTACCGCTTGGAGTACTTGAAGAGCATTGAGGTCCAGTAAATCAACGTGCCTATGGTGGAGCATATGATGTATATTATGAATGAGATATCAGTGTCAACATCGCAATTTGTAGCGTTTCAGAGCGATGAGCATCGGCGGGTTAATTGGGAATCCACCACTCAACTTATCGCGGCCTTGAATCCGCTATCTTGGGCAAGTAGCGTTCTGTCTCCACAATAAGCATATGGGGACTTGCAAACGTACCCCGCATGAGAATGACCAAGTTGACGCTCACTCGAATGTCACGGGATGTGCGCAAATCAAGGCTTCCCTTGTAATATTGGGCACTAGTAGTATCTCGAAGTAAGTACTGAAGTACTTCAGCCAGTAGCTATATTGAATGTGGACATTCCATAGCATCATAAAACATACGAAAGCAAAACTAATAGCGATACAGCATCTATGACCCTCCAGCAATACAGTTACAAAACACCGCGGATTAACAAAACAAAACTCGTAACGTGCGTAAGAAAATGGTATCCAGAATATTGTCCGGAATGGTCATCGGATAAGAACAAATTGCGATTGGGTATGACAATGGTGGTCTGCATCGAGCTGGACCGTGAGACGCGGGAAGCGTCAGAAAGGAGCGTGGGGCGCTCATCAATCGCAGGAGCGCGAAGAAATGGGAATGGGAGTAGAGGGTTTGATCATAGGCAGCCGTAGCGGCATACCCTGGCCTCGACGTCTTCTTCAGGAGTAGGTTCGCGTTCAGAGAAAGCTTCTGCAACTGGCATAGCCTCGCGCTACAAAAATAAAGCATAAGCGACTTGGTCATTTTGGATCAAATCCAGGAAGACTTACAGCAGCGAACTCTGTGTTAGCAAGTGCAACAGCTGCAGGAGCTGCGACGGGTACAGGCGATGCCAATGCTACATGACAGAAAACGTCAATGTCACAAACATGTCAGGATGTCACAAAAAAACCCACCTAAAGCAGCAAAGCAGGCGATAACGTAGATGGGAGTGAACTTGGTCAACATGATGTTTTTGGGAGTGGTTTATTGTTCTGTTGACTTTTGGAAAGTAAAGTTCAAGGAGTCAGAACAAAAAGCGCTAGATGGAAGATGTATTCTGAGCGCAGAACAATAAGAGATGAGCTTGTCGAGTCATGAAGCCTGTTCGATAACGTCTTTATACCACCCTTGCGTGAGGGCTATCAGCTCCTTTGACACTGCCAAAGGAGGCTGGTCTAAAAGCTAACGACCGCATTTGGGGAGTAGCTTCAATCCTAATTAGGACGTTAGCTTGTTCGTCAGTGCACTACGATTCTTAAAATAACTTTTGCGATTAGTGCCTGCGTGTGCAGCCTCGGCACGCGTGCGGCGAGAACCTCGAGAAGCACAATATTGAGGGACGTGATACCGGCGGTGGGACGTATTTGGGTGTCCCCTTGTTAACTGTGAGGACAAATTCAAATTTGCATCCGGTCGCCGGTACCCTAGTGCTCTGATCTACAGCACCTGCCTTTTTGGGATCAAGGGGATATGTCTGTCCGACTCTGTCGGTGAGAGTACCTTCACGGTTGTGCGAAGTACTCTGTCTTGGTTTTCACTATCAACACCACAGCTCACGGCCTAGGGGAAGGTACAACTAATGACGCACTCCATAAGTCGAATGAATTTCTGTACTGCTTTCTGGAAAATGCGGCAATTTGGCTCGTAACGCCACACTAACGCTATATGTTGTGCCTAGAAGACTCGATAGCCCGAGGTAGATAGCTATCTAACGCCACGGTAGTAGTACCCTCGTGTTCCATAGCTGTAGTTTGTAGGTCCAGGTAGTCTAGTCTGTCGACTGTATAGCAATATTAATGATGAACAATGATCGATATAAATTTCATCAGCGAGCTCAATAACATCACCGTTGATTTACGTTAGCATCTGTCTTACCCGGTCCATAAAACAGATGTGCTGCTTGCAGAAGGTCTTGAACACTGATGCTGACAGATTTGGGCATCTCGGCAGGTTACGGTTTTGCCCAGTCATTAATTTATATTGGAGAGTTTGCACCAATAGATGACAGAGGCTAGTATATTCAGAGGACACTAAATTTGACACAGGCTACAAGACAGGGATATATATATATATAGCATTTCTCAGTCGCATCGAGCGAGAGTCCGTCAGAACGAAATGAAAGGATAGACTATCAAATACATAGCAGAAAAACAAAAACAGAGGGGAAAGTGACAAATGAGCGGACGGTGAAATGACACCAGCCCTCCAGATATTACTGGAAGGAATAGATGTAGTGGATACACGCCTATCACTTCTGAAATGAGCCAGGAAGCTATCACATACGATATCAAATGCGCCCACCGGAGAAAAAAAAATCAAAGGCACCCATAACGACAGAGGCGTGCCTCCAGTTCGTCGTCGGGATCGTCGACGAGTATGGAGGGATCCGCAGTGTGTTCTGCATCTTCGTCTCGGGCCAAGACACCAGTGGCTTCACGCAGCTCCACATCGGGAGCAGGCTCACGTGTCAATATATTCACTTCGAGCCAAGGCTCGCGCTGCACATGTTTCTCGTTCAAGAACCTTACAACACACGAAAACGAAAAAGATGACTTACCGCGACGACATCCATAAATAGAGTGATACCCTCACTGGGTGGAAGAACGATGGGGATGGGACTTGCACGCGCAAGAAGGGATACTGAACGAAGTGTTTAATCAAATGGTAGTGGTGCGGATGATAATGCAAATACGAACAGCAAGAAAGCAGAAAGATGGCAAAGACCGAGACCGAGAAGGAGAAGAGTTTCGGTGCCATGACTTGTATGCCTGCGTCTGAAAAAAAAACGAATGTAGAGGTTGTTGGAGAAACCCGAGCCACAGAACTTGAATACACAAAACAAGATAGCGGCAGCACAGTAATAAGAATGTGCGAGTGAAGGATAGGACGTGACGCTTTGCTTGCGCAACACAAAGAAATTGCCTGCTGTTAAAGAGACCTTTGTAGGACCTTTTTATCTTTGTGCGGTCGACGAAACAAGGCTATCGCGTTTTGCAGTATCTTCCCGGGACCTGAGGAGAGCTTGATGGACATGCGGCCGGCACCAGAACTCGATCTGGACCTTCGTTTCAGCGTTCAGGAATAAGCATGTGTGCCATTGGCCCATTGCTGATCCCTTTTGTGAATTGTGGACCCGTTGCAACATGTTTTGTACTTCTATGGTGGAACGTCATCCGTGTGTGTATCCAAGAGGTGGCCCGGACTGTCAACAGTGAGATTTAAATCAGCCTCGGGATCAAAAATTGGCCAGAATAGATGTGGTGTGGTAAACGTCGACGTCAAAGACTCGGAGTCAAAAACTGAGAAAAACAACACCTGCCGTAAAGGCACTCTTTCATCGACCAAAACAGAACAAGACACATGGGCGTCTGTAGTGCACGTGCAAATTTAGCTCGATGCCGCATTGATCCTTTACTTCACGTGCACAAGCATATGTTCGAGAGGCTTCGCAAATTATTAGCTTAGCTAGAGGCTCGACCTCGTTTTGCCGCCCGTTGAAGTCACTACTAGGAGAGGCACCTCAATTGGTCGGTACCTTCACTCGTTCTCCGGTAAGGACGATATCAATACCGGGGTCAATCCCACTCGAGCATTCCCTTTGAATGTCAAGTGCGCATGCTACATAATAGGTGGCGTGCATAGAAACCACTGACACTTGGTAGGTCCACACTTTATTCTTGAACGTTTGAACCAAGGAGGAATTTCTGTTTGAGATGCTGAAAGACACAGCAATAACAACGTATCTTGAATACAACATTCGTAAGTAGCGTACAGCCTTGAACAAGTCGTAAATGAGTCGTGGCGTCGTTGAAAAAATTGGGCGTCTAAAGAATGAAACCACGCAAACGTCGTCAAGGGTGTGAATCGTATGTAGCCAAAGTATGTGGTTCAGTACACAACCGCCAACACACATGCCGCTAGACTAAAACCTAGACAAGACATTGTGAATATCCCAACAACGCGCTGCAGCCCAAACCATGCGTAAGTGACGATGCCAAGAAGCGCCAAGATGAAGCCAAGGCTGCTTAGCGCGAAAGTCATATAATAGCAACGAGTCAGGAGATCTAGTGGGGGAGTGATCGTCCTCGAGTGAAGCCGGAGGTTCGAGGGTGTTTGAAGAAGGTAATGTATAGCATACAAAGGAGGGACGGCTCTGATCAAGAGCTGCTTTCCGTCAATGCTTTCGTAGCGTTCGCCATGGTCGTGGTGTTTCATAACGGAAGAGGGATCTGCATCAACGATCTCGTATCGAATGAGAGCAAAACACGCCACATATCCCAGAATTGCTAAGGCAAGCCATTAGTGCCTTGTGGTTCACCGAATCATCCAGACACTCACAAGAACAGACATGGAAGACGAGAGCACCAGCAAAACAAGCATACACGAATTCCTGGGATTGCGTGCTTGTGATAAGTTTCACCCCCGACGTTGTAGAGGCGGAGCTAAGGGTGAAGAGTTGACCATCGATCGTAGTGAGAAATGTCGTCTGATGGGTTGCTTCAGCAACATGTAACCAGAGTCACTTGAGCAATGGCTTACTATGACAGTGAGCGTCTGGAGTCGTTGCATCCAGGCTGCAACAAGCGACGAGTGATCTCCCGTGGTTGGTTTTTTTGCATCCTTTTCAGTCTTGCCGCGAACTTGTTCATCACGTTGAACATCTGTGCATTGTCAAGAACTCTGCTGGATTAAGGATGTGATGAAATACATACCCATACTGGATCCGGGGTCTGCTCGTTCGAGGTCTCCTTGACCAGACATGGAATCTGTGGTGTTTTCAAAGGGTGTGTTCACGAGAACAAAGTTGTGGGCCGCGTGTCCTTGAAAATCGAGCGCCTGCAGAATCCAGTTAGTGGATACAAGCTGGCCACAAGATTCCTTACGAACGTTCAATAAGTACTGAGTACTGAGTGTCCACGCTTGACAAGACTTCTCGAACTGACCTATTATATACGTGTTACGCCCCAAAGCGCTAAACGCTTCTCTAACAGCAAGGAAGTCGATTAATCAACCGGTTGCGCCGCTGCGGATGTCTTGGCATTGATATTACGGAAACAACATAATTCTGGAGGCGGAGAGATGTGGAGCCAACTTTGACGGACAAGTGATACATAATGGCATTGATGCGGGACGCTCGGGGGCGGTATATATGCTTATCGATTATTCATGGGCCATGGCGCGCTGTCGGTCAGAATTAGAATACCTATCGGCTGTCAAAATGGCAGTTCAGAAGAGCGTGAAGAGCGGATATCACCATCAGTGTGATTCAGTCGACGTCGTGAAGTCCAACGAAGAAGATAAGCAGATACTCACCATGATCCACAAGCCACGCGGAAGATTCAACGTGTCTACATGGCAAACCGTGATGCATCGCGGTCATGTTTGCTCGCATTGGCCAGATGATGTCTGTCTATGGTCACGACACGTTGATGGAAGACACCACAGAAGAGTTCACGCGTCAGACGTTAATTTGGAAATCGGGAAAAGCCGACACTATGACGTTCTCCACCGCGGTAGCCTGAGCGCTGATCGTATGTAAGATTTTGCGATGGTATCTAGACAGGATTTCCAACGAGGCCTATGACAAGTCGCCGGTGCTATGAATGCATCTATCACATTCACCGTAGCTGTGGACACCATATCCCGAAAAAAATGGAGAAAGACCACCTGGCTGCTACTTATTTATATCGCCAATGCGTAATCAGATGTCGTCAGATTCCATCAAAGAACGCAACAACATGTACAGCCTTGACATCGGTAACGAGTGGAATTTCCCGTGTCACGTGATTGACAAGGACCCGCGAGGAGACAGGGAGTCGGAGACGGGGATCTCGGGCCCATATACATGCACATCATCCCACCTGGTATTCGCAAGCCGCCCCTCGCTGAAATACGCCATGCAAGCAAACTTAGTGTTCACGAGATTCACTTCATCATCGCCAACTGGTTATACGCTAGGTCTATTGCATTACGAGAAGACTGTCGGTGCCGACACCAACCAGCTGTCAAACTACGTGGTTTACAGTACCGCCCATACACATGCCACGATACTAACACCGAGACAAGCTGTTGCGAATATCCCGACAACCTGCCGTAGTACTACCCATGAATAACTGGCGATACCAAGAAGTGCCAAAATAAAGCCAACACCACCTAGTGCCAAAGTCGTAAAATAACACCGAGTCAGGAGATCCAGCGGTGGAGTAGATGTCCTAGATTTAACCTGGAGCCCCAAGGGCATCTGAAAAAGGTTGTTTACAACATCTAAAGGATAGATGGGTCTAAGCAGACGCTGTGAATGATCTCAGGGTGATGTAAAGCAGGATTAGAAAATTTGCCTACCTCGGCGTTCTTTGCATCAGCAGGAGCTATATCAACAATCTGATATCGAATGAGAGCAAAAGATGCCACATATCCCAGGATCGCTGAGTCAGCTCGTAAGCGCCTCGCGCTTGGTCGTATCATCTCAGCACTCACCAGCACAGACATGGAAGATGAGGGCACCAGTAAAACACGCATACACTAATTCCTGAGATCCCAGGCTTGCATCAAGCGTCACCTCCGACGGTGTCGAGGTAAGCACGAAGAGTTCTCCGTCGACCGAAGCGAGAAATGTTGTCTGACAGTTCATTCCAGAAACATGCAACAAGAGTCACTGAACAATGGCTTACTATGAGGGTGAGCATTTGGAGCCGTTGCATCCAGGCTGCCACGAGCGCTGAGTTATCTCCTGGGGTTGTTGTGGCATTTCCGGTTGCGACCTGCCCTTCACGTTGGCCACCTGTCATATTTCTCAAGAAAACTGCTGGATTGATAAAACGTCATTAACAGCATACCATCACTTGCGCGTTGGGTACTAGGCCCAGGTTCTGCCCGTTCGAGGTCTCCATCCATATTCGGCTGACCAGACATGACCTGCAGCGTTGCGAGAGTCTTTAAGGATTGAGGGCCTGAAGCATCCGATTAGTGGATGGTAAACTGGCCACGGGAATCCTCACGACCCTGAACGTTCAGCACTGAGTATATATGCACTGTCACGGTTCTTGACTGGCCCACGGCTGACAGGACTTCTCAAACACACCTTTTTAATAGGCTTTGCGGCGCATGCTTCACCAACAGCACAAAACCGATTGGGAAATCAATTGATCTCCGGAATCACGGTGGCAGGTTGGATACCTTGGCGCCGATGCTTATCAAAAGATTCGAAAGAGCATAATTCTGGGGGTGGGGCAAGCTTCGATTCAGGTGGAATGGGGATGAATGGATCATGGGAATGCGGCAGATTTGCTTAAGGACAGTCACGGTATCAGCCGCCAGTGATAATTAATGGGGTGTGCTTTGCAAACCCAATGGTGACGATCATGGCTGGACTTCAGTACTTTCCAGTACCACCCCGATTCGCCAGAGTGCTCGTTGCCAACTTGCTGGCCCTGCTGGGGGTAAACTCGTGACCTTTTTTCTTCCAGAAAACATCGATCGGACTTCCAAATAAATTGGCAAACTTGTTTATTATATCATCCGCATGGCGCCTCGAATGTGCATGATAGACTTCAACGTTTCAACTGCAAGGGATGTCTAAAGAAAAAATCAAGCGTCGGCGTTTCATACGGCTATCAGATGCATGGGGATTCGGATTCTCTGCACTCTCGTTTTGAATTCTTCAGGTGGCGCAGCTTGGAATCCAACCGGGCATACTGATTTCCACAACTAGCGCACTCCCGGGCCGTTTTGTCGTTCAAGTGAACTGCAACGACGGTATGCTCTCCTTCTTTGTCTTCTTCCCGCAGTCGTCCCAGCTGCACGATATCTGATTTTTGTTGCCGCCAGGTTTGACACTGAGCTATTTGGAGGTGCTTCGCCGCCTCAGACTTTTCGACAATTGCAGGACCTACGCCAACGGCACAAAAAGCCATCCGGATCATCCATCAACGACGAACGCTCACTCACTCTCTTTTGGCCAGGACGAAGTAGGCAAAAAAAGTTCAATTCCGCCGCAAAGACTAGAGAGCTGGAGTTCTGCGCGCAAGGTTGGATGTCGTAGGATCAGGCTCTCTGTCATACTTCTTACGCATTCTGCTGGATCTATAGAATGTTATTGTGTGCAAACCATCATCCTCGTGCTGGGTACTAGGCCCAAGTCTTGCTCGCTCGAGGTCTCCATTCATGTCTGGTTGACCAGACTTGGCCTGTAGCGTTCACCACGGATCAGTGGGCGTGTTTCCTGAAGGAATCGGAGCGCCTGGAGCATCCAATTAGCGGATGATAACTTTTTTTCACAGAAATCCTCGCGGGCCTTGACTGGGCCTACATCTGACGAGACTTCTCGGACGAACGTACCTGTTATATGCTTGCGGCGAACGCTTCGCAAACAGGAAAGAATTGATTGGGAAACCGACCACTGTGGCCCGCTGTTTTTGGCGCCGATGTTACCGAAATAACTTAATTTTAGGGGTGGGGCAAGCTCTGAACGCCGCAGGGCAGGGTCTATAGATCATGGGAATGCGGCAAATGGTAAGCGGGACAGCATCAACCGCCAGCGATACAAGCTCGGATCTTTCCTGCTAGCTTACTGCACGACCCTGAAGAGTTTGAGGCACATATCCAGAGGTCGGTGGTCATGCATAGCATCTTATCTGGAGGTTGATGCTTTGGATAGATTTGTTGCGACAATAGTCATGGAGATTACATATGGATATGAAGTGCAATCAGAAAACGACTCGTATGTTTTTGCCGTGTCAGAATTGAACGCAATCCTTACGAAAGGGCTCACTCCTGAGAGATCAGCTATTCTCTTGGCATTTCCTTTTTGTAAGTTGGTGTCGAATCGATCAGGTGCACTAGCGAAAAAAACACCTAAGCAAGGCGCCTGTAAATACAGCATGCAAAACGGCATATCTAGAAGGTCTGCTCACTACCTCCACTATCACCAACGTCCCCAATCGTCGTCGTCATGCTGAACAAAACGGCCGAGTCAAGCAAGCCAGCGACACGGAGAGGGGCGGACCAAGGACTGCTGTCAGATCTATCAGAACCTATTGCTCCCCTGAAGCCCTCTGAGAATCCGCCGGCTTATGGTGCACAGCACCGCCAGGATGCACTTTGGAAAGGTGAGCGAGCACATTGTGAAACCAATTGACCGACTCAACATCGAGCAGGAGGGAATGAGGCGCTCCCTCCTATGTGGACAGAGTTCCATAATGATGACGGACCACTCTATCGCGACGACGTACTCTTCATGCATGCAGTGCACAGACCATTACCAGGAGTGCGACTAGGTGAGCAACGAAAGTGCGATGAGAGCGAGGAACTCAGGATCGAGCATAGATGGCCCCTTGGAGTTTCTCGTTCCTGGATACGAATGGCACATCTCGCTACTAGGTCGATCCTACTTCGTCAACCACAATACTCGGACCACATCGTGGAAGAAGCCAACGCCAGAACGTACAGCAGGGAGTTTGATGCCAGAGGGCATCATCAAATGCGACAACTTGTTCAACAACACCCTTGCCTGGTTGGGCACCAGTGACAATATAATGAGTACCTCGGACGATGGTTCAATCCACCAGTGGACAAGAGATGGAAAGCCAGTAGGAAAGTCTTGTGATGGTGATGGAAACCGAGTAAACGTAATGGCTATGCCGTTGGATGAAACAATGGTCGTATGTGCAGGTTCAGATGGCAGAGTACGGCTGTGGAATATAAAGGAGGGGAGCGTGGTCGGTAACCCGTGGGAGGGGAATAATGTTGGATTGTGGTGCCTTGATTGGTCTCCGAATGGGTTGGAGGTAGCAGGTGGATTGGAGGACGGCACTATACGACGATGGAACCCGGCCACTGGCAGACAAATTGCACAACCGATAACGACTGGTGATAAAACTGTGCGGACAGTCAAATACTCTCCACAAGGCGACAAATTTGCGAGCGGCGGTGATGACAAAATGGTCCGGGTGTGGTCAAAGGACGGCAAGCTGCTGATCGAGATAAAGGGACATGAAGACAGGGTGACATCATTGTGTTGGTCCAAGGATGGGGCATACATCTTCTCTGCCTCATATGATCACACCATCCGAAAATGGCAATTGATCGACGGGGAAGAACTCGTCGTTTTTCGGGGCCATACCAACAATGTTGGATCCATTTGTCTGTCCCCTGATGAATGCCATCTTGTTAGCGCATCATACGACTACTCAGTTCGCATCTGGGACCTCGAAACGAATCAGCAACTTGGAGACCCACTTTGGCACGACAATCATATCTTGGTAGTTGCCATGTCCTCTGATGGACAATACTTTGCCAGTGCTATCTATGGACCCAATGCACAAATCTATGTATGGAATCTGGAAGCAGCACTCAAGCGTGCTCGTGGTGTTGACGTACGTGTATATATCGCTTTCGTCAAGCTCTTTTCTAAGTGATCTTGTGTGTTGGTCAGGACAATGCGGATTCCAACGTGAAGCTCAAGGCGAGTCACCTGTCTTCTCTTTCATGCCTCATCTCACTTCTTTATAAGGGACGTGCAACTCGACCTAGAGACGTGAGCTTGTTATAAAATTGTGAATGCCCTGATCATTCGCTCATTTGTCTCATAAGATCTCTATTGCGCCTAGACCGCAAACCAACAATAGAGGCTTGGCAAGATATGTGAGTCCAGTGCGTTCATTTCTGAGCTTTACCTATCCTGACGCCTGTTCAGGGCAATGACTTCTTCGGCGATCACACAAACCACACGCCTCCTCGCTCAGCAGACAGGTCATCCCCGCTTGGTATGCGCAACTTATACGGCTTCCTACGCTCCAGGACTCGACCTGCAAATTCGCCCCAACCAATTCAGCCTCGGCGAATGCATTTCAGCTTATTTCCTGTGAGAATCTCCAGGCGTCCCGTCGATGTTGCTCCTTGGCGCGATGAAGACGTAAGTAGTTCCGTCGTCACCATAACATGTCCCTGTTTGATATCTTTGCAGAGATACGGCATAACCCCTGAAACTGACGCAGAAGCAGAAGCAGCTATGCGACGTACGAGCATCAACAATGCTGACAGCTCAGCAGTACAAGATCAAGCTGCATCGGGGACACATGGACCTCAGGGCCGACCAACGCGAACGCAAAGCTCAACTAGCGAGCCTGGAGAATTTTCCTATGAAGTCATCTGCTGCGGTTTGCCAGTCGTGCGCGTTCTACGTCGCAGAAAGGAGGTCGTATAAATGTTTCTTTCTCTCGAGTTTTCTTAAACCTCTCTCTCTTACGGCACAAAAAGCATTCCAGATCATCCATCAACGACGAACACCCACCCACTCTCTTCTGGCCAGGACGATGTAGACAAAGGAAGTTCAATTCCGCCGCAAAGACTAGAGAGCTGGAGTTCTGCGCGCAAGGTTGGATGTCGTAGGATGAGGCTCTCTGTCATATTTGTTACGCATTCTACTGGAGCGATAGAATGTTATTGTGTGCAAACCATCATCTGCCTGCTGGATACTAGGCCCAAGTCTTGCTCGCTCGAGGTCTCCAAGCATGTCTGGTTGACCAGGCTTGGTCTGTAGCATTGCGCTTGTGTTCACCACGGATCAGTGGGTGTGTTTCCTGAAGAATTGCCTCAGAGCGCCTGGAGCATCCGATTAGCGGATGATAACTTTTCTTCACAGGAATCCTCACGAGCCTGAACGTTCAGCGCTGAGTGTCCACTGTGGGGCTTGACTGGGCCTACATCTGACAAGACTTCTCGGACGGACATACCTGTTATATGCTTGCGGCGAACGCTTCGCAAGCAGGAAAGAAATCGACCGCTGTGGCCCGCTGTTTTTGGCGCCGATGTTACCGAAATAACTTGATTTTAGGGGTGGGGCAAGCTCTGACGCTGTACATAGGCCAGGGTCTACGGACCATGGGAATGTCACAAATGGTAAGTAGGACAGTATCAACCGCCAGTGATATATCTGATGAGTGATAAGGCATGCTTTGATGCGCGTTGCTTTTGGTAAAACAGCGTGGCATCATAGACGGACTTGCCAGGGTTATGATCATGCCAATGCGATTTCGGCCAGTGGCAGCTGCTATCACTCCGAGTCGGAACTTACTATAGGTTTCTTCAAAGATCAACATGTTTCATCCCACGCAGAAGTCTGAGTTCATCAAGCGCTTGTACTAGTCCAACTTCGTCCTTGGTATTTATGTGTGCCCCGCAAAATTATTTTGGCTATCGCACCGAACCCTTCTAGGGCCACAAACGCGGGCATTAAATCCCTGAGTTCAGATATTGGATTACAGAATGCAATGTGACTTATTTCAAACAGCCTCATTTACAAGTACTTATACTCGTCGCTTCCAGAGCTGCCCAGTCGTTGATTCTGATCCGCGATGTTGATGAACTTATCATTGTTTGCTGCCAGTGCCTTTGGCGGCGTCATCACTCTTTTTTTGGTTCGCGTTATTGCGCGACGCAGAACAACTTACTCTGCTTCACTGCCTCGCCCTCCAGGCCCAAAGCCTCTCCCTGTGATTGGTAATGTCATGGATATAAGTCTCACTGAAACTTGGTTGTCGTATACAGCATTGAAAAAGATATATGGTGGGTCTACATACATTGGTGGTCAGAGATTTCATCTAACATCTTGAATTTCAGGTGACCTGGTCCGTCTTCGATTGATGGGACAGGAATTTGCTATCATCAACTCAGAGAAAATCGCACACGCACTGTTGGATCAACGATCTGCTATTTACTCAGACAGACCCATCCTCCCGGCCAGGAAATTGTGCGTTCCTTTGATTCCATGTGATCTGTAGTTTATGCCTTGTCACAGCTATGGCATCGAGTGGCTGACGATCCTTTTGCCCTATGGAGCAGAACTAAGAGCCCATAGAAAGTTGTTCCATCATGCATTACAAGCAGAATCATCACTTCGCCAGCGTGAAATTTACTTGCGCAGAGCTTGGGTCTTTCTTGCTAGCTTACTGCACGACCCTGAAGAGTTTGAAGCACATATCCAGAGGTAGGTCGGTGGTCATGCGTAGCATCTTATCAGAAGGTTGATGTTTGAATAGATTTGTTGCAGCAATAGTCATGGAGATTACGTATGGATATGAAGTGCAATCAGAAAACGACCCGTATGTTTCTGCCGTGTCAGAATTGAACGCGATCCTTACGAAAGGGCTCACTCCTGAGAGATCAGCTATTCTCTTGGCATTTCCTTTTCGTAAGTTGGCGTCGATTCGATCAGGTGTACAATCATAGCTGAGGTTTCTGCAGTTACACATATCCCTGCGTGGTTTCCGGGCGCGAAGTTCCAGCGTGAGGCGTTGCACTCAAGGCAGTTGGCCCAAAAAGTGCTTAATGCGCCTTTCGAGTTTACGAAATCGCGGATTGTAATTCATCTCACGGGTCATCAGAGTGTTGCAGCTGACGTGACATTTAGGCAGCCGGAACTGCTTCACAATCTTTGGTGTTTGATTGCTTGACACAGATAGACGAGGACAATAATGAAGCACAGGAGTATGTGATCAAGGGAGCCGCGGCGACGGTCTTCATAGGTAAGGATTCTTCCTTTCGCGGGCTTCATTATCTCACTTGTTACGCATCCAGCTGGATTTGAAACGGTATACTTGGTTCACCTGATTTTGTTAGATTCTAAAAAAACATATATCATCTAGAGTTCTTCGATATTACACGGATTCATTCTGGCCATGGTTCTCTACCCAAAAGTTCAGGCCAAAGCGCAGGCTGAGATTGACACCTTCGTCGGTTCGACAAGGCTGCCAAGTTTCGAAGATAGGCCTTCATTGCCCTACATCGAAGCTATTCTCAGGGAACTGTTAAGATGGAGCCCTGCGATACCACTAGGTATGCATCATCATCATCACAACAACAGTTTTTTTTTTTTACTCTGGTCGTTCAGGGGTCTCGCATGCTACGTCAAGTGATGATATATTTGAAGGCTACTTCATACCAAAGGGTTTGTGTCCATCAGTTATATTCAGCGACAGATCTCACTAGCTCCGGCAGGGGCCTGCGTGACCCTCAACGTCTGGTACACAACGGTTTCTCTTTTTCGTTTTCAATCTGACCGCGCCTACTGGCAGGGCGATCAATCAAGATGAGGAGAAGTATCCCGATCCAGACGAATTTAGACCTGAGAGGCACTTTGCCACAGACGGGTCACTGTTGTCGGATTCAATCTCTGACAGCCCTGTGTTCGGCTATGGTCGACGGATTTGTGAGACATCTCCCAACGAAAGATAAAGAGCAAGAATATTGACTTTGGACAGGTCCAGGACGGTTTTCTGCGGAGTCGATTGCGTGGGTTGCCATTGTTTCTATCCTCGCAACTTTTCGTATAGAGAAGGCGAAAGGTGTGGATGGCCGTGAGATTGACGTAAAGAAACAGTATACAACCGGGCTGTCGATGTTCGTGAATGATGTTGGCATTTCCATTTTGCTAATCCATATTACAGACATCCTGTTCCTTTTCGTTGCGCATTGCTGTGTCGTTCCGCGCAAAAGGAGAAGATGGTTAGAGAAAATTCAGACTCTTGACTTACGCTTGACCAGAGAATGTTTCTAGCATGACATTTTATATGACAGTGGTATGATACCGTTTTACAATGGATGATGAAGGGAACATCTAAACCATGTATCCTTACAAAGACAGCGAAATATTCAGGATGAGTGATGTGATGGGGCGTCTGAGCGGAAAGGAGTGCTTACCGAAAGGAGTTGTTCGAGTGGTTTCATCCTCACGATGCTGGAATAGTCGGGGACTGGCGTGGCTACAATATACACAACGGTCAATCAACGCAGACGTATACTCACCTTGAACACAGGTCAATAACTTAATCAGCATGTAATACGAACTGATCCATTTTGTTCCAGGCTGAAGAAAGTTTTTTTTTTTGGTTTGGTGGTGAACGTTGCAATTGGAGTACCACTGAAGCGGAGGTACGATGAGGTCAATCCAACGTCGGGCACCCCTCCGAATGTCAACATTGTCTGCATATCTCCACTCGCACTTGAACTTATTCATGTGAACACTCACTGGACCATCTCGTTAAATGGGCGTAACAAATCATTCGCTGACCAAGAAAGACAAAAGACGGTCAACGACAACAGAAGAAGCAATCGACGAATCAGAAGAAAAAAATCAGACGACGACATCACCAGCGCGCTCCTCCTGTTCGCCATTACTGCTATGATCGCTTTGCGGTGGATCCACTCTACGATACCATGGCCAGTCCAGCAGCACTGTCTCCTTGATAATCCGAGGGATGCGAAGGTATAGCGGCGGTGGGATAGGAATGAGAATTGATGTGCGCGCAATGTATTCTTGATATGCCACCCAAGGGCTTGGTACGGGAGGCAATTCCGGTAGGGACTTGGAAACGTTCATGCCTGGAGTCGGGTTCGCCGCGCCGGCTGGGGAAGTGCTGTTGGTAGTTGGGGAAGTGTTTACTGTTGGAGCGGTCCCAGAATTGGGTTTCGCAGTATTGGCGGTCCGTTTATCGTCTTGAGAGAGCTTCTGGAACTTTTGGGCCACGGAGCGTTCTGCGGGAGGGATACCTGATGCAAAGAGGAGTAGACTGTGAACTTGTTTAGTCCGCTGAACAAGTTGGTATACATGGATATTCACATCATTGTCAAGATCGGAGAGACAACGGCGCCAAACTGTGCTGACTTTGCAGAGTCACTGAGACCTGACGTGCTTGAAGTGGCAGGGGAAATTGAGATGATCCAAATGCCCCACCAACAAAGAATCCTGTGCTTTGTCAATAGAGGTAGAAAAAATAGAAGAATGGTGGACGTACTCTCCAAAGTAAGGGGGGTGCCGAGAATATCGCCAAAGACCGCTCTGTCAGCAAACTCAGCATCGACGCAGAATTTCAAAATGTAGACCAAAGACCCTACGTTCATGATGACATCCGGCGGAGGTCCCGTTGATTTGAACAAGAACTAGCACAACTGGTCAGTGGGCACGAATAACGACATCACTAGTGAAATAGGACCTTCTGCAAGTCTGCTACAACTTCAATAGACCAGCCGATACCCCACAAAACGACGCCGGCGATATCACGCGATGTCCCGAAATTTGGGTGGCAGACGTGTATGGACGGGGAAGGACCGGCAGTAGACGGAGAATTGAGGATGGTGATGGGGAGCGAAACAACCCAGACCTAGAAAAAAACGACATCAACAAATGATCGAGGACAGACATGGAAGAGCAGGACACACCCAAACAATTTGACCTAAGGCGGAGGTGGGCAAATGCTGTCATTCTCATTTTCACTAGAACACGGGAATGGCCCACCTATCCAAAATCCTACAGCACAACACTCAGTCACCGAACTTCAGGTGATATGATTATTCTTGGGAATACACACCAAAGATCTTTCCGAAGTTTTCCCTGAACCCGTCAAACCTCGCATCGCGTCCTCTCGTCAAAACGCGAAGTAACAAGAAACCTTTGCGATACGAGTCGTCAAGAAACCGTAACGGGTGCTTGACGTGAAATGAAACGTACCTGCAAGCCGTGCCGCCCATATCATCACAAAGTAACTAACTGCAACATTTCGACCGCAATATGTGTTACCCAGGAGGAGAGTCATCAACGCTGTAACATGGAACCCGCCATATCCCTAGTCAGATGCAAGTTCTGTGACATAGCCTGCTCACGTACCGAGGATCAAAAAGTTTACGCCTAATAACATCCTCTCAGTGACTCTGAATGAGTAGGGTATCAGATGGACGCACCACCAGCAAAGTCGGTGATCTTATCGGTCTTGAACTTCCATGCAACGGCGAATGCGATGAGCTGCCATGCAGCGGTGACAAGGAGTGTGATGCCAAGGTAATATTGGTCGAGGACATGGACTGGTGCCATCTGCCAGGAGATGAGGAGGATTACGGGAAGTCAATAGGATATCGTTCGTATTTTATCATATCGAGCAGAGGATGTCAGCCAACGGTCACCGGTCAGCCGCAGCGTAGAGCCACTTTGAAGGTAAGTAGAAAACCAAATGTGTAGTGACTATCAGTCATCACAAAACGAATTCAGAAGGCGATGATCTCAGCTGGTAAATGATGCACAACACAGTCCCCAGTCGGAGGTCTCAAAGACGCTCCGAGTCCGGATTGCCGGTGCATACGGTACCACGGTCCAGAAATATATAGGTACAAAAAAGCGCGTACCAGGTGGGCCACGAGCTCAATGGGCGTGAACGTTTGAACATATTCCCAGTGCATTTATTGTGTAGCCGATAACAGCGGTTAAACGAAGTACACAAATTGTCTGCCAATGTATCCATGCAGTTATACGTCGGACCCGCTTTCTCTTGCATGTGCACGCTAATCCATATGAAGCCGCAAAACGGCATGCCGTCCAGTGTCTATTAGATGGTATACTGTTTTGTCAAGGTCAACTTTTCAATGTACAATGTACATGGTCTCCGCGTCTCGCCAGCACAGGGATTAGTAGAGGGCGAGGAGCGATTGATCTATTTTGGAACTAACATACCAGAAGCACATGTTATCACCTAAGCAAGGCGCCTGTCAATACAGCATGCGAAACAGCATATCTAGCAGGTGTGTTCATTTCCCCCACTATCACCAACGTCCCCAATCGTCGTTATGCTGAACAACACGGCCGAGTCAAGCACAACAGCGAAACAGAGAGAGGCGGACCAAGGACTGCTGTCAGATCCATCAGCGCCTATTGCTCCCCTGAAGCGCTCTGAGAATCCGCCGGCTTATGGTGCACAGCACCGCCAGGATGCACTTTGGAAAGGTGAGCAAGCACATTGTGAAACCAATTAAGCGACTCAACATCGAGCAGGAGGGAATGAGGCGCTCCCTCCTCTGTGGACAGAGTTCCATAATGATGACGGACCATTTTATCACGACGACGCACTCCTCATGTTTGTAGGGCACAGACCATTACCAGGAGTGCGACTAGGTGAGCAACGAAAGTGCGATGAGAGCGAGGAACTCAGGATCGAGCATAGATGATCCCTTGGAGTCGCTCGTTCCTGGATGCGAATGGCACATCTCGCCACTAGGTCGATCCTACTTCGTCAACCACAACACTCGGACCACATCGTGGAAGAAGCCAACGCCAGAACGTACAGCAGGGAGTTTGATGCCAGAGTGCATCATTAAATGCGACAACTGGTTCAACAGGACCCTTGCCTGGTTGGGCACCAGTGACAATATAATGAGTACCTCGGGCGATGGTTCAATTCACCAGTGGACAAGAGACGGAAAGCCAGTAGGAAAGGGTTGTGATGGTGATGGAAACCGAGTAACCGCGATGGCGATGTCTCTGGAGGAAACAATGGTCGTATGTGGAAGCTTTGATGGCAGAGTACGGCTGTGGAATATAAAGGAGGGGAGCGTGGTCCGTGAACCGTGGGAGGGGAATAATGACACAGTATGGTGCCTTGATTGGTCTCCGAATGGGGTGGAGGTAGCAGGTGGATTGGAGGACGGGACTATACGACGATGGAACCCGGCCACTGGCAGACAAATTGCACAACCCATAAAGGGAAGCGATAAACCTGTGCGGACAGTCAAATACTCTCCACAAGGCGACAAATTCGCGAGCGGCGGTGATGACAAAATGGTCCGGGTGTGGTCAAAGGACGGCAAGCTGCTGATTGAGATGAAGGGACATGAAGACGGGGTGACATCGTTATGTTGGTCCAAGGATGGGGCATACATCTTCTCTGCCTCATATGATCACACCATCCGAAAATGGCAATCGATCGACGGGGAAGAACTCGTCGTTTTTCAGGGTCATACCAACGTCGTTGAATCCATTTGTCTGTCTCCCGATGGATGCCATCTTGTCAGTGCATCAAGGGACTACTCAGTTCGCATCTGGGACCTCAAAACGAATAAGCAACTTGGAGACCCACTTTGGCACGACGATCACATCTCGATTGTTGCTATGTCCTCTGATGGACAATACTTTGCCAGTGCTATCATTGGACCGAATGCAAACATCTATGTATGGAATATGGAAGCAGCACTCAAGCGTGCTCGTGGTGTTGACGTACGTGTATCCGTCGCTTTCATCAGGTTCTTTTCTAAGCGATTTTGTGTGTCGGTCAGGACAATGCCGATCCTAACGCGAAGCTCAAGGCGAGTCACCTGTCTTCTCTTTCATGCCTCATCTCACTCCTTTTCCAGGGACGTGCAACTCGACCAAGAGACGTGAGCTCGTTATAAATACCCTGATCATTCGCTCATTTGTCTCATAAGATCTCTATTGCGCCTAGACGGCAAACCAACAATAGAGGCTTGGAAAGATATGTGAGTCCAGTGCGATCATTTCTGAGCTCTATCTATCCTGACGCCTGTTCAGGGCAATGACTTCTTCGGCGATCACACAAACCGCACGCCTCCTCTCTCAGCAGACAGGTCATCTCCGCGTGGTCTGCGCAACTTATTCGGCTTCCTGCGCTCCAGCTCTCGACCTGCAAATTCGCCCCGACCAATTCAGCTTCAGCCTCGGCGATTGCATTTCAGCTCATTTCCTGTGAGAATCTCCAGGCGTCTGGTCGATGTTGCTCCTTGCCGTGATGAAGATGTAAGTAGTTCCGTCATCACCATTACATGTCCCTGTTTGATATCTTTGCAGAGATACGGCATGATCGCTGAGACTGACGCAGAAGCAGAAGCAGCTATGCGACGTACGAGCAGCAACAATGCTGGCAGCTCAACAGCACAAGATCAAGCTGCATCGGGGACACATGGGCCTCAGGGCCCACCAACGCAAACGCAAAGCTCAGCTGGCGAGCCTGGAGAATATTCCTATGAAGTCATCTGCTGCGGTTTGCCAGTCATGTGCTTTCGACGTCGCAGACGGGAGGTCGTCTAAATGTTTATTTCTCTCGAGTTTTTTCTTTCACCTCTCTCTCTTTGCTCGCTCTCGTACTTTTCTTATGGACCATGTCTCGCCCCCCAGTCGTGTACGAGCATCGATCACGTCGTCATAAGTGAACATTTGTTTTTGACTATTCTATTATATCCATACAGCATCGTCACGTTTGAAGGATACAACTCGTGGCGCTCTCTTCTGTTGCGCGATGGGGCTAGATAAGCAGTCTGACGGTTTGGTATGGCGCTAGATACTAGCTACAATGTGACAAGCAACTTGAACAATGTACGTTAGTTGTGCCCCAGCAATGCATACTGACTTTTGTTCAGCCTGCATCTCGTGTTTCTCCCTTGCTGGTCAACCTACAGCCGTCCGGTTGGCAAGACCTTTCCGATGCCAACCCTCGAAGAGAGTTATCTTCCTTCTTTCATACCTCACCTGACTTCTTTACAAGGAACTTGCAGCTCGGTCTAGAGACGTGAGCTACTCAATCGCTAACAACCTGACCCTTTACTCATTCGTCTAACCAGATTTCTCTCTCTCGCGCGCGCCTAGACAGCAAAGCAACAATAGAGGTTTGACAATATATGCAAGTCCAATGCGATCATATATTCCTGAGCTCTTTATATCCTCAGAGCAATAACATCTTCGGCGATGACACCAGCCGCACGCCTCGTTGCTCAGCAAACACACAATCCGTTCGTAGTCCTTGCATGAGAATCGTGAGTCCCCGATACATCCTGACCTTGTTGCATTAAAATATAGGTGTTGTGATCGCTCGTACGTTGTGTGGCTGAAGCCAATTCCGCGTCAGTCTCATGGGTCATATCGATTAGTATTCAACGATCAAAGGGGACGAGAGTATCGATGATGACGAGACTCACGTCGTCCTCTTGGGCATGGGAAACATCGACAAAAGCGATAAAGCTGGAACTCCAACGCCGGGGCTGGAGTGGTAATTGTTGAGGAATATTTGCAGCCCGGGTGAGTTGGGAACCAAAACAAATTGCGTAGAGGAAGTAGAAGCTTAAGTGACGGACCTGCGAACAGATCTGGACGGCGAGGCATGGGATTTGTACTACTGTCCCAGATGTCATCGCCCTGTATCAGTGTTGCACTGAGGGGAGGTAAAATGTGACTGACATATATCTTCCCAATACTCTATTGATTGCGGACTTTGGTGGTCTGGAGATGTATATTGATATCGCCGTAATCATTTTTGTGTATTCAGTGTCTATTAGATGGTATATTGTTTTGTCAAGGTCAATTTTTCAACGTACAATGTACATGGTCTCCGCGTCTCGAGAGTACAGGGATCAGTGGAGGGCGGGGAGCGATTGATCTATTTTAGAACTGAAACTGATCAGAAGCACAGGTTATCACCTAAGCAAGGCGCCTGTAAATACAGCATGCAAGACGGCATATGTAGAAGGTCTGCTCACTACCTCCACTACCACCAACGTCCCCAATTGTCGTCATGCTGAACAAAACAGCCGAGTCAAGCACGCCAGCGAAACGGAGAGAGGCGGACCAAGGACTGCTGTCAGATCTATCAGGACCTATTTCTCCCCTGAAGCCCTCTGAGAATCCGCCGCCTTATGGTGCACAGTACCCCCAGGATGCACTCTGGAAAGGTGAGCGAGCACATTGTGAAACCAATTAACCAACTCAACATCGAGCAGGGGGGAATGAGGCGCTCCCTCCCATGTGGACAGAATACCATAATGATGACGGACCAATTTATCGCGACGACGCACTCCTCATGAGTGCAGTGCACAGACCATTACCAGGAGTGCGACTAGGTGAGCAACAAAAGTGCGATGAGAGCAAGGAACTCAGAATCGGGCATAGATCACCCCTGGGATTCGCTCGTTCCTGGATGCGAATGGCACATCTCGCCACTAGGTCGATCCTACTTCGTCAACCACAACACTCGGACCACATCATGGAAGAAGCCAACACCAGAACGTACAGCAGGGAGTTTGATGCCAGAGGGCATCATTAAATGCGAAAACTCGTTCAACAGGACCCTTGCCTGGTTGGGGACCAGTGACAATATAATGAGTACCTCGGGCGATGGTTCAATTCACCAGTGGACAAGAGACGGAAAGCCAGTAGGAAAGGGTTGCGATGGTGATGGAAGCCGGTTAAGCGCAATGGCGATGCCGTTGGATGAAACAATGGTCGTATGTGGAAGCTATGATGGCAGAGTACGGCTGTGGAATGTAAAGGAGGGGAGCGTGGTCGGTGAACCGTGGGAGGGGAATAATGGCATAGTATGGTGCCTTGATTGGTCTCCGAATGGGGTGGAGGTAGCAGGTGCATTTTCCGACGGTACTATACGACGATGGAACCCGGCCACTGGCAGACAAATTGCACAACCGATAACGACTGGTGATAAAACTGCAGTGCGGACAGTCAAATACTCTCCACAAGGCGACAAATTCGCGAGCGGCGGTAATGACGCAATGATCTGGGTGTGGTCAAAGGACGGCAAGCTGCTGATCGAGATGAAGGGACATGATTACGCGGTGACATCGTTGTGTTGGTCCAAGGATGGGGCATACATCTTCTCTGCCTCATTTGATCACACCATCCGAAAATGGCAATCGATCGACGGGGAAGAACTCTTCGTTTTTCAGGGTCATACCAGATTTGTTGAATCCATTTGTCTGTCTCCCGATGGATGCCATCTTGTCAGTGCATCATTGGACTACTCAGTTCGCATCTGGGACCTTGAAACAAATCAGCAAGTCGGAGACCCACTCTGGCACGACGATCAGATCTCGATTGTTACCATGTCCTCTGATGGACAATACTTTGCCAGTGCTATCAGGGGGTTGAATGGAAAAATCTATGTATGGAATCTGGAAGCAGCACTCAAGCGTGCTCGTGGTGTTGACGTACGTGTATACATCGCTTTCGTCAGACTCTTTTTTAACCGATCTTGTGTGTCGCTCAGGACAATGCGAATCCCAACGTGAAGCTCAAGGCGAGTCACCTGTTTTTTCTTTCATGCCTCATCTCACTCCTTTATCAGGGACGTGCAACTCGACCTAGAGACGTGAGCTTGTTATAAAATTGTGAATACCCTGACCATTCGCTCATTTGTCTCATAAGATCTCTATTGCGCCTAGACGGCAAACCAACAATAGAGGCTTGGAAAGATATGTGAGTCCAGTGCGATCATTTCTGAGCTCTATCTATCCTGACGCCTGTTCAGGGCAATGACTTCTTCGGCGATCACACAAACCGCACGCCTCCTCTCTCAGCAGACAGGTCATCTCCGCGTGGTCTGCGCAACTTATTCGGCTTCCTGCGCTCCAGCGCTCGACCTGCAAATTCGCCCCGACCAATTCAGCTTCAGCCTCCGCGATTGCATTTCAGTTCATTTCCTGTGAGAATCTCCAGGCGTCCCGTCGATGTTGCTCCTGCCCGTGATGAAGATGTAAGTGGCTCGTCATCACCATCACATGTCCCTGTTTGATATCTTTGCAGAGATACGGCATAACTCCTGAAACTGACGCAGAAGCAGAAGCAGCTATGCAACGTACGAGCAGCAAGATAGGCGAGGATTCAACACCGCAAGGACAAGTTGCGGGGGGGCCACCAACACACACTGCTCAGGAGCAAAATTCTGTTCCCAACACAGAGGAGCCATCATACCTAATAGGATGTTGTGGATTTTATCTTGTCCGTCGTCGGCCCGCGTCGAATTAGTCTTTCTATGGCCTAGTACGGGGGAGGTTGCGGTGATTCTTGTGAGCTTTATTTGTTGACACACATAAGCCAACATAACAATGATGTCTCCTTACTTCGTGCTGTGGTCTGCATGCAACGATAAGAGTAGGCTGCGGTGATGATAATTACGCGTTTGAAACACTGGGGGGTTGAGCAATCGGTGCACTTGAGCTGTGGGATGGGAGAGAGACTTGGAGATTCAACTTGAACTTACTCGACGTCGGCTCGGTCCAGGACTTTAGGTGCCGTGTTTGTCGCAAATTCATGACTTGGCCGCAGTGATATTGATACGATTAGGACTATCTTCCTTCTTTTGCTTTACAGTGTGTATACTAGGTGACAATGGGAACATAGTCTCCCTCTTCATAGCTAGGGTACCACGTGGTATGTGGTGCCGTCTCAATGACAGACTGTGAATGTGTTGGAATGCCGAGATACACGCGAACCGCAGTAGACCGAGCCCCTTGACTTTGATCTACCAACTCGATCGTGCGTTGCCCCTCAAATTTCGATTTCTGGTTATACAATCCCCAGCACGTCAATGCAAGCTTAATACATTCCTGTCCAGCAGTGCGCAGTAGCCACCACACTGCTTATGAACAGAGCTGCGGCGTACTAATGCAATGATCATGAATCGAGAGTCGCAAAAGAACTTCAAAGCAGGTGCCCAAAAATTGATGGCGTGTTCAAAATCTCCACACTTCAAATTTACTTACATATAATTCAAACAGCGAACCACCGGAGACCGATGGCCTATCGCAATCACGTCAATAATAATGCATGAACAACCATCAACGTACTCCAGGGGGAGTCACTAGTATAGAATCCAAAACTAAAATCGTGTTGCACGATATACGGAAACGCAATGGTATGGGCATCTATTTTATCTACATCTATGTCAGCCCACCCATTCGTAAAGAAATGTTTTAAAAGTTCGAGATCAGTTGAAGACCACGTGTATCGATGTGAAGATGAAGTCTTGACGAAGCGTCATTCAGTTGTGGTTGTTGAAACCAAGGCGTAATGCAAACTAGAGTAAAAGAGAATGTTTGGGCATCTACCAGATACGAGTCTCTAAGAGCAAGTCGCTGTTGCCTTCAAGGCCAATGCAGGCTTTCAGGAAGCTCTCGAGCGCGTTGCGCTGCCTGCCGAGGCTGTTGACGACGTCGGTGCCTAGGAGGAGGGTGCTTAGTGTAGTTGATGATTAAGTGAAAACGGTGCTCACCAGGCTTGACGAGAGGCGCCTTGCACATGTATGAGAGGAGCGACAAGACAGGGTAAAGGGGCGCAAATTCAGTCTGACCCACTCCGCGGTACTTGACACGAGTAAGCAACTCAGTGAGAATGGTCAAGTCGAGGATCAATGGTGTCGCGAGCAAAGAGTCCTATAAAACACTTGATGAATGAGAGTGACGTGCTAAAGCGCGTTACATACCTCGCACTCGTTGAAGATGTTGATGGTCTGTCTCCCGCCACAGAAGATCTCAGAGTAGTACTCATCGATCGCCCTCTTGGAGTCACCGACTGCAGGCACGTACTTGATCACAACAATGTGATCAGGGTGCTCACCCTTGGCCGCCTTGCCCTTCGCGCCTGGAACAGGAGGCTTGTAAAGCAAACGGTTGGCGTCCACCATGTCATCCACCACACTGCTCTTGCTGATTTCCTTGCTCTTAAACTGCGGCTCTGCGCTCAAATTGTGCCCATCGTTGTTTCCAAGATGGTTGTATGACGCAATAGAGAGCGGTTTGATACCAGCGTTTACGAGGAACTCGGCGAGCACGGATTTCAGTTTGGTCTGACCAGACTTCAGGTCATCACCACCAATGAAAGATTTCTCGCGCTCGGCCAAGGCAATGACACCAGGCACGAAAGTGTTCTGGGGAGCACCGTTAATGAATGGCTCGCCCTCGAGAATGGCAGCGACAGCAAAGACTGTCGAGGGAGACACCTCTGAGTGCGAGTTCTTGATTGAAGCAAGGAGGTTGTCAGCCGTGTCGTTGACACCGGGGATGAGGTCGCTGTAACGCTCCGTGTTCGCCGTCCAGAATATAATGGCACGGTCAAGCTGGTTCTCGGCCTTGAAGCGGCGAATGTCAGCCCGAATGTGCTCGAGATGAGCCTGCTTGTCAGTGCCAGGTACGACATTGTCTGCACGGGCCTCCTGGTTGGCAGCAATGAAGTCGGGATAGTAGATGGAAGGAAGAGGGCTAGCAAGGAGAGCCATATGGGGCTTAACTTGGCGCTGAAGATCATAGTCGAGTACCTTGGCACGTTCCATCGCCTTGTCCATTGGCAGACCGGAAATGTCCCAGCCGCCAAGAACAAGGTCATTGGGGTGTACCATAGGAAGCACATCAGAAATTGGGACGTGGACTTCCTTACCAGTGCCCGGCTCGGTACCAATGCGAACAGTGGATGCACGGAGGACAGAGCCGATGTAGTTAGGCTGCTGAACACCTTCCTTGGTGTGCCAGGACATGTGGTGCCTGTTTGCGAGGATGGTCGCGCAGAGGGTGGAACCATTATTGCCTCCCATACCGATCATCATAAGTCTACCGCGCGTTCATGTCAGACTTGAAAATTTTGAGACTGATACATAACATACCCAGTTTTGCCAACGTTACGGACGGTCTGGAACTCGTAAGGTTTGACAGTGGGCGTAACGGTGAACTGGCCGTCCGAGACCACTACATCAGCACCGCGGTAGAGATACTTGGCGGTAATATGATTGTCAGTGTACACGGTGTTTTCGGACTGTACGGTTATGTAGTCAGGGCGACGAACAGCAGTCGGGTGAACTGGAACGATGGACTCCAATTCAGAGTCGGGGGTGTTGTAACCTGAAGAGGTTGTGGCAGGAAGTTGGGAAGACATTGTTGTAAGTATATAAGAGTGAGATTTGAATGAAACCGATGAAGGAGGTATCAATGAGCAGCTAGAAAGCCTGCAGATGAGTGCTTGCCGCCTCTGTGGGGGTTGTGGGGGCTGCCGAGTTGGTTCGAGTACATGCAAAGAGCTCGGAAAACTCTAAGTATGAAGGTGACGGACACCAGAGGCTGAGGAAGACGACTGGAGTGGGGAATGCTAGAGCTGAAAAGGCTGAAAAAAAGGTCAACGAATGCACGGGTTCTTATAGGGAATGAGCACAAAAGTGAGGCAGCTGGTTATGTAAAAGATAAGTCGCGAAGACGTCGTTTGCTCAAAATTTTGAAATCCGGTTTCCGCTTTCAAGAAGCGCGATCGCATCATCGTTATGTACTTGACGACTCCGCCCATCGCTCGAGTCAGGGATACCGATGACGAGCCCCACATCAACTCAGATGCTGCAAACTTACCTTGTGCACGGAGAGAGCAGCTATACAGTGGTATCCAACCAATGACAATTCGTAAACTAGCCAATATCATATGGCGGCGACGCTGAGGCTTTGAAGCTTCGAAACAACACGGCGTTTCAAAGACTTACATGCCATGATGCAGGGAAGGAATACGAAGGATGCATGCGCAAGCGCAGTAATCGCGAGCAATTCACACAGAATATAGGGTCTCCCATAGAATAGAAGGAAGGAAGACCAGTTTGCATCGTACGGTACGTACCTTTTGACGCCTCCTGCGTGAGATTCAGGAGTAATCCGAACTCATCATAGTCTTCCGCCAATGCCCGGGAGGTTCCTTGAATTACTGAGGCCGCGCTTGAAACCAATAGCCGACTTGAACGACACCGTACTAACCTACAACGACGATAAGAAACTCGGAAGCATGCCAGCAACCATGCGCCTGTTCGACTATTACGTTTCTTGTTGACAATGTGTTTGCTGATGCGAACCACATTGCAAATCACAACGGTCCTCCGCCACTCTCCGTTCAACGTTCAACTGTCACGGTGAGTTACTTGCTTCCTATTTTCTATTGGAAGCTGATACATACCGTGTCAGCGTATACATAAATTCGGGTCTTATGTTTCCGTCATATGATCATTTCGCTGTCGGGGCGGCTGACAGCCTGAATGTGCCCCCCATCCTCCCACAGGATCATGGTCACGTGGGCCCGACGGTCTTTGTAGTTTGCAATATTGCACGAGATCTGCTAGACACATCAAACAGCAACATTGAAACGTAAAAGTCACTGATACCCACACCACGGTGTCTGATAAACCTACGGACCAGTTGACCATGTTCTGTCGATGGCCTTTGCACCAAGTGTTCGGGAGAACTTTCTGTAGGTCGATTCATCGACTTGATTTGTGACAACTCGTGCATGCCATTATGGTCACATGAGAACAGCACCAGTTCTTGTAGATTGGCCGTCAATGCGAACGTGCGTTAGGTAGAGTTTCACTTCACATGCTGCCATCTTATGTTTAGAATAAGGCCGCGTATAAAGCCCTGCATACCGACGCTAGGGTGGCGCAGAAAGGCAGTTCGCCACGATGCTCCCCTTTTTGAGGTTGTCTGGTTTCATATTACTGGCTTCCTATCAAACACGAGCAAGTGTGATTAACGCTACAGCGTACACTGTTCCTGGCGCCTTTCCGACCTCCATATATGGGACATATTGGAACGACCCTACTGCTACTTCGGCGCAGCCTCAGCCTGTCATAACCGATCCTGTGACGGTATGTGTCGTGCTTCATACTTGAAGATTTCGCTAATCTCATTAACTTTGCCAGAATGAGATATTCCCCTATGAGCTGACAGATCCTGCCAACTTCCCTAAGGTTAGTCACCCTTCCCTGTCACGCCAACAACCTGACAGACTGTTCATCAGAATGATACAGTGGACCCTCACCCCCTTCCGATGGCAGCGACACCTTCTCAGCTTATGGAACAAGCTCTTGCGCAAATCAAAGCAATTGCTAGCAACCCGGTTTTCGGCAATGACACTTGCACAAAGTGCCAAGCCTCCCTCGCAGTTGGCAAAATGCTCGTGCTTGGGGCTCCCGAACAGGGCCCCTTACTTGCCGAGGCAGTCTGCCAGTACTTCAACTACTCCACAACATGCTACAATGAATATAGCAAGCTTGCGCTCGGTTCAACGTTTTCACAGGTTCTTGCATTTGCCAATACTGGCGGATATGACGGCCAGGTATGCTGATTGTGACTTCGAATCGAGGCGATATGTACAAATTCCGCCCCCTTTTCAGAATCTTTGTTCGCATTATAAACTGTGCCCCGTGCCACCAACGGCTCCGCTTAACATGACTGGCTGGTTCGCAAAACCGAAACCAAACCCGCTGCCACCTCCAAAACAGCCCAGTGGCGAGCGTCTGAAGGTCTTCCACATTTCTGATATTCACCTCGACCCTCGTGCGTTCAGTTTGATTCAAATCTTAAACCTTTTGTGACAATACGTTCTGCAGGCTACGCGATAGGCTCAGAGGCTAACTGTTCCGCATACATGTGCTGTCGTGATGATGTGTTTAATGCAGCGAGCCCTAACCAGATCGTGCTTCCTGCATCTCGCTTCGGAAATTTTGAGTGGTACATTGAATTGTCCGGCTCCAAGAAAAAGTTATAACATCATGCACAGTGATGTTCCATTGGACTTGATGGTTGCGGCAATGCAAGCCATTGGTCCTCTCACCGGTACAGAAGAAAGTGGTTTTGACTTCACTGTCTTCACCGGTGACTTGACTGCGCACGATCCCGACAACGAATACTCGAGGTTCGTTTTCTCCAATTTCATTCAGTTTACTATGAAATGCTCATGCTGCCTGACAGGGCCTATGTTGAGTATGAAGAGGTAAAGTGAATTCCCTGTTGGAAGTGGATGGGCTTTCATGACGGCCTCTAGGTTGTGGCCTACAACTTACTGAAGAAGTATGTTGGTCCCGCGCCTGTCTATGCGACGATCGGAAACCACGACACATACATGCAATTCCAAATGATCCCATACACGATGGGCGGTCCTCTCGGGACGCAATTCAACTGGTGAGTTAGGCAGTGCTCTGCGTGCGCCAGATCATGACCACCTTTAGGCTGTATGAACACATTTCTTCTATGTGGCAGTACGAAGGCTGGCTTCCTGAAGAGTCGATCGCATATTCTGCAACTCACTACGCTGCGTATTCCGTGACACGCCCAGACGGCCTCAAGATCATCTCAATTGACACCAACCTTTGTGAGGTTTCTTGAATCAGAAATTATGCATGTCTCTGATTTTTCTCTCCTTGAAGGGTATACGTATGTCCGGGCTGGATTCAGTGCTCTCGTGACCTATCTTGATCATTCTTTGTAGTAACAACTACTACGCTTATGTCAACTCTACGGAACCTGATCCATTCGGTATCTTGCGATTCCTCACGGATGAGCTACAGGCTTCCGAGGATGCCGGTCAAAGAGGTTAGTGAAATTAACAGATGACCTGATCTGAATAGTGATCGCTCTTTAGTCTGGGTAATCGGACATGTGTTAAGCGGGTGGGACGGAACACAAGCCCAGGTCAATCCAAGCAATCTCTGTACGTGAGTTCGTGCTACTGTTGCACTCAGCATTTCTAACATCGATTCACACGCAGTCTATCAAATGTATGTCTCTTTACCCTTGATGAAGCGTGAAAGTTGTTTACGCTTACTTTAGTGTCGACCGCTTCTCGCCTCACGTCATTTCTAGTGAGTTTAGTCCTTCAGATTTGTTGACCTTTATCATGACAGTTTCATGATCAGATATATTCTTTGGCCACACCCACGAGGACCAGCTTTCTGTATGTCTTTGATTGTTGACATGGTTCGTGCTGGAACTGTCCACAGATCTTCTACGCGAACAACGGCACAGTCATGAATGCTGAGACTGCGTTGGCCGCATCTTGGGTAAGAAGCTAGGAAACCCGTGTTGAACATCAATTAACTTAATCGTTCAGGTCATGCCCTCGCTCTCCCCCTTGACTAACCTCAATGCTGGATTCCGTGTCTACGAAGTGGATTCCGCTGCAAGTTTTCTTTCATCTCCAATTTTACTCAGAGAACTCACTGCTTAATTAGACGTTCGACATCCTAGATGCATACACGTAAGTAGCAGTGATGGGTGTAGATGGACTGTGACTCACGTATCCAAACATTGCAGTTATGTCAGCAACGTGAACGAGTACCCGGCGTTGGACAACCAGACTGAGGTCGGCCCAACGTTCTATCTAGAGTACAGTACTCGTGATGCGTACGGAGGAAACATCACTTGGGGCGCAAATGACCCTCTAAACGCAACATGGTGGCACCTCGTTACCGACCGTTTGTTTCTTTTCTTTCATCTCCTTGAGCCGACCATAATGATGTTTTTTGTTACAGAAATGCTGGTGGATCCTGCTCTAGTCCAGGTAAGCTCCACGACAATGAATGCGACGTTCGACTGACTTTTCATGATAGACGTATCACACATACCAATCAAAGAGCTCTGTCGCAAGCCTGAAATGCACAGGGGAGTGCATCACTGCTAAGACATGCTACATGCGCAGTGGTTCGAGTAGTCTTGCGTACCAAAACTGTCCTGCTGGATACTCTTCGACGCAGTGATCATACTATGTATAACTGCAGCAGTTGCAGTTTGATAATGGTGATGCCGTGCTCTGCGCCCAAGCTTCTCTGGGAATGCATCAAGTCTGATCTCGATCACCTTGAAGTGCATGACCTTGCTAGCCAAGTGACTTCAGCCGCACGAACTTGGACATGTCGCTCAGGTTCCTCAATTCCAAATGCGTGAATTTCCGCCCAAAGTGCGGTGGCGTTATAGTGTAGTGGTCATCACTTGGGATTTTGATAATACGATTTCCCGGAACCCAGGTTCGAACCCTGGTAACGCCTGCTTTTTGGTCGTTGATACGTCCATATGCATTTGCTGAATCCACCTCCTCTCTTGACTAGAAAGTGTGGACTCAGCAAAATCCAAATTGAATCTCGTCCCGCCCCTCCACACTCAGAGCAGCAGTGGGAAGGAGCCTGGTCAACCCTCCTTTGCACGAAGCCAGCCGTTCCTTGCATAGATTCAGGTCAGTCGAGAACTGAATTTTCACATTCACAGACCACCTGACGAGACCCCGGAATCATTGGAATCGCTATTGATCAGTCACATTTCTAATGTTGATGTTGACTTTTCACAGTCAGCGAGTAGAGTCCAGGGGTGAGCAGTACTGCTTTGGCCGTTATTGATCTTGTGCTCTGCAACATCCTCAGAAAATGCCACATCCTTCTCTCTCTCTTGGGAAGCTCAAGACTGGTAAAAACCAGCAACGACATCGCAAGCCTCGCGGTGCAAGCACTGAAGTTTCGTCCATCAAACTTGGTTACCTTTTCAAGTCTACTAGGCACCATCGTTTGAAGGGAAAGGTCGCGATTGAGCAGCAAACTACTTCAGCACGATCACCCGATCCTGAATCTGATATGAGCTTGTCACCTCCTTCCAGGCAGCCACCTTACGAACGGATCACCGACCATTCGAGTCTCCCTCCAGGAATCGATGAGACGCACATTTTCTCAGAGTCTGCTAGCCGGTCTTCCACAGCTGAACAGAGCATAGCTTCATCGGAGGAGGAGTCACATTCAGCGTTTCGTATGCACCCTTCGAAGATTACTTCGGCTCTTCTTCCGAAGACCCCTGTAGACCCCTTCTCAGACAGCTCCGGCGCGTCCTCTGCCGTGATATCATCTCCGTCTCTGTTTGACCTGCGTTCTCGTTCGGCGGGCGATTACATCGTGCGACAGCTTGGCGCAACCCTGGAAAAGCTCTCACTGGGGGAGAGTCAGTACGCTAAGCTTGAGGAGGACATCCTTCCAATCAGATCCCTGAATACGCGATGCACTATGCCCAAAACGATCTCAATGTCTGGCTTCCAAGCCTCTCCAACCTCCTCTGACATGGTTATCTCTCCTGCTCCCCATTATCCCCCAAAGTTCAAGGACTCGCTTGCATCTGGATACCTTGCAAACTTGAAACAACAGTTACAGGAGAAGCGATGGCTGTGTAAATTTGCTCGCTCCACAACAGCCAAAGCACACGTTGCAGTCCCACCCGCCATATTCATCACGACTGTTGATGTGAATTATCCCAGACCAATGCGTTCGCCGGTCGGCCTTTTCGGATCAGTAAGCCACAGCAAGGATTTACTCGACGATCCTGCGCTTCAGCCACCGCCACCCGTCAATTCCCCGTGTCCTGATGACCCATTTAACGCGGATCCATTTGCATACAATCATCCCTCTCAATATGATCTGCCCTTGCTGCCTTCAATGCCAACTCCTGAGGAGACAGGGGAAGTCACCGATTCTGCCTGGTATCTGGATGGGACACCCTCTCGTGGATATCTTGAACTCTTCCCCGCTGGGGACTCGGAGGACTTTGCAGCAGCCCTGAGTGCCACCATCACCAATCCATTTGATCTTCCGCCTTTCTCTATACCGCTCATGCAACCAGGCCTTCTCGATGCTTCGCTTTATGACACTTGAGGCGAGCTGCGATGCGGGAGATTTTCTATTGATATGGCTGTAATCCAGTAGGTCTTGAAGCCGTTGAGATTCTTGGTCCATTTATGTCATGGAGTCCTCATCCCTTTCTATGTTGTTTCTTCCTGCATCCCTACTGGACCCTACATATGCACGAGACGTCCCTTCTCGAATTTCTCAGAAATTGTTTGTAAAATATCTCGGTTGCAAGACGAATAAGATTAGCTCGCATTTCAAACAAATATTTTGACGCAAAGTTGTGAGTATGTCAGTGGGAGGAGTACTTAGTCGCGTTCCAAGAGTGCGATTCTCGATGTTTCTAAATATTTCATTGTTCAGTAAGAAAATGATGACTGTAAATACCAAAGTGATTTGAATGTGTTTGTACCATGTTTGGCAAAACCTTCCGTTGTCAATAAGAACAAACAATCACGAAAGAAATGCCCACCTCGTCACCGTCACACATTCAATGGTGGACAACCAATTGTCGTCGAGTGTCATCGTTGCTCAACCAAATGGAAGCCTGGACCGGGAGGACTCGAATTGGATTAGTGCATAAGCCTATCTGATTCCATCGCGAGGCAACCATTCGTGTGTACATAATTTGTGCTGGAATCTCACAGCATACAGGGTCCTTTCACCAGGCCCACATCGCATGTTGCCGCAACGAAGCGCTGCGACATTTCATGGTCCTGGGGGATGAGATGAAGTCGAGCATTTCTTTTTCACGACTTTAAGACGTTTACAGTACGAGGTCAAATTTGTAGCTTGACGTGCTGAAGAAACCGTGACGAATTCGAATATCTCGCCGCAGCCCGAACAGCATTCACCCGTGCCCATTTTGAGTGTAAGGGTTCCTGGGTGGCGAACAAGTTTGTAGGGGCGGCGTCAGGGCTACTCGTTTATGACAGGCAGTGAGTTCCTGTCAGTCCCTTGCATGATATTTTGTTTGTTTAACTCCAATACAAGGACGAAAATTTTGGTTGAAGCCTGAGGGCACAAACATGCAGACGGTGTTTCACAGTAATCGACCTTGTGGACTCGGAATATACTGCTGTCTTGAGCCTCGCAGACTGCTCGGTTCGGATGGATGTTACACACTACGGCATGCTCTTGCTGCGCGGTGTGTTTCTGACGGGCCCATTAATGCACAAGTTTACGGCTTGCTTCTCTCCGGGTCTAGGCCATTAGCGCAATGCGTCATACTGTGGCTTGGGTGACACGTGCATGTTGTCATTTCTTGAATAAAATTATGCCTTATAATCCATCAAGATCTTACAGGCACTGTAATCTTTCACAATCACTAGATTTTACTCCCAGGTATCACTTTGTATCCGTCTTTCATCCAGCAAGATGTCAGGCTTCGTACCAGATCCACTCGATGATACCCTTCCACCCCTGGGTAAGGAGCCAAGTCATCCAGAACACTCCCAAGACTCGGGAGAGACACTTCTCAGACAACGTGTCACCATTACTGGTACGTATTATATACTTATCTCTCCATGCAGGGTATTGACGATGTTCTCCAAGCCATTCGTGCGACTGATCTCACTCTTGGTCTCCGGCGGATTCCTGCTGGCTTCCATGTGACAGTGCAGACTGATGGTGCTGAATGGCAGACAGGCAACACGCCGGTACACTTAGATCAGGATGTCGTTGAATGGAATGAGCGCATACTTTTGTAAGTTGCCCTTCACCCCCGTCTTCCTGCAGGTATTGAAAAGGTTCTAGGCCATGCGAGTCGTCTTCCAGGGTTCGGTTCAGGGTCTATGCCTCGTTTGAATTGGATCCCATGCTTGGTAGTGGAGAACTCCTCCGCACAGTCGAGACCACTGTTGGAGAATTACTGGACCGCAGTGAAAAGTCACATCGTCAGTAACATCTGTTGTAAATTGCGCCTGACTGATATTAACGAGATCTCCCAGCCCTCATATTTCAGGCTAAGGAAGGGGAAGTCGTATCTTCGTGTACTTCACTGTTCATAGCCGTTGCACAACGACGTTCTTCTGAAGATGACGCCGCACTTCGACCCACTGCTCCCGTGAGTAATCAATGCATTCTGATGTTCTGATGCTGAGGGCCTATACTGTGCAGATCATGTCTGGCGATTTGCGTACATTAGTACTAATGACGGATGTTGGACATCGTCTGCTCGCACGATACCGCAGGACACAGAACAGTTGGGATCTCGACCAATGCACAAGGCACTTTGAACGCGCTGCCGACCTCTGCCCCATTGATCATCCCTGCCGTCCTGCAGCACTGTCCAATCTAGCTATCGCAAGGTTTATTTTTTGCCAAGCTAGTGGAACATATCCCGACCTCGACATCCCCATCTCTCTCTTTCAAGACGCCCTTGATTTGCGTCCTGCTGGTCATCCGGACAGGCCCATCAGCCAGCTCCATCTTGCCATTGCTCTGCTGTCTCGTTTTGCGAAACGGGGATTTCAAACGGATGCTGATGCGGCTGAGAAATTACTGAGTGAGATTCTCGATGTCTGCCTCGCCAACAGCCACCCACACATGGCAGCTCTGCTCGCAATCGAAACTTTTGCTTTGTATCCGGCTGGAACCGTCAATGCAAGTGATCATGGGCAGGAGCAGCCCGATGTATCTAGGCTTCCGTTATCGCTGAATCAACTTGCTCATGCAGTAGAGTGGTGTTCGCGAAGAGATGATCCCCATGTTTTAGATGAAGCAATATCCCTTCATTATGATGCGCTGGGATACTACAGCACCGCGCATGCTCGGAGAGGGCAATTGCTGGGCAACTTGGGTTCTCTACTGTGGATCCGCTTCAAGCGCCAAGGCAATAGCGATGACCTTGGCATGGCCATCACAGTTCTCAGGGAGGCGCTGGCTTTGCACCCAGTCGGTCACCCAAACCGGTCCGCGTCATTGATTAGCCTTGCGGCTACATTCCTCACCCGCTTTAGACACTGGGGGAATGATCAAGACCTAGACGAGGCTATCGTGCTTGAGAGGGAAGCACTGGCTTTGCGTCCAGTCGGCCACCCAGAACGGTCCCTGTCATTGAATAACGTTGCAACTACACTCACCACCTGCTTCATGTACCGGGGCAATGTTCAAGACATTGATGAGGCGATCGCACTTCACAGGGAAGCGCTGGTTCTGCACCCAGTCGGTCACCAAGATCGATCCATGTCCATGAGTAACCTTGCGTCTGCACTCGTCATTTGCTTCAAACACCGAGGCGATGACCAAGACTTGGATGAAGCTATCGCGTTTCACATGGAAGCGCTGGCTTTGCACTCGGTCGGTCACCCACATCGGTCGGCTGTATTGGATAACATTGCAACTACTCTCTCCACCCGCTTTCAGCACCGAGGCAATGGCCAAGACCTCAACGAGGCGATTACGCTTCACAGGGAAGGGCTGGCTTTGTGCCCTGTTGGTCACCCAGATCGGCCTTCGTCATTGAATCACCTTGCGAACACGCTTTTCACCCGCTTTGAGCACCGAGGCAACGACCAAGACTTGGAAGAGGCTGTCACGCTTCACAGGGAGGTGGTGACTTTCCTCCCGGTCGGTCACCCAGATTGGTCTGCGTCATTAAATGACCTTGCGCTTGGACTCTCCACCCGCTTCCAGCACCGAGGTGATGGCCAAGACTTGGATGAGGCCATAATGCTTCACAGGAAAGCACTGGCTTTGTTCCAGGTTGGTCACCCAAACCGGTCCAAGTCATTAAATAACCTCGCGACTACACTTTTCACCCGCTTCAAGCACCGAGGCGGTGACCAAGACTTGGATGAGGTTATCACACTTCACAGGGAAGCGCTGGCTTTGTTCCCGGTTGATCACCCTGATCGGTCAAAGTCGTCGAATAACCTTGCGAATGCACTCTCCACCCGCTTTGAGCACCGGGGCAACGACCAAGACTTGGATATGGCTATTGTACTTCACAGGGAAGCTCTAGCCTCGCACGCGGCTGGTCACCCAGATCGGTCCGGCTCGTTAAATAACCTTGCGAGTGAGCTCCTCATCCGCTTCCAGCGCCGAGGCAACGATTACGACTTGGATGAGGCCATCACGCTTGACAGGGAAGGGCTGACTTTGCGCCCGGTCGGTCACCCAGATCGGCCCAGCTCATTAAATAACCTCGCGAATGAACTCTTCATCCGCTTCCGGCGCCGAGACAACGACCAAGACTTGGACGAGGCTGTCGCACTTCATAGGGAAGGGCTGGCTTTGCACTCGGTCGGTCACCCAGATCGGTCCACGTCATTAAATAACCTTGCGATTGCGCTCTCCATTCGCTTCAAACACCGAGGTGGTGATCAATACTTGGATGAGGCTATCGCGCTTGATAGGGAAGCGCTGGCTTTGCGCCCGGTCGGTCACCCAGATCGGTCCACGTCATTGAATAATCTTGCGACTGGACTCTCCACCCGCTTTGAGCACCGGGGCAACGTCCAAGACCTCAACGAGGCACTGAAGAATCTCCGCCACGCATTGACAATATTAACACAAAGTAGTCCCCGTCAATTAATGGTCCATCGCTCACTAGCCACCGTATATCTGCTGGTCCATCAATCAGGATTTCATAGCATTGGCGAAGATAGTGACGCTGTCAGTCTAGATGCCGCCATGTATCATTTCAAGGCAGCAACAAATATTGTCTCTGGGGGTTTACTATCCCGCCTGCGAGCAAGTCTAGGCTGGGTTTTCCATGCTGATCAATATACACATGACACCGACCTGGAGGCTTATGCAACTTCCATGCAACTTCTAGATGCATACATGTCTGCGACAGCTTCGGTTTCATCTCGCCATGAAACCATGAAGGCCCTCCCGCGCACACTTGCAGTTGATGCTGCATCATGTGCTCTTCGTCGTGGCGATGTGTGCCGCGCCATAGAGTTGCTTGAACAAGGCAGGACTCTCATCTGGACCCAGATGGCACGATTCCGCACACCCTTTGACATCCTCCAGGAACGTGGTGATTATGCAGAGGCACTGATGAAGGAATTCAGAGACATCAGCTCCCTCCTTGATAAGCCTCCTACAGAACGTCAAGACGGGACCCCAAGAGTTAATGCAGAAGCAGAGGTTACCAGGTACACTCGTCTTGTGGAGAACTGGAATAAAGTTGTGGAAGACATCCGGAAGCTAGAAGGCTTCTCTCGCTTCCTGCTTCCCCCCCTGTTCTCCGATCTCCAAGATGCAGCTCGTGATGGGCCTATTATTGTTCTCGTTGCAAGCGAGTCGTCTTGCGATGCCATCATTATCCCGCACAAGGAGCCTCCGACCAGTATTCAACTCCCTATCAATCTAGACAAACTTGTGCGATTGGTGCTCGCACTCCGAGAAAACATCGACAAAGAGGCCAGTCCTAAAAAGACACAACCGGGGCTGATACAAACATTGCGGGAGCTATGGGATGATGTAGTTCACCCTGTGGTTGAAAATCTGGATAGATTTGCACGACGAGGTTCCCGAATATGGTGGTGCCCAACTTCCTTATTCAATTTTTTGCCGTTGCACGCTGCTGGCGAATACAAACGCGGTGGAAAGTCCCTTTCCCAGCTATACGTTTCTTCATACACTCCATCCCTTACTGCGCTGACTGGGGCTCGCAAAAGCAATGACGGATCTTTGTCCGTGTCTTTTTCTGCCATCGGACAGAACCACCCTCCAGGACATTCGCATCCTTTGGAAGCGGTCGAGCCCGAGCTGGAATTGGTGCAGAGTCTTCTACCACCTCCCCCAATAGTTTTCTTCACCAAGGTCACGAGCGTTGAATCAACAAAAATGAGAGTCCTGCACACATTGCAAGATAATTGCTGGCTCCATTTTGCGTGTCACGGAACACAAAATATCGTGGAACCCTTCAAATCGGCCTTCCTCATGAGAGACCAACCGCTTTCACTCCTTGATATCACACAAAGATATCTGTCTCAGCATGAATTCGCATTTCTCTCTGCCTGTGAGACCGCAGTCGGTGACCTTACAACTCCTGACGAGGTGATACACTTGGCGGCTGCCCTACAGTTTGCTGGGGTGAAGAGTGTCATTGGGACATTATGGAGAGTCAACGATGCTACTGTACGACGCTTGGTCGAGGCATTCTACAAAAACTTCTGCGGGGATGGCACCATGAATTCAAAAAGGGCCGCCCGAGCGCTGCATCGAGCGGTCCAGTCCTTGGCTTGTGACACAGACATGCCCTTGGACCAGCGCATCGTGTTCATCCATGTTGGCCTATGATCAAATTCGTGCGTCCCCCTCTTTTGTTGGTGAAAGCATTTTTGAGACATGTGTCAGACGACTTCGCGTGTAACAGCCAGCTGTAGCTACACGTGCTGATATTTACTTCAGAGGATTGTATACCTCACTGACATGTACATCTAATCTAATCTTCATTTCTATATGTATTTCCTAGTCTGTTCCCTCAACCAAAGTGACCGCTCCTACTTAAGGTGTGGGTAAATCCGCCCATGTGGCATTTCTGTAGCCTGGTGTTACAAGATGGATTCACTTCACGGATTCGCAAGGGTATGGTAAATCGCGTTTTTGCAATGTATTTATCGCCACAAGCTTTGTAGACGTTTCAATTTGAGCTGACATGGTAGACGACGGCAAGGCAACTAACGAGGGGTTCTTTGATTTCTACTTGATCCTGAACTGAATAGCAGATGTGTCTTTTGCAAAGTTTGAGAGGTGTGCAAGGATTACACCAGAGAACCATCTGGTTCCCCATGTAGATCAATCACAAGCGTCGCCCACGAATGGGAGCGGGCGGGGACTCGGAAGAAGTGGTAGTCATCTCTCTGGCCTCCATGTCAGGCACACAGAAGTGGAGGTCTGGAGGCATGGTCACGCAGGTTCGGCTGCAATGTGTTGATCTATCGCAGCCTGAGTGCTTGGACTCGATCCCGTTGGGGTATTGGAAATCCAGAAGGGCCAGAGTGCTGTGCCTAGAATGGCGATTGAGAAATAGCACATATGTACCAAACTTTATCGATGATTGTGCCACTGGGATGCGATGAGGTTTCAAGTCTACCTCGAACTAGGAGCCTGAGACATCAATTTCAGGTCAGTCTCTCCACTTAAGAATCAAAAGAACAGGTTTAATGCTAAATAGTATAAGCATACGTACGTGCATCATGTTCCATGGTGGAATGGCTCAAGTATAGAAACTACTCGTGAGGGAGATCATAGGACATGCCGACGCGTTCCAAGGGATAACGAGGGCGCATTTTCAGGCACGACGGAGACGTTTAAAAAGCAGTGAAATGGTGGGTCGGATGACACAAAAAGGTCCTTTTAATCCAGATCAGTCAATCGACAGGAGAATTTTGATTTTGTTAGAACATGAAGATGTACTACGAGTCAGCAGGTAGGCGAGAACATGAACTTCGTCTTCAGAATGGAGAAGAAGAATGATGCTTTACTGCAAGTACTTATTGCAAGTTTGCGGTCCATACTTGCCACTGCATAGCCATCGATGTCGTCGTATGACAATGTGAAAGTGCCAGAGAACCAGAGGAAACTCTAGAACAGCCGCATTGAGGGGCCTGAGGGCGGCCAAGGACTCGGAGCGCTAGCTAGTCAGGTGGCAACCTGATGATGTTTGGCAATTGTGACAAAGGCTTCCGTTTTCAATACGAACAAACAACCGCTAAAGGTCACGGTGTTGTGAAGTTGAGTTGAAGTCATCACACGACTTCATCGAGAAATTAATTGCCTTTAGGCTCCATGACTTTATTCTTGCGATATTCGCTGTTAGCTCTTCTCAAACTATTCCAATGGGCGCCTTTACTGGCGACCCTCGATCCTTTCAGTTCCATCCGGCGCATCGACGGAGATTCTACGAGCCTCGAGAGACATCACTTTCTGTGGTCAAATCCCCCTACAAACTATCCCCCCGCTTCAAGCAATAGAAGCAGTCATGCGTCTGCTCTTGACCCCAATTTCCCCCCATCATCCTCTGCTTTCACCTACGCACTCTTGATTTCTCAGCACAAACACTATTTATCAAACTTCGTCGATTCTCTAGGTCAGGTTGTACTCCAGACCGTAGTTATATCTACTGACCTTCATATCAGCTCTGCTATACTCTGAACAGTTGATTTATTTCAACGGTGGTTTTTGCAACATCCTGGTCTTGGTTGCGCTCAACCTTGGTCTCATATGCCTCTATTCTGTTACTTGCCAGCTTCAAAGAAATATTCATCTACTGGTCCCATCGTGGTGCAGCCTCAAAACCATTTTTACAGATAGGACCAAGAGCGTATGCACCATTCCTGACCAAGAAGCGTACAACAGCGATTCAGGTTTCCTTGCTACAAAACAAGACCTCTTGCGAGCTCCCAACAAACACACCTTACACGATGATCTGGACAGTTCCGAAATTCATGGTGCAGCCAACTTATATAACAGTCGATCTGTACTGCCACATGGAACGAGTAACGATCATAGCGATACCGAGCACACGCCGAATCACGAGTCTGGGTTCTGCCACCATCTAGTGTCCCTGGACGTATCACCTTCCCTCGAATCGCTGAGCTCTGCGGGTTTTGAACCAGTCATCTGCGGTGCTAAGCCTTCGAACCCACGCCCGCTCCCACGTCCGGTGCATCTCGTCCGCAACTCCCCGCCACCTGCTGAGGCTGTATCTCACGAAACAGCAAGAATGCACGATACGGATCGGCCAGCTCGCGAGCGCGATGGTGCACCTCACAACGGCAACCCCCAAATAGTTTTACAAAGGCCCGATTACGGCGGGTACATCTCTGTCTCGAGTAGCCAAGCTTCTTTGTCATCGATGGTTCCCCAAAAGCGAAGCTGGTCTCACGCGACTGCGCTCGGTTCACCGGACAATTCCGATCTTGAGGAAGACGGCGATTCAAGTTTCGAGGAAGGGTCTTTGGTCAGCGAGTCTCCAGGGGATCAATTAGCTCTCGGATTATCTCTGCCACGATCCAATAACGAGAACGAGAATCATGTCACATTACGTCTTTCACCGTCCACCTCCAGACGCGATGATATCAAAGAGCACGATTCTCTTTGTCATTCAGAATCCACAGCTATGCCATTCGATGTGCACCGACGGAGTGCCAGCACGCCGGCCCCTTCTAGCAGAAGCAGCCAGCATTCGGTTGAACGGGACAACAGTCCATCAAGTGGTTCAGAACGCAAATTCGACGGATCGGATTCATTCTGGGAAGCGGCTGTGCAAGAAAGATTGAGAGTCACTGCCACCTTTACGACTTTAAAGCCACTCAAACCGAAGTGCGCCAGAGCTACGACGGTCCACCCGTCTCACACCACCGCCACTGATGGCGAACAGCCCGACAGGAGCCCTTCCAGCGGGTCCGCAGCTCGTTCGCCCCCCTGGACTATTGTTGCACGAAAGACGCCGTGCGCCCACAGTACTCCGCAACAGCTCAATTCCGGTGAGACGAAGGATCAGTGCGTCGTCGATGATGCCGTACCAAAGCCAGGAACGCCGGGGCTAGCCTCCAATCAAGCTGACAGGTATGTCAACCTGAAATTGGGACAACCATCGCTCCTTGATGAACATCGATGCAGCTTCCCTGGATTAGCCCTACGCTCGGGCGCGTATGCAAAGTACGTTCCCCCGCAACGACGTGTGGCTGGCGAGCTCGTCTATACTGTCTCACAGCGGATAAAGCCCACGCCGCATCGTTCAGAGCGCGTGAGATTCGGATCTTCGTCGCCTATGCTGGAGATGAGATCTCGTTCGTCTACCTTGTCTCCTTGGAGTCCGTTCGCACCACCCGAATTTCCCTCCCCCACTTCAGAAGCAGTCGCGTGGAAGCGTGGTGCCCTTTTCTTGCCCAATCCTCCACCAGATGAATTCGCACATATTGATGAATTGGGAAACGAGAAACCATGGTACGCAAGAGAAAATTGGAAGACGGCAGACCCAGACGACTGGTTGTCAGGCTCCGTTACGGAAAAACATGCTACGGGGAAGCGGACGGTGAGAGATGGTGAGGAGGGATCGCAACTGAACACCCACACACCTCCGCAAAAGCAATGCCATGACTTGTGGAAGAATGGTCACCGCCGATGTGAAACGTTCGGAACGTGATGAGGATGGAGACCGATGGATTCCTATTATTTCCCCCTTGAATGTTACGTGAATTTTGATGTGTTTCCTGTTTTCCCTACGCATTTGATTTATCCAGTGATTATATGGTAATTCTGATTGTTACCGACTCGTTATGTATCATGGTATGGCCGTCAAGTGCCCACATGATGCCCAGGCCCCAGGCGTCCCCGTTTCACATCATGCAATGTCCCTACGTTTACCGCGTGAAGAAGGTGTGACTTATGGGGATCGAACACTTAAACTTCATGTGTCCAGGTGCAAAGTTTCATGTGATTACACACATGTGAGTTTGATTTGACAATCATTTGGTACTATTCTATGAAGAATGAATTTGAACGCGGCTATCACCGTTATCATCATCCATGTTCCACCCACACGGCCATTGAAACTGCAATTCTGCCGAACCAAGTACTCGTCCAAAAGTGAAATGCTCAGGCGTTATACCGGACTCAGGTACTTGTTTTGAGTGCTTCCCTGTTTCACACCCGATTGAATTGGAACCTTGATGTAATGGCTGTGTGAATACATATAATAAGACAATGTATGGAGTAACGACAGATCAATAGGACCCACTTTGAATCAGGTGGTTGCGCCACCGCTTATAGTCATCTTTGCCACTTCGCCATCCGCATCTTGGATCTCTACTTCTATATCCTGTGTATCCTGTGCGGTGCCCATGGGGGTATCTTCTTCGCTATCATTGACGTCATGGTGGGTTGCTTCGTCGAGTTTCATCTCCTGGACAAGCCACCTTGCGCCCTCGTCCCAACCAATCATTTCAGCTTCACCCAGGGGTGATCTTCCGGCGGCATTTTTGATATCAATCAGATCAATCCCGGGTCCGCCGTTGAAGTGAACCAGCTTCTGCGCTATTTCAAGATGCTGATTTAGCGCTGCCCAGTGCAAGGCAGTCGAGCCAGCGCTATTTTGCGCAGACAGGATGGAAGGGGAGACAAGAGGAAGAAGATAATCCAGCACGTCTACAAGATACCTTACGAGGATCAGTTTTGATGGTGTGGGGGACCGTGATGGCATCAGTGAGATTGCGTCTCACCTATGTGTCCATTCCCGCATGTCATGTGTAGCACGGTGTTTTCGTTGTCGTCTCGGACGATGGAGAGAGCATCTGAGCCGAATTTTGTGACAAAGTCCCGTACTTCGTCGAGATCATCGTAACGACATGAGAGGAGGAGGTTTTCCTTATCATCGTCTGCAGGCAGCGGCCATGTAGTCATCGTGAAAGATTTAGAAAATGAAAGTTTTCATCAATCCATCATCTACACTAAAAGTTGCAGCCCGAGATCCGACGGTCCGGCGGTTCGCCTACTGTAAATAGCAGTGAAATTTTAGCATGAGCCTTAAGCGAGAGCGTGACCTACTTGCCCCACAATCGCGATGTCATGGAAGCGGTACTGCCGGCACTAGACCGGTAATGCTCGGTAAGTACTGCTGGGTTACCAAAGGACTAAAAAAGCGCCGCATCGGTTTGGTTTGCTTGAACCAACTCGACATAGTATGATGCATGCATGCGTGGCTCCCATGTATACCTGTGCTGATAGCAAATCCACTCACGGTTTGTTCCTAGATCCCATAGCTCTCCCGTGGTCAGGCGGAACGTGCCACAACGGACGCTGAAATGATATCATATATGAACGTATTCATTGATTCAACATGTCACCTGCATCTGTTTCACCATCATTTCACCGCGTGGAATTGATGTGAGAGGGACGCGCTATATACCAAGCTTATTCCCCCTCGACTTCATAACAACGGCTATCATAGTGGCTTTGCGCAACTACTAAGCCGCACACTCACACTTGTCTCCTTCTCTTCTTCTTCTCCTTTGCTCGTCTCTATCATGGCGCACATGAGTCCAGCCGTTCACCTTGTATGGGCAACAGTCGTAATCATGGTCTGTCTGGAGTTCAAATGTTCAATGGAGGAAATACTGACTGACATATGAGATAGCTCGAATCCTTCTTAGTATATCATCTTTGGTCCTTTGACCAGTTTAAATGCCTGAAGTTAGCGGATTACTACATACAAGAGTTGCAAATCTCAAGTTCATTTGTATAGGTGGAACCATGGACCGTATTCTGGCGCATTCAAACGGGTCATGACGGTGCGTCACAGTTTCCCCTTTTTTCTATTGCATTACACCGTCCTCACACGATCTCACAGTATTCTTATTTAACCAGCATTCCGTTAATCGCAATCTACGTCGTGGGCTTCGCCATTATCAAGTACAGCTATGGTTTTACTGTTATTCCTGGGATAGGCAGTGAGTGAGCCCAATTGGCTACTTTGAGGTCTCCCACTCACGCCAAATTCAAATTTTCAAAGTCACGCCCACTCCGTACGAGCTTTGGAGTGACAGTGCGCGAAGCGCAATCCTTCCTCTGTACCTGTGTTTTTCAGTAGCTTGGGCTCTAGAGATGTGAGTATGCCCAACGCGTATTCGCTAACGTCGACTAACGTTTCGGCCAAGGGTAACACACTTGGAAGGTTCATTTTTCGCTCCTTTGCCTCTTAGTCGAGACTGAATTCACGGACTGTAGAGCTATGCTTTTGGCTTTTCCTCATCCATTCTGGCTCTGCGAAACAGGATTGGTTCCGCAGCCTGTATTTCAAGACATGGGCGATCGGTTCTGTGGTCGCAGTCATTTTGATGCCCCTTGTGACGATTTTCACGCGGGGAGACCCCTACAAGGTCTGTCATATGCATATTTGAATATCGGGCAGATTCGTAAACTGTGACTAGTGCGAGGCTTATACATTCTTGGTTGGGAGTCTCGGAAGCTTGTCTCTGACAATATGGTTTCTTCCGATTTTGTGGACATTCCCCACATTCCTCGAGGGCCTGGTTAGTTCATTCCGATTGTCAAGAATGGGCCAATCTGATCAACGCCTTTCAGAAACAAGCCGATGTTGATACGAATACGATAGTTAGGCTCACAAAGTTTCACGAGCTCAACGTAAGTTTCGCGCAGATGTATTATCATTGCTCAACTAATATGTGGTATATGAAGTGCATCCGGATCTTCTTCCGCTTTCTCTTCACAGTGCCGTTTGTGATCTTGGGCATCGATGGTATCAGACCGCATCAGCACATCAATGATAAGATGTGCGTGTGTTATGCCCCTGTGTGTGAACTATGCTAATTTTCGTCTAGGTTTCCCACTGGTAATGCAACTTCACCGCGTCCAGCAGGCTCGAGTCATTGACTGATCCTTCCAATTAGACCTATTAGGAATGATTGCGGCTGTAGGTTGTGTCGTATCCTCTGGGATCACTCTTATCGTGCGTCATTTACGGATACTAGTTGTTCAATTTGATTTGAAGCGGTGAGCCTCAGATATTCTTCCCGCGCTCAATCAAGGGGGAAATGGCCAATAGGGAGGCAGCTCGCGAGCGTCGCCGACTCCCTGATTCAAACACGTCTGGAGATGATCTTATGAATGAGCAGCGCGAAGGTCAACATGTGTCCGCATATACATTACCCCGCTATGAGGCCACAGATCCGAGTCGCTCGATACAAAAATTGGTGATCGAAGAAATGGAAGACGATGAAAACCCAAAATACGGGCTGTACGAGGTATCACCTTCACTGAGCCTGCAGCCAAATCGCAGAACGAAGGATGGGGACGTGGAGCTGGGGACTGTCTTCCCTCACACGGACGCTGCTCTATCGAGACATAATACAGCTATACGGAAGTCGAATGTAAATCATATTGTGCATAACTGGCGATCACCACTCGGTAAGGGCTCTCGTTATTTCTGCTGTTGTCGATGAGTGCTGATGGAGGAGATAGAAATTGGAGAACCACCGCGTTGGTACCAGTGATACCGCATGATTAGGCACCTTGGCAAAATGGAGTATTGGGCCCGGGATCGACATTTTCTACTCACGGTAATTGCGCACTACTTTGCTAGCTCTAATTTCAAGTGCCTAAATTTTCAACTATGTGATGCGTCGCCTGTAGGCTGTAGCTTAATGTTCAATGTACAGCGTCTAAAACTGTAAGTCGATGTCTAAATTGGTGGCGATATGCAAGAATTGATACACCGCAACACCGCAAGTCCTCGCATGGTTTAAAAATTAAGTATTAAACTTCACTACTGTGTCCTCAATGGTGTGCATGGTTCTAACGTTGACAGGTTATAACACATCGATATCTGGTGCACTGTGTTCATTATCAATTGTTCAGAGTGACAGCTTTTTTAGCTTCCTCCAGGTATGAGAGCGTGGGAAAGCTGATGATGGCCTTGCAGGTTTCGAATTGTGGTTCTTCTTCAGATCATCTGGCCGGAGACTCGAGACTGAGTGCTATCGTAGTCACTTCTGCTTGTTCATCGTGATGTGGTCGGTAGCGTATCGTCTTCCAACCATCTCAATGCGGCATTCATTCCCTCAATTTCAGCAAACATATATTCAATGCCCAAGTTTCGATACGGGCTCCATGCTGCAAGCAATGGTTTGATTGCGCAGAGTGTCATGCGGAGACGCAAGATCACGGGTTAAGGAAGACAACCGAGATGGCGTTCATGTGCAAGAAGTGCAAGAAGGCCTTTAGGAAGGATATGTCGAGCTACGAGGAGAGCGATGAGTTCTGCCCGCACTGCGATAATCACTATGTAAGCAACCTCACGTTCTTCTGACCGCCGGTTAACAACTATTTACACTACTGATAGGTCGTCGATGCCAAAACGCCGCAGGCAGTGATCGGAGTTGAGGGCGAAGATGCACGAGTTGACGCACGGTGAGGTCTTTCCTGAGGAAGTGTAGTTCATGGCTTGATTGCTTTGTACAGGATGCTCAAAGATGATCGTGTTCAACAAGATCCAAAGCGATCTATCTTTTCAAGGGATTTTTCGGATAGAGTGGGATGACGGCTCTCTCGATACCCTTATGTTCCCTGCTTTCCGCCCGCGTTGCATGCTATCACTGTCGCTATTGGATTAGGATGATGATCCATTTTATCATCATTTACCATTTTCTCAGTGTGACTGACTGACGTCCGTCCAGTCTCTCGAGTCTCAGGGCACAAGCATTACACAGACTATGGAACTTAATCCGATTGAAGTGTTTGATACATATACAGACAACCGAAGTCTCGGACAATAGGTTAATCGCCTGTTCAGCGCTGCAGCACTCAATACTCGACCTTTTGTGGCGCTCATCCCACGCTGAGTCGTATCGGTGAGGCGTGTAACTTAAAGCGCACGAACCCCTGGAAAACTACTCAACTGTAACGCTTTCAGTCATGGAATGACGTTGAACGAATCGTCTCCATGCGGCATGTCGCAACATCGATGTTCGAACATCAATCGGTGCATGTCGACACGCAGCGTGTAAGGACATCGAGCTGGCGCTGTTGTCCACCCCCGTGTGCTTACTTGAGCTATCTCCGGCTCTCAGCATGGATTGATCGGGATTATGGTGACCATCTCTTCTCTGCGTTTCCTTGTATCTATTTCTCGCTAGTGCCAGCTACGTTGTAGCGGGGAGGTGTGGCGCGGGTCCTCCGTGCCAGAGTCCTGTCGCAGTGGCTGGAGTCGTGGTTGATACTAATAGTACTTCCTTCTGCATGTCAGTAGATGCACATCCACTCATTCCATCTGCCGCCTTGGGTTCAAGTTCGCCCTGCGGTCGCATGAAGCCATCGTGTGAGTCTGTCCCCGGTTTAACGTTTTGTGAATATTGAAGACCCAATTGATGTTCAAGTTGGCAGCTATTATCGACGTGCTCATGACCTGTCAGCAAATGATGGCCTCACGGCTCCCCACGGTGTATGAGCTCGCATGACCGGTTCGCAACAATTATTTTACTATCTCAGATCACAGTATGTTTTGACTTGCTGTGACCATGCATACCAGGGTCCAGTAATAGCCTGCTAGTGGCTAGATAGAAATATGTCGACTGACATATCTTATATTGGGTCAACTACTGGATTCAGATACTAGCAGCTGCTGTACCATTCTCCTGGGCCCCGGCTGTCGACAGTGTAGTTTGCTTTCCGTTAGGCATCATTAGGCATCATCCATATGCAAATCGCGCGGCGGTCGCACGATCGGAGTAAATCCAACTTTCATCTCAGAGAGCCTGAATCCAGATCGACAACATGCACATGTACATCAATTTGGTGATGACTTCTTTTTATTTTTGAGACCGATTCGGCGTCACGAGCGAACTGTACAATTGTAAGCCAGTTCTCAACGCGACTGGAGCACTGGACCTCTAAAATTCCTATACGTGCATCATTCGCAGAACGCGATGTAGTGGGCATTTTTTATCAGACATAAATATTGTAATCAAATGCTTCGCTATATCTTCGTGAGAACGAGATCATCAGTCCGTCGTCACTGTGCCTACCAGCCCTTACTTCCTTGCGGAGGGTAGTAAACCGAATACCAGCGAATACCCCGCTGCAACTCGAAAGAAATGGTGCCGGCATCCCTGTGTCCCTGAGATGTGACACGTCGGGGGCTTGCTCGTGAGAGTCGGTTAGACTAATATTTTTCTACTACTCATCATGCCAGAGTCACGGGCAGCCCGAAGGTGAATTTACAAATTATCATAGAAGAAGAGGACCGTCCTCTCGCTCTCCCTGGTCACATACCGTCAGACAAGCCAGCCCACCATGAAGACCGTTAGTAGTGCTCTCACTCTTGCCTCGCTTGTAGGATCTGCTCTGGCGAGTGCAATCTACACTTTGAGCGAGAGCGTTCGCGGTGAAGGTTTCTACGACTCCTTCAACTTCGAGAATATCACCGACCCCACCCATGGACGTGTGTATGTTTGTCCCGCATGCACACAGTTTGTTCTTTTTCTCATTGATTGACAGGACCTATGTCAGCCGAAAGACAGCAGAGAGGCTCAATTTGACTTATGCCACGAGCGACACCTTCATCTTGCGCGCAGATGATACCACGGTTTTGAGTGCCAACGACTCGGGGCGGAATTCGGTCAGGATTAGATCCAACCACCAGTACACAGAGCATGTCGTGGTGTAAGTGATGTCCTCATGAATGAGTCTTACTAACTGATGGTTGTCGATGATAGCTTTGATATACAGCATATTCCCGAAGGATGCGGGTGAGCCTCTTTTCTTCGTCCGAGGGGTTCTATTGTTTACAATTTTGAAACAGAACATGGCCCGTAAGTGGGCGGCACCGATGAAGCAAGTTAATAGTGACTAACGGCTAGCAGGCTATCTGGGAAACGAAAGAGTCCGATTGGCCTGCTAGTGTTTGTGTTCTTTTTTTGTTTCCGATAGCTCTATCATCCTGACGTACATCCTTTCGCCAGGGTGAAATCGATATCCTCGAGGGTGCAAACAATGTAGTGCCTAACCAGGCGACACTCCACACTGGCCACAGTTCGTTCATTATAACTTTTGTAGCTGTGTCGTTTTTCAACATCGCACAGATTGTTCCATGCCAAATAACACTCTCCAATCAGGGTATATTTGATTTGTCACTGCACTGATTCGTCTGGCTAAAATGCTAATTGTTATTGTTTAGAACCACGATGACAACCAACTGTGACGCTTCAGGTAAGGCCATCATAATTGATTCTGGTCTCGTGCTAAAATTCAATAGTCGCTTATAATGTTGGGTGTGCTGTGAAGCTCACTGAAGATGACAACAGTTTTGGTCCAGGATTCAACAGGATCGGTGGAGGATGGTGCGTTACAGGCCTAGCAAACTACTCTCAATGTTCGTGCGGCTTACAGGTTCTTCTGCAGGTATGCTATGGAACGCACACTTCACTATATCAAGGTTTGGTTCTGGGAGAGATACGACCCAACTGTTCCCTTTGATATTACCAGCGGTGCATGGATCATTGACACCGCCAACTGGGTAATAGTCCTCGCGCCTCTGTCGGATTGTGCTTACATGATTTGATTGCCAGGGCATCCCTGCTGCCAACTTCCCTAACAACACCGAGTGTGACATTAAATCTCACTTTGGGTCCAACAACATTATTATTGATCTGACGTTCTGTGAGTCGTGTATTGTTTTGGAGTGGTCTGCCACGCTCATACCGCACATAGGCGGTGACTGGGCAGGCAACGCGGCTCTCTACAATGCTTCTGGATGCCCGTCGGACTGTGTGTCTTACGTCAACAGTAAGTGCTCTCGCGTGAATGTCCAGTACAAATGTGAAACCTCCGCAGACAACCCTAGCGCGTTCACAAACGCCTACTTCCAAATTTCGTCCATGAACATCTACGAATAGATGCCACAGGAAAGGCGTTAAATAACTTTACATAGCCTGCGGCGCGTCATTTTCATACTCCCACTCGGCGATCCCTGAGAAAGGAAATAGACGAGTAGGATCATTGTCGGCGGTGCGGATTATATAGCACAGAGGATGTTACTTTAATTACATATCATAGAATGGTGCAGGAGGATGCTTATTCTCGGGCAGTTGAGATTCCGCGGATTGATGGGAAGATCTCATTGCTCACGACTGTTTGGTCTCAAGCAAAATCTGTGATGGATGGCCGAAAGCGAAAGTCATTCTACTAGCTAGATTGTCAACAACTTAGGAGGATCTATAATCTGAGATATGCATCAGCAGAATAAACACCCAAATAACCGCACACCTGCTCTGGAAGGATAAAGACTCCTAGTTCCGCCTGTGCTCGCTCGTGGAATAGTTACCTGAGGCCTTGTATTTGATATCAATTTTAGAAAATTGACCCGAGGTCCAACAGGGTCCAACTAAAGATGAAAGCGCTGTCTTTGTCTGGATACGTGTCATCTACACAACAGAAATTAAGAAGCGTCACCGATGAGCTGAAAAATTATTAACGCACCTTCCTTCTTACCACCGCTACTGTGTAGCTTTGGGCATGTCTGCTGAAGGAATAGTACCTACTTACCCATTCCCTGGCACATTTACAACCCCCTTGGGAGAAATTAGTCGCATTGTGCACCCCCTGAAATTATCTTGCACTGGTGCTCAGCGCTCATCCGAGGCACACGCAACTGCCTTTTACAAAGCCTTTGCTTCATCCTTGAGTGTTAATGGCTCATGGATCATCACCTCTGATGCACCTTTATTGGTCCTCGGAATAAAATTCAGCGTACCGCCTTGATCACTGCTGTGAGCGCTATGACCGTCGCAACTTGAATTTATCAAATTCGCGTGGCAGTTCACGCACCGAACGGCACTGCCACAAGTGCTGAGGCGTGTATACGCACTCTCAAGACCAACTTAACGGACGACCCAGTTCGCTTTGAAACGACGACATTCCGTACTTCAAACTTAATTGTTGTACCTCTCCTGATTGTCAATTTCGCCATAAATCACGAATGATGTCTGCCAGGAGGCAGTCATCCACGACATCTCTAGCCAAATATGCACGGACCACTTCGCCCGATACCAATATTCGCTCTCTGGATTTCTGTAACTCATTCTGGGGTCTTGGAGATGCAGGTGTAGAAGTATTGTTTGCTCGAATGCGAGGAGGGGCAAGGACAATGGATGAGTTGAAGAACTTCTGGAAGGAGCGGTAAGTTGGTTCTCATATATTTTTCCCATTGACCTTTACACACGATGACAGATCTGCGATCGAAGAAGACTATGCAAAACGGCTCGCGAAGTTGGCCAAAATGTCAATTGGCAAGGATGAAATAGGGTGAGCTACTCAAATTCTTTGAACCCTGACCTTCGTCTGCGGGCCGCTCTGGTCGGTCGGTCGGGATGCCAAAGTGTGGCTCTGCAAGCTGCAGAACTACACGTTGCTCCAGAGCACTTAGGGAGATGTATTTCCCGTCTCATTACTCGGGTCGAATACACAGCGTTCAGCTGCGTGGTGGCGCAACTTTGCATCTGACGTGTGGCTTACGCCAGGGTTTCATTACTGATCGTAACTCACAGGGAACTACGGAACTCCGTGGATACATTGCGTCTCGAAACCGATAAGCAAGCCGGTTATCACTTGCAGCTTTCGCAGCAAATACGGAATGATCTCGAAGGTCAGGCCGCGGCTTTCTCCGCAAGGCAGCAACAGCACAAGAAGACCTATCAAGCCGCTATCGAGAAGGAGTTCAAAGTGAAGCAAACACGCGAACAGCACGCAAGCAAAGCTCGGGAAAAATATGAATCTGATTGCCTCCGTATCAACTCCTACACTGCTCAGTCGACGCTAGTTCAGGGCAAAGATCTCGAGAAAATTCACCTGAAGCTCGAACGTGCCCAGCAGACAGTGCAAGTAAACGAAAATGATTACGCCCAGTTTACCCGGGTATTGCAAGAGACAATGCAGAAGTGGGAGCATGATTGGAAGGCATTCTGCGACACCTGCCAAGATCTCGAGGAGGAGCGAATGGAGTTCATGAAGGATAATATGTGGGCCTATGCCAATTCCGTATCAACAGTATGTGTCTCTGATGACGAGGTAAGTCTTTCATCATCATCGGATATCGCTGTTTAGTAATCAGTCTATAGTCTTGCGAGAAAATGCGACTCGCCTTGGAACAAATGGAACCGGAGAAGGAGATGGAAAATTTTGTACGTGACTACGGAATGGGAAATGCGATACCCGAACCTCCGGCATTCGTCAACTACACCAGTACCGATGCAGTGCCTTCATCTTCTGCTCGCATCGCTACTCGTCCTGCAACCTTTTCTCGGGTATCACAAAGGTCATCGGCCGGGCGCAGCGCTCCCCCGCCGGAGCCCGAAGACCCCTACGATGATACCAACCATGCAGGTGTAGGGGCGATTGGTGTAGGAAGTCGCAACTCTCCCGCTGAATCTACCCTCGCGAGAAGTCAGACCCAAAGATCTCAAAGTGGACGCTCTCAAATGAACGGTGTCAACGGGCATGTATCCCCTCTCCGCGATACCCAACATCAGACGTCCGAGGCACAGAGGCGCAACAGTACAGCCTCTGCTCTTCGACCTACACAAGAGCCCCGTGGGGATCCAGTTGACCCTACAGTCTCTACCACGCAGTTAGTTATCGGAGGGCAGACTTGGAATGTTGATCCGAACAAGGACCCGCAACAGCAGAGAGCCCAATTTGGGACTTCTCCTGTTGGAGAGCAAAATGACCCATTAGTCAGGCAAATGGCTGAGCTCACCGCTGCCCAGAACTTGGCTAGGCGTCCTACCGCTCGCAGGGACACACTATCAGGACAAGATCCCCGCAGAGCTACAACTGACTCTCTCGTTACCCCTACTTCAGCCAACTCTGGCAATCGTGATTTCCGCAATTCAGCTGAAGTCGTGGTTGGGTCATACCCCCTTGCACCGTCTCGCTCGAACTCTCCAAATCCTCCTAAACCCATTCTTGCAGCTCCTCCGCCACCCTCACTTTCACAGTCTTCCTCGAACCTCCCAGTCGAGCAAGTCCTCAATAATTATGGTCGTACGTTCCCTGGAGAACAACGATCTCGTAGCAGGGCTAATAGCTTTGTTGGTCCGCCACCCGCTGTTAACAATCACCAAACCCAGGATCCAAATGGGGTACGGCCGACTAGCCGAGGGGGCTATCCTGGTGTTGGTACTCAAAACCTAGGTCCTCAGCCTCCAACAGGGTCACTTGTTCGTGCGCCGTCGATCGCTCAAAGACCGGTTACGCCGAACAACCCAGTCGGCATTGCTCTTGGCCCAGATGGAAGTGTCGTGGTCGATCATATGGCACGTCAGCCCCCGAGACAATCACCCTACAGCCATGCGCAACCATCTAGCGCTCAACCATACCCGGGGTATAATAATAATGACAACCGACAGCCACAGCCGCAGCCTCAGCCGCAACCTCAGCCTCGCGCTGATTATGGTGCTGTGACGACTTATGCTGCACCTGCTCCACCACAACCTTACGTCAACTATAATCACGCACCTCAACGTCCTCAATATGATCCTCAGCCTGTCGTCCCTTACCAGCCTCCTCCACCACCGCAGCAGCCTTACAACAACTACGGCCCGCCTGCACGGAATCCGTCAATTGTGGCTCACCCAAGCCAGGGTGTGATCAATCACCACCCTCAGCAACCTTACTATGGTCATAATAATACGAATGCCTACCGTGCGCCAAGCCCTGCGATGACGCGCACACCTTCTCCACAGCTCCCACGTCATCCACCGCCTCCCACCGGTGCCTATACTGATGATGGCCGCCCCATCCTGTTTTACGGTATGTTGAAGATCTTGCTTTATGTGTTCATAACCTAACTCGTGCTCTACAGTGAAAGCGCTGTACGATTATGCAGCGACGATTGACGAAGAATTTGATTTCCAAGCGGGCGATATCATCGCGGTAACTGATACCCCCGAGGATGGGTGGTGGAGTGGAGAGTTGCTTGATGAAGTAAGACGCCAGGCTGGTAGGCACGTGTTCCCAAGCAATTTTGTGTGTTTGTTCTAGTCATCTTCTCACTCGCTTTCAACGCGCTCCGCATTTACATCATTCATTTTGCTTACCAGATATACCTGCTATGTTTCGTTACTGATACCAACTCTGTGACGAGTTCCTTGACGCTTGTGTGGTACATAATCTTTCGTTTGACCTTATCTACTGGTGGATAAATAGCACTGATCCGTGGACGCTGGAACTGATTCAGATAAGGTCGTGATTATCTTCCCCAGCTTCCCCCTCCCCTGTCTATGATGTGGTCTAGGTCAACGTTCCCATGACGTTGTAGGAATCACGCTTGCGAATGTCGCATCGAAGTCTATCGAAGTTTGCTTTCTGAAGTGTTTTTAGGTCGATTTTGGATTGTTCATTTTGGTGAAAGCTGTCAATTTTATTTTGGTACGAATCTGTATTTGAAATGTTTTCCTTAAAAGCTTTTATTTTCTCAGGAAGGTCATGATGGAATCCGTTATCGACGTTACGACGTGTCAAGCTGTGCAAAGTTGCGTTGATTTAACGTTCAGTCTCTTAGTAGTCGCGCGCGCGGCTGCTAGCGGTTTCAAGCCGGTGATCGTCTTCTCCAAAGGAGGTAGCCAAGGGCAGTCACTGTAATAGTCGCAGTTGCTCTTCTGTCTCATTATCATTTAATACCAGGTCCAACGGGAACTTGGCACGGCAACGGCGAAATTGAAATTTTGTTGAAGACATGGTAAGTTGATCATAGCCTCCTACTTGGCCAGCGCGAATATCCAGGAACTCCCGGTTATGGTGGTTATTTCCCGGCCAAGGGCCGCCAATCTTAGAAAGCATGCTGAAACATAGGCAGTGAAAATTATGTATATCAGGGGAAGGATTGACAAACTCTTAGACTCATCGGCTCCCTAAAATCTACCCGAGCAAGGATAACGTTCGTGGTCATCGCATTCTTATCCGAGGTCGGCTCCGGGCACTCATTCCTGCAGTATTAAAAGCCCACTTCTTGCCTATCCGCAGTACCACCATACCTAGCATTTGCCTTTGTCACAGCGGTTCTTGTGGTCAATAACCCCTTGACGCTCCCAACAATCCTTCTTCGACAAGCTATTATGCGTCCCTATGCCATTTACGAGCACCCCGATTTCACCCTCTCCACTGAGTCGGTATCAACGCTGCAAAAGATTGCAGCGGCTTTGACTGCCGTTGCTGCATCCAGTGCAGCTGTGTATGAGTACATCGCCCGCGTTGGTACTAGCCAGGGAAGGTCAGTCGCGCTGAAATCAATCTTGCTTTTGGTCACTGAGTTTCCTTGAAGCTCGACGCTTCTTTAGGCCTAGACGGAAGTCCAAGCATTCCGTACTCACGGAATTGGCAAACACGAGGCATTGCCTCGTTCATTCGTCAGATGGTCGGTTTGTAGGATCTAGAGCATATCAAGACTTCGATAGAAGCAGGGGACAGGCTTAGGCGGACCCCGGATTGGACAGAGGGTAAAAGCAAATGTAAGAGTGCGCAGACTTATCGCGGTGTAGGGTTATATGCAGCTCCTGTAGACGGTTCCCATCAGGAATGGACATTACCGGTGAATCGCTATGTATTATCAGTTAGGGTATTTTGTTGTACAAGTGTTATCCAGTACTTTCCATGTTATTCTTTTATGATACAATCGTTCATTACTGCCATCATCTAGAGATTTTTGAGAGCTATCATTTCCTGTGCTTAGTTGGGCGGAGTCCCTGTGAAATGCAAATGTTCTATGGTGGACAGGGGAGGTACAAAGGATGAATCTATAGCTGTTGTATCCTCTGCTGGACCTTTTCTCTGACGGTCTGATATGCATTCATGATCGTCTGCTCGTTGATTACGATCTCAGTTGTGTCGGCCTTTGGTCGACTAACTCTTGATGCAATTGTCGTCGAGTCTGTTTCCACAATAATTCTATCAAGATGATGAGTATATATGTTCATCGATCAAGATTGCGCATTACCCATCATCAATTGTTTCATCCAGGCACAAAAGGACCATGTCGAGGTTCTCCAGCACCGCCCGCTTCTCAACCTGATTCCGCAACAGCAAATGGACAGCATCAGAGAACGCAGTGAGAGCAGAGTAGAGCATTATTTCGTTCTCTGTTGCACCGCCGATGATGTAGAAGATGAGGTCCAGTGAATGGCGGAAGACTGCAAGACGACCGTCGTAGAGTATGATGTCAGCTGAACACGTATGCCACATCGACGGACTACATGTAAGTAGGTTTCCTGTTAAACGTGTGGCTACGCACCTCCAGGCTTCTTGGTCTTCTGCCATAGACCTTTCTCAAATGCTCGTTGATCTTTCAATGCCAGAAGGTCCTTAGACTCGCCCTGGGGATGACCTTTGGGTCGGTAGTACTTGGCAAGGACACGATGTCCTTCAGCGTCCAAGATGAGGAAGGCGTTTATGCTGTATAATGACAGATTCATCTTGGGTTACACGAAGTCAGCCTTCCTCAGTTACGCTGCGACTCTTCACCGACCTTGGTCGACTTGGCCAACGATAGTGACCACTTGTTGAGAAGCACCCGAACTAATAAGTCAAAAAAGGAAATTCTGAAATTGGTGGCCGTGACACAGCCTGAGGCTAGACCCTACGTACGCATCCGAGATAATTTGCTATCTCTTCAAGAACTACCTACTAGCGTTAGGCTGTAGCTGTAACCTCCGAAGGCCCTTGAATTCTCGACTTCGATGATGTCACTTCGGTTTAAGCTCGTATTTTTTGCCCCAAAAACTCACACCGCGGAGATCCTGAGCATGCTGTTCAAACACTGCCCAAATGTGCTTGGTAAAATTGGTCAGTATCAGGAATGCGCATTCATCACTCCCGGAATTGGTGAGTCTTGCTAAGGCGGTAGCTTCGGATTGATCCCGTCTGGGCGATTCGTCTGAGGTCATCCACAGGACAGTTCAGGCCAGGGCCAGAAGCTCAACCTGTTACTGGAGAGCCTGGCAAGCTTGAACACGTGGAAGAAGATAGGGTGGAAATTGTGGTCCATGACCTAGGCGAAAAAGTACAGCTTAAAGATGCGATTCGTCGTTTGAAAGAGGTAAGTCATTTTTTTTTTTCTCTTTCGTAAAATTGGGTGTGACCATCCTGACCGTTTAACACCTTCAGGCTCATCCATATGAAGAGGTTGCTTATGACGTCTACAAACTTGAAGACTTTTAGGCCAACGACTCGTTGTTTTCTTTATTTGAAACACAACTAGGCTAAATGGCGCAATGCGCTTGCACTGAGTGCCACGTCGGGTGAAGGCATCGTGCTCCTTCTCCACTTCTCACTTCAATTACGCGAAATGAAAACATGTCGTTGTTAATAAGTAATCCCGTTCTGCATCATGGTGCGGTACTTCCCTTAAATCGATGCACCTATTACTAAAATCCACCCGCAGTCTCCGCATATGTGTCCTCTCAAGCTGCTAAAGGCGCGAGTCGCATTCCAACTTCGGACGCCTCGCGATATTAGATGTGCATTGCCGCACACATGTTCACAACTCGGATCAGTTAAATGACGTTTTCTGAGCTGATTAAAAGGGCACATGCTTATCTACCAAGCGATAACGATCGCCCGCTCGTCGCCCGCATCATCAATCAGATTACAGTTTTTTTACCTTTTTTCCAGAACATACTCCCAACGTGGCAGACTGAAGTATTATCGCAGTGCTAGCGGAGCTACTGCAGAACCGGATATATGAGCGTTGTTCGAGCATCCCTTATTGTCACTGCAAATTACTGTGCACCGTATTGGTTCCCTGTGCTTGGCAGTCATTTAGGTGCTTGCTTGAGCGGCGAGCGCTAATATGTCCTGGGAACCACAGGTCAGCATCAAAGGTCCCACACTGCCTAATACACCTCTCGCCGCGTGGTTGGAGCGCTTGAACGCTCGTATTCGCCTCACCTATCCCGTCAGCTCGATCGTGATCTGTGCTGTAGATGCATGCGACTGGCCTTATGAACCCGCGCATGCTCCCCGGGGTGTGTGTTCGAGGCACGATGCAAGATATAAACTGGAGTTCGCCATGGGGTTCACACAAGTTGCAGACAAGTAACTATATAGAAGCTTCATTTCCCCGCTTCTTCGCTCTTCACCTCCTTCCTTTCTCAGAACCTGGCGATGGATCTAGACTATTCGACTTTTTCCATCAGGTGTGTAGATAGGAGTCACTATCGACTAGATGTTTAACGACGTTCTTTGGATTGTAGACATGCCCTAGGTTCTCAGGCGGGTTTCACGCAGTGTTCTTCGATGACTACCCGCGTTGTTCCACAAGGATGCACATTTGCGGAGCCAGAAGCCTTTCTATCACGCAATCAGGAGGATGCAACGCAAAATTTGGATGACGTCGATGCCATGAGGTGATTATTGGCAGCCGCTGTCGTCATCATACAGCTTATTAAAATTACGATGGCTCGGCACCGCAGTTATTCAATGCATCATTCCTTCAATACAAATCCACAACATGCACATTCCATTTATCCGCCACTTTCATTTCCAAACACGTTCGAGGATTGTGTTCCTTCCCACCCCGGCTTCGCAGTTCAAAATACGTCATCTGCTCATGTCTATCAGGAACACAACCTCCAAGATCCGTTGATCGCATGGGCTGCAAGCCATCAGCCCCTGCTGCCTGATCTGGCAAATCCTTCCTCGGAGATAACCTTGGCACCTGGGGCACAGTGGTCGTATGTTCTCCGCTGTTAAATTTATCACGTTTCATTACTGATGCTCCATGACGCAGTGAGGTCCAGCCCATCGAAGCTGCCAAATTCTCGAGGACTGCAGGTCAGGGCCATCAATGTGACGCACTATCCTTGGACATCACCATCCCTCATTTCTACTCAAACCCCGACGATAAAAACGAGCTCACACATCCTACATCGCCCCCCTTTTCTCTGGATAGCATCGACAGTACGCGTCCCCCTTGGTTTTACCAGCATCCTGAACTACGCTATCCTCATGTTCCTGCGGTGTTTTTCCCTGTTGCTGACTACTGCTCGTCTCCCGGATCTTATGTCCTTCCTGCCCAGGAAGACATCTCGTCGCAGTTGAACGCTCATGAAGGCCAGCAGCTTGGTGTCTCTCGCGGGACCGCTGGATTACCCCGGCCATCATATTATATCAGGTCGTCCACCCAGCCACCACCCCACTCTTATTCAGCAGATCCCCCGCTACGCGGGGGTACGGGGAAACGATTGAGGAGAACGTCCTCAGATTCCAACCTTGCAGATCGGGATACCACGATAGCTGCACCGCCTCAGGCACGCAATTCCCGCTCAGAATCTGGGATTAAACGTGCAGTCACAGTACCGCATGGTGCTCAGCCACCTGCGCATCTCCGTGTTCATCACGTTAATGTTGCTCCCCTCGTGGAAATATCTCGCCTTCAATCATCAGTGCCACAAAAGGTGGATTGCGATGGCCGCCTAGTTGACGAGTCTACCATGCGGAACCACGGACGACCTCTACTGCACGTCTACAAATGCCAATGGGACACGAACCACTCCCCCTGCGGTATGCATATCGAAGGGGACCAGCCAAGCGTCACAGACCATCTCGTCAGGTTCCATGGTTTCACGGGTGGTGAAGGGGATACCGCCTGTCTCTGGGGTGGTTGTGTTTCAAAAAAGCGCGCCGCGATGAAGGGTACGAGTATAGCTCGTCACCTCGTCACTCATATCGGCTACAAAATCAAATGCACCGCCTGCAACGTCGACTATGCGCGGGAAGATGCATGCAGGAGAAGTCACGCCAATGCGAGATCAGAGTGCCAGACGATGCAAATAGCCCCTGTCCACGGTCCTGGGGTTATTGCGCTGAAGGTTCGAAACTGTGAGCCCGCGACTAAGAAGAGACGTGTCGCGGATGCCTAAATCCAAAATTCTATTCGTCGTCACCTTCATACCTAATTCATCCATAATATGCGACTTTTTCTCTCTCAGTCTTCAATTTCCACATAGATTCCAGGGTTCGTGTATCTATCCTCTTCTCAAACCTCATCATAGAGCCAGTCCTATAATTTATTGATATTTCAAGTTATCGAGATACCTCTGTAGTCCATTCGTAGCCTCCATGTTTCGATTCCCAAGTTGTATGCATCTCACTGGGCCCATTTAGGATATTGTAGCCTCATCTAGTACTGGTAGTCATGTAGACGTCGACTCGTCACTTATCCTTATCATTCTAACGCATTTTCATAATCAAGCTATGCTTAGACTGAAAGACCAATGCAATTTTCGACTGCGCAAGGATCAGACACGCTCTGGCGCAACTCTCATGCCACTCCTGTGACACTACCTCGTCAAGCCTCCCACATGCCGCGTCAGCACACCCAGGTTACGGTACGCTTGGTGGAACGACAGGTAGCAATTTAGTGCATCATGCAATTCGTTACTCTTTCCAATGACATGGTGCACTAAGTAACATCTTTGAGAGTCACGAAGGCCAGCGGCCTTGGCTTCATTCAAAACAGCCGCGCATCTTTCAAGTCGGGCCTTCGAGGTGAACTGAACCGTGGTTACTAAAGGAACACGGACCAAGCTTCATTTTGCCCCGTCAGTGCCACGTCACGACTAGGCCCCAAGAATGAAACTAGACTTTACTAGTAAGGCCACCCAATCGTTGACCGCCTAGTAGACCAGCCGCCACACCTTATCCACTGTCTAGGTCAAATTTCGTCTGGATCGCAACCTGCAGGTTCCATAGGCTACCGGATCTCGATTCTCGTTGACTTTCTATCAATCAATTCGACTCACTTGGTCTGCTGCTGCTTTACCAGGCTTCTCTCCAGGCATGATATTGATATTGGAGATGACTGAACAGCAGCACTGTGTTTAGTTCGAAGGTCATTCGGTCAATTCAAATATGTCGTCTTCGAGATCCCGTGAAGATGAAATATACCTCTGAATCCAATGGACCAGGTTGCGACTCTTCGCTTTCGGTTACCCCCTGACACGAAGATTGAAAACTCCCATCAGGCACGTCCGTATGTACCAAGATCAGCTCAGATATCTTTATGGAGCTGGAGGTTCGCGTCCCAGTTACTGTCTTGTGTCATCGACCCTTCGTTCGTTATCCGACGGCAGTTGCGGATGTGGCACCTACCCGATAAGATTGAGGTCAATACACAATCCCATCCTCTCGGCGGTTAGCTACTAAACGTGAATGACTTCCAGCAAACCAACGAACCATCTCACTGACTCAAATTCCAGATACAGACAGGGTGACTAGTATGTTCACGCTAGCTACGATAGCAATCACAGCATACAGTACTATAAAAGTCATGCGCAGCTTGAATGCACTTTTGATGAGTAGCTTGCCCATCATTTTTGCATCAATCATGCCGCAATTCTCTGACCTGCCCGTTTCTGACAACATGAAGCTCGTCCTTAGTGCTACGGGATGTATTTTGGTGGTGGGAGTAGTTACTCGGGCTTACCTTCACGGATCGAAGAATGCCCTTCCTCTCCCACCTTCCCCTCCCGCGGGCAGTCTTGTAGGGCACGTCCTACCCCGCGAGTAAAGTTTCACATTTGACTCACTGTTTTTGCGCTAATCGTGTCTTGTCATTGATATTGATCAGCCCATTCCTCCTTGTAAAGCGATGGATCGACGAGTATGGTCCTTTAATCACCCTTCGCGTAGGAATCGATAAAATTGTTGTTATTGGCAGTCACGAAGTCAGTCCCTCTACCTTGAACTGTCTTTTCCAGGCTCAACATGCTGTTACAGGCCGCGATGGATATAATGGAGAAGCAGGGCATAGCACTGGCTGAGCGTCCTCCCTCTATTGCTGCTGGAAAACTGTTTACTGGTGGACAGGCGGTCGCCTTTGCGGCTGGAGAAAGGTTTCGTCGAATGCGTAGGTTCGTTGTCAAACGATACTGTGCAGGTGTAAATAGCCCCTGTCTTACTTTCTAATGTGATGCAGAGCACTTCATACGCATCTCCAGCCCAAAGCAGTTGAGGAATATCAGCTCCTGCAGATGTCACACGCGAAGATCACACTTCTATCCTTTCTTGAAGACCCAGGCAATTACCAGAAGCATGTGATAAGGCAAGCGCTTCCCTAGGTTCGGGTTCTGGTAGTGCATTACTTACAGTTGGTTTGAAGTTATGCTGCGACGACGATTACGAAAGTTGTATTTGGGAAGAACATGAATGCGACCGATGACGAAATTGAATTGGGTCGCCAGTTCATCGGGGCACTTATTGCAGCAGCGAACCCTGGCGCTTACTTGGTGGACTCGATTCCGTGGCTTCAATACCTTCCATGGTATGGCCGAAAATTAAGGCAGCAGTATAAAAGCTACCTGAAACTATTCACTGCCCACCTGAATTTCGTGAAACAAGAAATGGTACGTGTCTCTGATATGACGGACTTCGCATAGTGTCTCAATCATTGCACAGCAAAACAATGCGGACGCCGGTCTTTCATTCACGAGATATTTGCTAGAAAATAAACAGCTCCATGGCTTGACAGAGACTGAGATGGCTTTTCTTTCTGGCACCTTCTTTGGAGCTGGATCCGATACGGTGAAGTGTATTATCGTTGTTTCCTACGGCGTGTGGCTGAAATCAGGTGTCAGACTGCTTTAGTAATGTGCACAGTGCTAATGGTAGCCGCATGTTTCCCTGAGGAACTAGCCAAGGTCACAGCCGAGATTGACGCAGTCGTCGGCACGGATCGAGGTACCCCGATTTCCTATTGCACTTTTATTGATCCAAGGATGTCTCCACTTCAGCACCGACCTTCGCCGACGAACACTCCCTTCCTCGTTTACGTGCCTTCATCGCCGAGTGTATGAGATGGAGACCGTTGGGCCCTATGGGCGGGTATCTTCATCATCAAGCCTGTACATGAACTTACATCGTTCACACTGTAGGATTTCCTCACAAAACTACTCAAGACGTGGTTTGGGTGAGTTATCTTTCCAATTTGTCGTGCAAAGGAAAATCCTACATCCACCCGCAGAAAAACTATTGTATTCCCGCCGAGACTACAGTATTCGGCAACCATTGGTAAGCATGATCTTTCAACCTGCGAAGGATCTAATGGCTATTGTGTCAGGGCCATCTCTCGAGATCCAAAAGCCTACCCTGACCCTGATGCGTTCAAACCTCAGCGCTGGATCAACGACGAAGGTCAAATGAGAGAGGATCTAACGTTCTTTCCCTATGGATTTGGTCGCCGGTACGCATCGCCTTTTAGGCCATGCTTTCTTTGACTGTCTTCCTTCCAGCATTTGCCCTGGTCTACACCTTGCGAACAGGTATTACGGGGAGCCCTTCTATGTTCGTGATCTTCAAATCTCATATTCAATCGGTACAGATCGATATTCATCAACTCGGTCCTTTTATTCTGGGCCTTCCACGTCACTCTGGATGATACGAAGCCACTGAATGACATGGGATATATGGATGGGGTGATGCCACTGGTCCCGCCATGCAGTCTTCAGTTCAAGACGAGAATTTTGAAGACAGAGATCAGGCGCATGCTGCAGGATTATCCTGAGGGTGCATGAGAAGCTTCAAATCTGACCCACGAATATTTATAGCTGATAAGTTACTCACAGTAATGGCGTAATGCCATGTCTGGGTACTCAGTGTTGGCATGAAACATGCAAGGCCCCTTTATATATAACCAAACTATGATTTTTGACTCAAAGTGCACTCGAGAAGGCAATGAGCAGGTTTCAGAGGATTGTGGAAAAGAGATAAATACGATTGCAGCGTAGCCATACTACCGGCTGTTCAGTCAGTTCCACTCGGCTTGAGCATACAGGCCCAGTGCTGCAGTAGCCAGCGTCGAGCTGTACAGTGCAACATCAGTGGTGGTGTAGTTCTTTGTATTCTGCAGGCCATTGAGGATGCCAAGGAGCTGCGTTTCAATGAAGTCGACGAAGACAAGATCAACAGGCGTGTCATCTGTCACGTTTGGAGGATTCGAGCCAATGAAATCTGGAATCGAGTAATAGGGCAGCGCCATGTGCATCGTGTCGTCGCCAGCGCCAGGGCATGACTAAGTTGCAGCTATGAGCATATCGGAGCGAGTGGAAGACGGGCCACTTACATCGGCGGTGACATATCCGAGCGTCAGATTGCCCGACATTGCTTCTCGTCTACCCATTCCAGCACGCCTATCCATCTCCTCTAACCAGGCTCTGTACCGAGTGTCAACAACCCCACGGCTCCAAAGTTCTTTTTCGATCTCATCTCGCTTCCGTTTCTCACTTGCGCCCGCATTGTTCAAAGCGGGAAGCACCTGGTTTGCGACGCTAAACGTAACGTTGGGGATATACAAGAATGAATCCGCGAACGGCGAGGCAGTGAGCTGATCGTTCTTGGTGAATGGTCCCTTCAAGATGTTGAAGCGTTGAGATCCTGAATTGGTGATAAATATGTTGGGGATGGAATCACGGGTGTTGTTAATAGAGAGAGCGTATGGGATAGCCTAACAAGGGCGTTGATAATTGATATCTCTGAGAAATCAGTGCTTACATCTGCAATGAAAAGAGATAAAAGGGAACCATTGGAAGGATATGGGTTCCTAGCACACGATTGAGCTGGTGGCTAATGTGATGTATAGGAGTACCCACTGGTTGATGGTGTAATCTTGTGGGGCTGTTCCGTACAGGTAGGACAAATCAAAATCGACGGCAAGCTCCTGCAGGCCATGTGTGATCGACCGCCCGGAGGCAGTGTCAAACGTTTGGTTTGACATTTTGGTGTGGTACTAATTGCGGCAGGCGGATTAAGAACACCATCGAAAAACTGATGCACACTTTACCTCGTAGGTCACTCGGTTCTGGTCCAGATATCTCCTTGTAAAAGAAATGTTGTTGGCGTTGCCCTTGGCATCTTCAAGGTCCGCACCTAAGTTCCTGGGTCAAGTTTTTGAGATTCATTATTTATCAAACAATGTACTCATCCAGCCTAACAAGAACAAGTGAGACCTTGAGCCTAACCCATCTTTGAGGTTCACATACCGATCGTCTCCATGTAGCGTCCGCTTTCGAGAGCCATAGAACGGCCATCGTACTGTTGACAATCACGGATGTGGCTATGTCCTAGGTCCGCGGTGAGAAGGATATTTAACATCATCAAATAGGCGGCCTCCACCTCCAAATACTAAGATGGGCGTCTGAGGGTGCACAGCCCGAACAGCATCGAAGACAGTAGGCCCTAGATAACCAATTCATCGTATCACCGAACCTCACAATTGCTGTAGATGGCCTACAGTTATCGTAAGAAACCGGCATGTGCCTGAGATCACGTTAAAAAAAGTTTCCCATAATAATTAAGTCAGCCTACCCGACAAGTACAAACACGTCAGGCTCTTCCGCAATGGCCTCTGCGAACTGTGAACATAGATCAGGACACTGGTTTATATTTAGACACCTAAGATAACGTACCCACTGCTCTTTGACCATATCAGCCACAGTTTGCACAGTCGTGTTCACGTCGTTCCCAGTGAAATCGAATATGACTCCAAGAGAAGTAATGCGGCGGCCTCTGTCATATCGAATGAATTAAATCCCTCCTTGGATTCATAACACCGCTTACTTCCTTGTGGTGAACTTGGTATAGCGATCTGCGGAAAAGACATCGACAGCGGGAATACTGATTTAAAATTCAAACTCACTGCCGACTGGCACACTCTCAGGCTCGCCATCCGAGTTGAAAACAGTAATATTGACATTGGAAGACAAGTACCGCCCACCAAGGTGAGGGACAAAGTTCGTGTACCTGAGGGGGTTGGTCCATTTGGCAAGTATTGAAAATCAGTTGGGACCACAGGCGAAAAAATAGGCGTCAGAGAAGAGGAAGCCAAAAAAAAAGATGTGAATCAAGATAGTCAGTCAAACGGAAATTCGCCAAAAGTATATTCAGAACCCACATGTCGTATGTATTCGCATAGACGTAGAGTTCATGGCTATGGATGTGAAACTGTCATTTAACCCGGTACCAACAGGCTAAAGGACCATAAAATCCACACTCACTTTCCGATAGCCATGACATCATAGGGAAGGCGCTCGAGGAACTTGTTTGTCTGTAAAAGAACACGCGAAGGGTGTCAATTGCAAGGTATGTATCAACATTAACACGACAGACCTCGTGCGCATCGACACCACCGGGGGGGTAACCATCAGAAAGCCCAGTTCCTGAGAGGTGAATTGGATTGTGTCTTCCATCAGTGCCAATGCGATACATACCGTCATGTAGATCACCCGAGTCCACCAAAAGAAGGTCGACGTCCTTTTCCTGCAATAGGATATACATACAACGAAGTCAGGGTCCAGACTGATGGACGAACGATGGCAATTTTCTTCATGTGCGTCACGAAGCTAGAAAATTCCCCAAGGTCCCCGCTACAATACGCAAAGGGCGACGTGGTTGAGCCATGATGCCTCGAATTAGTTCTGTGCACTCACCTATAGTCTGGTTCAGGGAACGATAACTTCTGGTGGCCGAGTAACCAACCATGGGTGTCGGTGGTGTGGATCACATTAAAATCTTTCCAGACGAGAGGGCGGTAGGGAGGTGTGATTGGAACCTGAGGGTATTCACGCTTGTCCAAATGTTCATGAGCATGGGCGTCACGAGCATGTAAGTGATCACCCGCGCAAGCAGCACCACGGAGCGCAAGACCCAGAAGAACAGCGGCAGCCAAAATCATACTGGAAGGGGCGGCGCCTGCCTATCTAAAAAGCTGGTCGAAAGGGCGCCCAGGGGCGCTTATTAGCAAATTCAAGCGAGCTGAGTTTGATCACTTCAAGCTTCCTCTTCCAATCAAAGGCCGTACCTAGCTCATAAGATGAGCGGGCCATCTTACTATGATGAATGCCGCATCGGCTGATCTGAGGAGAGATAAGGTAACCGAGCCGCATCGTATGATCATCATCATCTCAGGCTGAAGCAGGGGCCGGTGAGGTTTTGCACAAGGGACGGAGTTTCAATTCCCACACGATTCAGGTTACCATCATTTGTCCATGCGGTTATGACTCCATAAAGACAACCAACCGGTGGCCTCGTCTAATATTGGTGGAGGACACGCGGTGCCCACGGACCACAAGTCATCTTGAGCCATCTGATGCGTTCTCAAGTCCGCCAACGATGATGAATGGCAGATGAACCTCCTTCAAAGAACGGTTGGGAGTCTAAGGGACAACGTTCGGTGCGGCGGCCTCCATACTCTCCCTAGGGAAGTCGGAACACGCCTCAGCTTGCGCACTTTCTCATGCAAGACCTCATTTCGCCAGAGCAATTCAACTTCTACGGTTACCGTGCACGTCGAACCCCGGATCAGTCAAGCTGCTCAAGCAGGCTGCAGTCGGACGGAAATTGTTGAATTGATCATAATGCACGAGATTCAGCCCTACTGGGGAGAGCGTGCTGTCCCCGGTTGCCGCAACTGCCATTTATTGCGGTAGACACACAAAAATTGAATAATAAATCACGGCGTGCAAGCTGCAGCAGCGTACTAACCTTTCAGGCTGGTCGTTTCCGTGCGTAGCCTATGGGACTGTCGCGGAGCTTCTATGTCCACTGCCCAGTCATATTCCACGTAAGAGTAATATCTTCTATGACAGAATATGGCAGCCCTCGACTAATTAGATCTAGATGCGAGCTCGAGGCATCTTACACGGTACCATGCTGTGCCCACGTGACGCGTCTATGTCTGCACAGGCTGCACGCGCTCAATTGAATCTTCTGTTGGATAAATCCCTCTTGGTCTACCTCGTTACCAAACTCCCGGGATCACTGGGCCTGGTGGTTCAACGTTCATGCCTCAGGCTAGCCCTTATGTTTTCCTAGTAACGAATATGCTGTAGAAGCCTTCAATTCGATCGTCAGCGTGCCAGAAGCTCAGCGCTCAGCACTGGTATTCAAGTGATTACTGGATGTTTGTGCCGTCAACGCCGGGCGCTCATCCGAAGTGGCAGGGCCACTGTGATCCGCGAAACTTGGATGCATAACGCGTGTCCGTCGATTACTCGTTGTCGTGGTGTCCTTCCATAATGGAAGCACGTCCATGCAGAATCACGCGTGCTTCCGCGGAATCCTACTTACCTGCCATGTTTCACAACATCAGCGCCTGGCATTGCGTTTATGATTTGGTGTGTGCAGCTTCGATGGGTCCTCGCCTTTCTTGACGCTGCGCTGTCGTGGCTAAGTCATCACAGCATTCTCACTTGAAGTAGACTGAAAGATGCTCGTTTGTCTCCACAGTGCAACGGACCCGGATCCGGAGTGAGGGGGATGTTATTGCCGGTATTTTGTGAATTCACACTGCAACTATTACGTCGAATACCACACACACACTGGCAGTCACTTGTCGGGTCCGGCCTACCCTAGTTACACATCTCGATATTACAGGTCGCCAGCTTCAGACTGAAATCAGATCCTTCCACCATGCCGTTGCGCCTGGCCCCTTCCGAACGTCATAGCGCACGGATGCGAGAAATGACACGTATTCCAGATTGTTTTTTTATTCACTAATGACGCATGCTTACAGTTGTCCCTCCGAGAGGTAGGTCACTCACTTAGGTCCGTGTGCTGTATTTCTGGCTGGTCGTTTTTTGTCCACCGCACCTGGGTATCTCAGCTGTTGTTAGAGAACTTCCAAGGGACCTGCCAGTCGGGTGGCTGCTAATCCCGTCTTTTGACGGATCAAAATTTGATCTTCCCGGGTGCCACGAAGGCTTTTGTTATCAGTCTAGCGCTCGCCGTACACAGAGCTCACTCCAAAACACAATGTGAAATCAATCTGGTAATGCGGTTGCTTGTAGTTGATCCGCTCTGGTATGGCAACATTGTCACATCGACCAAAAGTGATAATCATCCTTTCAACTTGCCTGTTTGAATATCGATGAAACACAGCGCGTAACCAATCTATTCCTTCCACCATTGTAGCGGGATTGCCCAAAGCCAAGAGCTTAGTGGAAGCCTGGCAATGATAGCCAACATCAACCCTCTTATCGAGCTGCGGTGGGGAACAGCGCCAGAGATGCAGGAAGTTAAAAACGACTCATCTACAGAACCAAGAAGACATACAAACCAAATCCCCTCTGATCTAACATGAACACAGAACGGTTAGTGGCGACATCCTCCATCATTTCTTGAGTGCTCACTGTTCTTTGTTCCAGTTCGTCTGAAGTTCGCATGGTCCATGATATGCTCCAGGAGCATAACAAGATGGATCCCATCGTGATTGACCGGGATATCCTGCGCGACGCCGACGCCAACTCGAGGGTCAAAGTGCACCCGTGTAACTGGAACGGGTGCGACATGCACGTTGGTGTCGAGCACAAGCAGGTCGCCAAACACCTTCAGCAACATCACGGTATCAATGCCAGCGCTACGAGCAAGGAGACGAAGGAAATTGTCTGCCTTTGGAAGGGTTGTCTCGACTCCCACACGAAACCAGGCAATCTCACACGTCATATACTTAAACACATTGGAGTACGGCATATTTGTTTGACGTGCCAGCGTTCATTCTCGCGGGAGGACGCCTTCCGGAGACATACTACTGAAAAGGAATGTTGCCAGGATGCGGAAGTCGCTGTTTCGTATGGAGCCGAAGTACGAGCAATTGACACATTGTGCATGGACAGTGGTTGGTCGATCAGCCAAAATGTCATGTGCATCCCCTTGTAATTTTCTCAAGTTGATGTAGCCGAGCGGTGTTATCTTACAGTACTAGTAATGTCCCTATTGTTTTGCGTTTCGACCTTACATCATATATGCATCTCCCTATAGCTCCTGCCCATAATCAGTAATCACGATTGTCCTACCGTATACTCCTACTTAGTTGATCCTATCTACTATTTATATTGGAACACATAATTTCTCGGATTTGGTCGTGGTGTTGATCGTTAAGCTTAGTTCAATCGTCTGCATATTGAATTGAGTAGTATATGGGTGCGTCCGCAATGTAAGGAATGTTATTCTGCTAGCTACGGAATCCCCTTTGTACTACCAGCTACGAACCTACCCTTTACCCGTTCCGAAGTACTGCCACTGGCTTACATATGAAAGCCTTACCTTACCCTTTTGTACCCTCAGTGAATACATCCCCCTCACTCATATCTCTTCATTGGCGATCTGTCAGTCCGCCGTCGAACTCGACGCAGAATTACAGTAAATTTATATAGTTAGAGTGACAAAAACACAAACGAACATATACATGGCAGAATTATCCTACTGCAGGAACGTCTGACAGTAAAATCATGGCAACGACAAGCGACGGCGTTTGACGCGACTATCATGAGATTCGGGTTCTCTGCACTCTCGTTTTGAGTTCTTCAAATGACGCAGCTTGGAATCCAATCGAGCAAACTGCTTTCCACAACTAGTGCACTCTGTTTTGTCGCTCAAATGCACCGCGACTATGTGCCGCGATATGCTCTCCTTCTTCATGACCCTGTCGCAGCCGTCCCAGCTGCACGGCATTTTATCTTTGTCACCGCCAGGTTTGACACCGTGATTCGTTTGGAGGTGCTTCGCCACTTCTGACTTGTCGACAGTCAGAAGTGAACTGCATGATCCACCCCAGCGGCATGAACGGTCTTCAAAAAAATCGTCCACCAACGACGAAAACTCCGACAATGTCGATGTAGGCGAAGGAAGATCAGCCCCATCACAAAAATTAGGTAGATAGACATTGTTAGAGTTCTGCGCGTGAGGTTGGATGTCGTGGGATAAGGGTCTGCCAGAATAATTGTAGGATTGCTCGTTCGCCCATGAATAATCACAAGTTACACTCCTGTTAGAAGATGAAGTGTCGGATGACTGCGGGAGAGCATGGGGGTCCCATATCTGGGGTGAAACATAATCCACAGAGTGGGTCATATTGGGATCGGGAGGAAAGCCATCGTAAAAAACGGGCAAAGGCGACGAGTCGAGGTTGAAACCCTCCATATGGTCGAGCTCACTATGATAAAGTAGATTCGTTCCGTTGTCTGGACCAAGAGGGATGATTGGAAGGGGATGCTGGTGATGAACGAAATCGGGCATAGGAGATGGACCATAGCTAACGATGGGCGATCCTGCATCCCATGCAGAGACAGGAGCCTCCACAGTGTCCGTTGGTGTGTTGAACATGTTCAAATACGAATCATCGTGCGGTATCCATTCACTGGCAGTGTTGGAGTGCGATCTATGACATTGAATGTCAGGAAGAGATGACCTGCAAAGAACTCCTCAGTAAACATTTGCGCATAGGCCAGAAACCACACGAACCCATGATGGGGTAACTGTAATTGGTCCAGAATGAATTGCCACATAGGATAGCAAAGACATGCGTTTGGTTGTCCCTGTCTTTCAGCGTGACTGAAAAGGATATAGGACCAGATCATTCTGAAAGTGCAAGTGCTCATACCTGATCGATATTACAAGGGCTTTGAGTCTACGAGACAAGCAGGGGAGTGTGTTGGTCGACATTTTTTGGCTGTGTCTGGAAAATACGGACAACCCAGCGATTACCTGCCAACAGCATTTTATATCCTGGAGCGGCATCAGATGGAATATTAATGGCCATGGCTGGCTGGCCTGCGGGAACTTCCCAAGAAGCGTTTGGCCTGCATCTTTCCCGATGGTGGCCCAACCAATACCTCGATCATCTGAAACGTGGAACCTTGGCCATAATGCAATATGACCAAGCTAATAATAATCCTGAAAGTTCAAATTTGGCTTCTTTCGGAAGCTTAACCGATTATGAAACTTCGGGGTTTGGGCCCGATCCAATGGTGTTCAGCATTACCTAGCACCCACACCAGCTTTGACCGCTGAGTGTAGGGTACTAGGCGATATCAGGCTACGAGTTGGACGAGCAAATGGTCCGACTCCTGCATCAGGCCAAGTCATATGTCGTGAAAAGACTGCCAATCGCTCGTTGTCACATTGAAGCCAGGCCCATTTCGATGCAGTGCGTGGTGGCCATCCTAATTGACAGTGTAACGGGTATAGTGAGGACCTGGATTACCTACACATAGAGCAAGAGTCCCACACGCCATGTTATGCCATGTTAGAATTTGGATAACATGCCTTTAACGCCATTCCCCGTTCCCATCGATAGTTTGATGGGCTTGCCATGGCTGGCGGAGATCACACCGCATGACTGGCTTCCATGAAGGCCATAGACCTAATTGGGTAATGGCATAGTGAGAGACATGCAGGGTCATGCAAGCCATGGCCATGGAATGGCATTGTGATGGCGGTCAAGCCACGTTGGTTGGCCGGCGTTGGCTTTTCATTATGATGCCCTGCCAACGCCAATAATAAATAAGCCATTACATAATAGAAGTTGGAATCATCAATACTTCCGTTGGCAGTGTCACAAGACACGTAATACAACCGAGAAGAACACAGCGAGAAGATAAACCTTACAATTGAGGAGTAGACATGATATGGAGAGCGGGGAAATGCACTTGTAGTAGAAGCTCGATCGAAGAATGAACACATCTGCTCGGAAACCAGGACAACACAAGGGAAATCGCGAGTTGTAGTTACTTGCAAGCAAGAACTCTACACAATTCACTCGCGAGAACCCGACGAAAGAGACAAAGAAAAAAATGCCACTTTGCCGTGCAACTGGTTTCGAAGTACTGAATTCATTTCTTGCAAGCGAAGCGAATCAACAAGAGACGAGCCAGGATCAAAGCATTGATAGCCTTGCAACTGTTGATCCATACATTGTTACGGAATGGCATGGTGGTGGAAAGATGAGGCAAGCATTTTTGAGATAACTTTCAGGCTATTGTAGGATCATGGGAAGTGGGCAACAAAGTGGGTCAGTACTATAGCTCTATTTGTAGGCCGCTGATAGCCTGCACAGCCGATAGAGGTATGAACCGGCCACCATCATACCTCCATCAACTACTAGAAGCCCCGTGGAAAGACTACGAAGGTGGAAGACAAAAAAGGCAGATCATGAGTTGCAGTTCCTAAGCCATCAGTAAGACATAGCACGTACTGTTTACCATAGGGCAAGGGCCCAGCGGACACTAAATAATGACTCAAAAAAGCCCATCGCCGGTGGAGTATTGTCGAGAGCGGCGTTGCGTTTGGTTATCGTGTCGTAGGGTTTACTGCATGGCGTCAATGGGTCGGGCGCCTGGAGAAGGGTGACACCCGTCGAAGTTGACAAACAAAAATACATTAAGCAAACCGTCCGCATTCAGACGATTTGGTGTCGAGCAGCATGCGAGTAGAGTAGAGTACATAGTCTGTGTGACCCATTCTCAGTTGTAAGCGCCTGCATTACTTGGAAAACCGACCGGCACGTCTTTCAGTTACAGGAACTCCCATCACAAAATATAACTCAACTTGAATGTATTCACGGCATGAACCCTTGATCCACGGGAAAAAAAGACTCAGGTTGATTCTGGCGGCACTTGGCAAAGCGCCTGTGGCTTTCGAGTTTATATAGCGTCTTTACCTCCCCACTGAGTGGTACAGATTCGTTGGCGCCTCACATACATCCCAGACCTGATACTAATCGGTGGTCAGCTGTATTGATTATAGTCTCATTTCTTCTATGGGTGGCTATAACTCATCCAGTTACAGAGCAGGAGTCATGTCGTATCCACGAGGACGGACGGCTGCATGTTCCGTCGGTGTTGTGGTGGGGCCGTTGTAGTGCTGCTACGCTGTTGATCAGAGAGCGAGCGACCAGGGGTCTCACATGAGAACCTCGTCAATTGGCCAAGGTCCTGATACCGGGTACCCCGTGGTCCAGCGTCTTTGAAAGTCGCCGTAGGCTTGTAGGTGAGACTTCATACCACAAAGGTTGTCAAAAAGAAGAAGATACCGACGCGGAACCAGGTGAAGGCCCAGGAAGAACGCCGTAGGCTGAGAAAGCTCGCGTGGCTCACGCATGGTGGTCCACGGCCTGAGGACACCGACAGTGACGTTGACCCTTGAGATGGAGGTGCCATGTGAATTTTGGTGCAGTTTTTCAGTGGCCATTTCATTCTGATCCGCTGATGCTTTTTTCGTTCTTCAGTTCTACTACTAGTGAGATTGACGCACTGAGCAGGGGCCACATGATGGCATTGCACCTTTGGGCAGCGACAGGAGACTATCCAAATAATCAGTGATGTCATTAGACATAGAAGAACACGCTATACACACATGCTGGGGCAGGCTGTCAATATGTGTCACCACCGCGTGATGATGATGGTGTTGAACCAGCAGGAACCTGTCAGTTTGTGCGTACACTTGAATGGCAGCCAGTGGGTCCTTGGATCATTGGATTTAGTGGCGCCGCATTTTCATACAGGATTCCTCGAAAGTTTCTGCCTTCACTCAGCACTGGTTACTGACGCATGGTACTGTGGTATTGATGATGTGACAACTCAGCTCCAGTGATTTGAATTCATGCCATTTGCCCTTCAAAAGTAGTCGAGGACGAGGAGATATGGCAAATTTTTTCTTGATGATCCACTCCCAGGCCATCGACCGTCATCCAAGCTTTTCATATCTTCAGGCTGAGACCGAGCAACCGAGCAATACAACGGCCTGGGTGTGCATACCTACGGTATGCATGGCAATATAATTAATGATTAATGGCATGCATGTGACAGGGCCACGTCCGTCGGAGTCACAGTCAAATGCCGCTAGGTTTCAACCTTTCACAAATCACGACCCTTGAAGTGAGCAACCCACCGGAGTGCATGGCAAACTCAACCAATGCTGCGAGGTATGCGCAGCTGCGGCTTTGATAGACCTACATCTCAACGCTCAGTCATCCGATCCTAGACATCTTCATTCGTAAACGCTTGAACCCTCATCGTCCTCTTCAGATATGTCGCGTCGTACAACCTCGTGCGGTCAAGAAACTGTTTTCTACCACCGATGTGGTCAGGGATCTGTATCTTCTATTTCCACCGACGTTGGGTTTAGGTCATTGTAGATCATCTCGAGCTCGGTGTTCTCGCGTCTATTGAATCACTGAGGGTGATTCGGCTTTCAAACACGTTCTGAAATCATAAGCAGTTTCAAATAGGCTATTATATTTAAGCGACGGAGAATGGTACGTTGGTACATAGTGAGCAAGGGCGTCACTAATTACATGTAGAGGCATGCGTTTGGTATACGATAAAACCTGGCTATTAGTGATCATCGAGTAAGTTCGACTGCTCTATATGATGTTTAAAGTGCTCACCTAAAACAGCTGTGCAATTTTAGCGTTCGTGATCCTTACGTACATGAGGCTTCAAAAGATCTGAGCGGGCAAAGCTTTTGCCGCATAGTTTGCAGAGCCAGCGCAAACCCAGGTGCTTCGCCACATGACGAGGTATATTGCGACGTTGGAATGTCGTCCCGCATGCGGATTCGGAGCCCGAGCGCAGTACAGCCCACTTGCACTCCTTTTGAATTTTCTCCGATCCACTAACGCCGTGCGCCCTGTTCAGGTGCGAGAGCATTGATTTTAGACCTTTAGAAACTAGGGCAGGACACTTTTGATGTGTGGCCTCATTCATCCAGTGACATCGTTGCATATCGTCTGGGACATTCTCCACGGGATCATCAGGGGGCTGGGAGGGCTCTGGGTGATCCTCAGCACCCGAGCTGACCTCGTTAGAGAGAAGATTTGTGAAGTATTCATCAAATGCTTGCAGAGCGGCTGTTTCTGAAATCTCTGGTTGAGGAGGACCGTGGCGGAAGAACTTCTCGTAGAGAAACATGGCCAGCCCCTCGTCCTGCAAGAAACGTTTGGCTGAAATTATCCCTCGCCACAGTAATATACGCACCTCCTCCTGGAAGACAAGTAGTGTGCCATCGCCCGCTTCATAACTTCCCGTGGTCAGTATGTCTGCCATAGCTACACTGCTATCGAAAAAATACTCAACCCCTCTTAAGGATACGTTCAGTGCGAAGTAGCTCACCTATCGAGGTCTTGAAGCTGGTTATCGCTGGACAGCGGCTGGTTCGCCATAGGATGTAGGTGCTTTGTATACTTGGACCGGACACCTTTTATCTACCACTGTCCCCGCCAGCTGGTAGGGTGGTGGCACGGTGCCAGCAATAATTGGACTCTTGGGAGGGTCCCAGGTCTCGTAGGCGTTGGCGGTCATGGTTTCTCTACTGGATGGCTGTGGCTGGCGGTTTGGATACGCGTAGAGTTACCAGGAATGGTGTTCTCCTTGGAAGGGTCCCAGGTGTAGTAGTGCGCAATCACGCCGTGGTTTCCGACTAATCACCACTAAAACAGACATACCGGCCGGTCTGGCTTAGCCAACGCGCCATGAGCGTAACCAAGAGACATCCACATAGATCCATTTTGAGTGCAATGATAATAATGCGCATCAGCTGGGTCCGTCCGTATGTGTAATCGAGTCATCATCTTATCGGGCTTGCCATTCGCAAATGGCGGGGCATGTGACACTCACTGCTTGTAAATTTCTTGACAGATTCAAAAGAAATCGCGAAAATCGTTTCAGATGGACGCCGCAATGGTGGAATTCTTAGTGAGAGATCATCGCCAAAACACGTACAGTTGCTTGATGCTCGACCGTGAGAGCAATGTCATCGAAAAGATCAAGAGCCCTACTGGCATTCTGCGATGTGCCTCCGACTCGAAACCATTGGTATCACAATCGATGTTCGAAGCAAGCATCGCCCAAGACTCGTTCACATTTTAACGATTCACATGCCACCGCGCAAATACCAAGATATGACTCTCAACGTCACTCTCGCACGTACTCATACTTTTCTTTTACATACACAATCGCTCCTCGTAACATGCTTCATACACGTTCACGTTCACCTTTGATTCTCCGTTTCAATCAGCGTATTAATTCCTCTCCCTGTCGAATAATCTACTCAAGTCCTCCAATCGATGACTGAGTTTCTCCCTCGTTCCTAGTCCGAGCCTCTCTTCGTTTGATAGCAAACCACTGCAGCAGCCGAATAGCGCGCAATGGGCGACCGAGCCTTTTTCTTCCGCAACTTTGAGAATGACAACCAAGCTCTTTGCTCAAATGGTTACGCCCCGCGGATGTGTGGTTGATATTTCTACTCCCGCGCGGGGTTTCCTTAGAGTCAAATCACTGAAGGTTGTCGCCCTTTCGCAAGCGCCACAAGATGTCACTTGATCCCAAACATACGCATGTTCACTCCAGGGTGAGTATGAAGTTCATATTACTCTTCACTAAGAGCGCTTACATCCGTGACAGCACAATAACTCTAATCCTTTCGCATTGTCTCCACCGAATATTTAACACGCAATCCAACAAAAAAAACATCTCCTGGGTCAAGTGTAAGTACCATTGTCTGATATCAAGACTACCGAATTATCATGATCTTCAGCAGGGTTCACTCGTGTTGGAGCTCAATAGAAGTACACACCCGGGGCAAGAGGTAAAGCTGCTGGCGAAAAAACCGACCGTCTAGTGGCGGTGGAAAGCGGCTGCCGACCAGGCTCCCCTGTCCGTGGTTGCACTCGTTGTTGATTCCTCCGCAGTAGCACCTCCATAACACCCTTCGAACTTCTGTTCTGACATCCCTACAAAATGTTTGTATACTACGGGTAAAAGTTTATATATACATCTGGGGGATCTTCGGATCTGCATGATTGTGTTCGATCAAGGTTGCCAATTACCATTGTTTCATCTCTTGGGAGTCGCAGCTTTAACACAGCTGCGATATCAAAGAAGCTTTTAAGCAGTCTACACGTGCCTGTGATGCAGATTGAGCGCAGCATTGGAGCATATTACTGGGAACAATGACCCTTTGTAGAAATATGCTCTCTGCAACAAGTTTACTCAAATGCTAGGGGGTCTCCCAGATGGATGTAGAACGGCAAAACCCGATTGATCATAAGACGCACTGGGCCTTGGCAAGTTATACGAGGTATAAATAAGTGTGATTTTGGAGATGATAGAAAATAATGAAGATGAGCGTCGGTCGAAGGAACACTCGTAAGACGACAAAATGATGACGATAAGAGTCCATGTTCAACGTGTCTTACGTGGCTCCGTCCCGACTAACAACTCACTTTCAACATCGATACGACCTGATCTCCTCAACCTCTCAATGAGAATGTCTCCAAAAGCGGTCATAGGAGTCAAGACGCCACCACTTTTGCTTATTTGAGGTAAGGTTGCACCATCCAAAGCCAGCGCTAGCGCGCATTCTGAAATAATGACTAAAAGTTGAAAGAACGGCTAATGAGTGGTTCACTGGGAGAATATATGAAGCTCACTGGATGATAGGAGGTAACCAGGGTCACCTCGACCCCGAAAAATACTTCGTACAACGATCTTTTCTCCTTTGGAGTTCGGACTGGACGTAGTAATGTTGGTGATTTCGAGAGAGCCAGTCTGGAGTTGTCTGCGTATGGGATGACATGAGGTAGTTGCAATATCAATAAATTATTTTGCGCTCACTTCTCAGAGGGGCCTTCACCAGGACTGGGCATTATTCTTTGGGCGAACCATCTCACCTGTTAAAGTCATCCACACGCGGTCATTTCCTCAGCTATGATGACGGGGAGGGGATGACTGACAGGCAGGAAGAGGACAAGTAATCCTGCTATCGCAGAGAATATGGTTGAATACATCACGGCATAGAGTGCACTTCGCTGAACTACGAATTCCTCGTACTTGAAATTCGGACCGTAGGATGATTGAGCGACAGCAGCCACATCGTGATGGTTGGCACGGCATGCGAGTTCAAACAGGCCCCACGAGCGCTGTACGACCTGGCGATTGGCGAGTACCATGAAATACCACGCTCCGTATACGGGTGGATCAGAGTATGGCAAGTTATAAAGCATACGAGGCCGAGGAGAACGGGGTCCTTTCACTGAACTTGAAGTCAGCCACCATCGCATACTTGAATGCTGTGAAATAAACCTGGGCTCAACGCAAAATCCCGCCCTGACGCTAGCATTGTTTGTTTTGGAACGTCTTCCAATGCAGTGAGGATGGTAGAGAAAGTGCCTCCTGAGATACTAGCACCACCAAGCTCCCACGCCGAAGTGGAGAGGTCGATTGTGGCAGACGGCCCACCGAAGGATTTCAGTGTCTTGTTCGCGATGAATGCGAGAACATCAGAAGGTACTGAGTCTAACCCGCAACAAGGGACCACAATTGAACCTGACTTGAGAGCTGCGTAATCGAGTCTAAAAGTAGTCACGTTGGTACTTCTCAAAATCGGCATAGGCATCCACATACTCAAAGATAATATCCTTTACCCAGTGGGGCTCCCCTGTCAAGTCCACGTAATGTTTCCCATGATGCACACAAGCTCGGACAACAGAAGTTCCCCACCGCCAGTATGGGCCAATGGTGTTAATCACAACCCTGGCCTGTTGTACCACAGCGCTTACGTCACTTGGTTTCGTAACGTCCACGGTGAATGCGGGTACATCGTCTGTCGAGAGATTGAGTCCTCGAAAAACGCCCTCGAGTGCTGACTGCGACCTTGCGGCAAGACCAAACGTGAAGGACGAACGTTGCGGATGCGTAGCGAGGTACCGAGCTATAAGGCGACCAGTATAGCCTTGACTCAGACCGTCAGTGAGCTGCTGATTGACAATTACATGTGTAGCCATACCTGTCGCCCCGAGAACAACTATGTCGACCATGATGGCAAGAAACAGGGAATTAATATTGCAAAGCTTCGCGGGTGCTTGAAGGATATATATTATATACAGTTGTTGGAAAATTCCTAATTAAGCCGGTTGCAACCTTCTAAGCATATTGATACCGAGTTGTTTTGCTTCATTGAAACTTGTATCATATACTTAAGAGTGTGGTCTGTCTTCATCCTGTGTCCTGTAGTCGGACGTCTCGACCGCTTGCAGGATACAGCAAAGATGTACACATTGTATTGAAACTTGGGAGAAGTTAGGATAGCCTCTACATAGTACCAATCAATCATCAAACATGGTTCTATCCATCCGAACCCCCATATTTTGTTTCACTTCCATACCCAAGAGTTTCATCTTCCCAACCTAATGAAGATGATATTGATATCCTAACGCAGTCCATATTGCAAATGACTTACCTCAACTCTCTCACTTTGAACCTTCCTCAACTCCATAAGCTCTTCCTTGCTCAAGTAACTTTCGTGCTCGGCGGGCGTTTTCTTGTGTCGTAAAGAGTGGGCCCGTAAATCAGCCTCGGGATCATAGGAGTCTTCCGCCGGTGGAACAAACTCGCCGGCTCGTAACGACGTCATTCGTCGTTCATATGCCTCCATGTGATAATATTTTTCATGAGGGAGGGTTGCTACCAAACGCTGAACAATATCGGCAAAGAGCTATCTAAATGTCACGCACCAGTGTTATAATCTTCAATAAAAACAGCGAATTCTTTGCGCTCCTGGTCCTTGGATATGGACTCCGGGTTAATCTTGCGCTCTTCCAGAAGCCATGTGCGAAATTCCTGGGTCTTGTTGTAGAAGCTAGGGAGCAAAATTAGCCATACGGCCGCGGCTGTTATAATTGAACTGACTCGGTTTCACTGATAATTCCGTATTTTCCCCACTGAGCACCAGAGGCAGTCCCATGCCTTTTCTTCTGCGAGAAACGGGTTCGCTTATGGTCATAATTCTTAGGACTACTCACTTTCTTTTCTTTCTTTTCTCTCTTTCTTTCCCTCTTCTCCTCACGACTGCGGTGCTTGTCTTTCTTCTTACGACGCCTTCGCTCCGAATCAGTGTCCGACAAACTTGATACAGAACTTGAACGGGAGCGTGAACGTTTCTGTTTGTGTTTTTCTCTCTCTTTGGGACGTTCATGCCTTTCTCTAGAGTGCGAGCGCTCGGGGCCACGGGAGCGGGAGCGAGACCTTGGCCATTGGCGCTTATGTCTGGGGCTACGAGACCGTGATCTTGAGCGCCTACGTGATCGAAGGGGGGATCGTGACCGACGGGGTGCGCCTCTTTCGGTATCCATTCCCAAACGTCGGCTATGGCCAGGTCCAGAAGCATGTCTGTCTGCTACGAAGGACTCTCTGTCCCTCGCAATTCTCCTGTCATAGGTAGAGATTCTATCCTGGCTTCTAGACCGGCTTCGACTCCTCCGAGCTTGATTTGAGGCCATGGGTTTTCCACACAAGATCTTAACTCGTTCACCTGATGAAGTGGTTCGAGGAGGAGCGTGAGAACGTTGCAGCCACAATCCCGCTGCGGTTGTTTGGATCAAAAGCTTTTGCCAAACAACGTCCACGATTTTAGAAGGGACGAAATTCTTATTCGTGCAACGACTGTCAAGCTCGGCACTCTACGCGAAGAACCAGTCTTATTCCCGCTTCATCTCTTTTGGGTTCTCCATCGCTCGGACGCTGTCATATCGGTGGGCGCTTTGCCACTTCCTTCACAGCTTATTCTCCTGTAAACTCGAGGCTTCTCACGAATGGCCGTCACCTCCTGAATGATGTACTTGCTGTGCTGCCTATCATCCGGCTACTGTTGGAATAGTACGAGCCAGACTGACATATGTCATCACGTGGAGGCATTACGCCTCGGCTTTAACAACGTGATCCCGGCGTGGCAGACCTCCCATTTCATATTTTGTAGGCATGTCAAATGGCCGTTATGAACCTCCTGTGCGTCACATCTGGCTTTCACCACAATTAAACTTTATGCACCGATCGCTCGCAGTCTTGCGTACAGTCTCATCGGATTACACTGGTTACAGCTTCGTCTTATTGGAAGTCGCTTCATGTCCCCACAATAAGACTGAATTGGCTGCCTGGGTGTTTGCGTATTACTAGTGGAAAACATAATGGATGAACCTCCTGCCTGGCATTTCCGTACAGGAAGGTGAAGTATACGTATACACAGAGTGGGCCAAATCGTGCTTCTTTGACATTTCAAATATCACAGAGTGCGGCCTAGAAACCACATCCTTACGAGTATAAAACGCTCCTTCTTGACCACTTTGGCTCACAAGCAAGTACTACTCATTAGTGGTGTTTTGAAACTCAAAACCACGTTGCTATCCCCATGTCTTTCGAATTCCCAGACAGATCTTTCTCTGACTCCTACTAGTACGCCTTGATTACCCAGCAGCTTATTACCTCCTTGAGTTGCTCATCATGCATTCTCGCAGCGGTCGAGAAACGTTCCATCATTCATCCATGCAGGAGACGACGTCTCTGAACCCCCCAAGATCTTCGCCTATTTTCAGTGTTGAACCATGTTTATCGTACGCTAGGTCTCTTTGTTGTCTAGCTAGTCCTTCGGCTTATTGATACCGTTGTTTAGCTCCACCACCTCGCACATAAATGCGGTTACCGCACCGTGAGTAGCAGTATTCCTCTTTGTGTATGCACCCCCTCATGAGTAAGAACAGTGGACCCGGGATAATACCGCCTGACAATGATTCTTTTTTCGCGAGAAGCCATCAGAATTTTCAGGGCGACCCATTCATTGATTATGGTACATTGAGGCACGATGATTTTAGCCTACCAGGGGAAGCTGGCACTATAGTGTCAACAATCCCGATTTCTCAGACTACTGACGGTGCCTGGTCGACCAGTGCCTCTGCAACTCCCCGCCCGGAACTCGAGTCATTTGCTCACAATTCATCTACATTGACCCATTCACCGCCTTCCCACGTGGTAGCTAGCAGCTCTTTCATGTGGTCTGTGCATGGACCAGTCCATACCGAGACCGTACGTTCATTGTTGGGACGGGAAGTCTTGCATGAAGACCACAGGACTGCAATGCTGCAAGGAAGTCCGCCGTCACTGGCGCAAGTACCACCCACCATCTCGTGGTGTCCTCAAGTAGAGGCTGTGGGTAGCTCCGCGACCGCTGTCTTTCAATATCCTTCCCTCCAATCGAGACCAACGCCATCGACCCTTCGACATGGAAGTGCACTTCGATGTACAGTCTCTCGGCAAGATGAAACAGCTAGAATGAGTCCACAGACGGCTGGTACGGGGCTAGCTAGCTATGAACCTGCTTCCCAATCACCGCTCCAGAGACGCAGGGCCTCGTGGTCGAGTTATGCCGATAGGCCCACAAAAGCTCTGCGCTGCAATGGGTTTGTCCTCGATGAAGAAGATGTCAGAGAGGCCAGGAATATTAATGGCGGTATTGTTGTCGCTTATCTCTGTCGCTGGACGCACAACGGGCAGGAATGCGGCATGCACGTTATGGGCGATCGCACGCGATTTGCAAGGCATATACAGAGGTGGCACAGGACACACGTGGCACAAAGTCAGAGGCAGGTCCCTTGTCGCTGGGGCGGCTGTGGCAAGGAAATGAAGAGAGAGAACGTTGTCCGACATCTCATCGTCACCCATCTCAAGATGAAATGGCGCTGCTCGGTGTGTCGCACCAAGCTATCTCGCGATGATGCCTCTGCGAGGCATTTCGAACGCGTGAAATCCTGCAGGCATGGTGTTGCTACAGTTGAAAGAGGCCCGGAAGCGCAGGAGGTGAATGTTTCCGAAGGGGTCGAGTTCTAATCAAACCTCACATTAATTGCTTGGCGAGTTTGGTGGGTCATCATTTCAAGCGAACGATGATTCTATATATGCCACACGGACAGCGTTGGCTAATATTTGTGGTTCCTTACATGTGTTACGGTCGTGGGTCCACCGGTCACACCGGTCATGATTGAACCCGACCCTTCCCCTAATAGATTATTGAGACAACTTACATGTTCTAGCATATTATAATATGGTGTGTGCTATTGATATTCCTACATCCACTTGCTTTAGGAACCCTGAGCGTGTGCAACACTGTGTCTCCCTCTGCAGATCATGTCGCATGACAGTAAAACGGTGCCAGTCGCCGTTCGCGCCAGCATTGAATAATATGCCACCAGGGCAGTCCATCGAACCAATGTCGTTACCCTCGAAGACCGTGTCCCACATCCAATGCCTGCGCGCGTCAATGACTCAGAAGAGCACTGGCAGTTGTCAACACCATCTATATAGACCTTATTTTCCGTTATAGTTTGGAGTGGTCCATCGCATGCATCCACGCTTCAGATATGAATGCACCCCCGGAAGTTTGCTTCGTGCCCACCTTCGCAGCAACTCAAACCTGCGCCCAGCGCCCTCTCCCAATCAGGACTCAGGACTCATTAATTTACTTTGTTTGTCTTTTGGAATTCAGTGCACTCACTCACGTGAACAAGCGCCGAAGTAACATGAATGGGCTTTCATATATAGGTAGACAGCAAGCCATTGGGTTGGCCTAGTTTTTTCAGTCATGCAAAGTCTGCGCACTAGTCTCCGAGCGCTACCACATCATAACGGAGCCACGAGCGAATCACAATGGAGTCGCGGGCGAAGACAAATGTATACGGAGGTCGGTCGGTGACCGGTGTCAAGTGACGTACAAGGTGCTTGGTACGCGATCTCTGCACTAATTCTCAATCCCACACGCGTTCTCCAACCTATTCGTAGCGCCGCCCAAGTAATTGTGAGATAAGAGGTCGAAATAACATTGGTTGGCTTTGCAGTGCCATATATTTAGGGAGCATGGCCTCCACCGTACGGAGCAGTAGATACCGCCACGATTTTGATGTGGGTCATCCCCTCTGTTACTGACTATTAAGAAACCTGTTACAATTCGGGCAACATTCCAGTGCTATACGGAATTACTTACCGTCTACCATATATTTACCCGGATACAAGGCGATCCGCTTCTCAGAGGTGCCGAGGGTAATGACCCCATCGCGAAAGATTTGCGATCTGACAGAACGATCTCTTCCCATGAGCATCAGTTTTCTGGAAGCCTGGCAGGTATTACCCGTGGCATACCCGTATACCGCGCCTGACGGGCTATAAACTTCATGATGCGGGTGCCTGTTCTAGAAAGCGCACATGTAGTATGACTACTACCTCGTCCACAACCCCTATACACGTGCTACACCACTCTATAGAAGTCCCGTGGTCTTTTGAAACAGAGTTCGCGTGTACTAGTATGATTGACCAACAAATTCACGTTCCTCAGTACTCATAAAAGAGCTCTTCTTATGACATGGCGCGATAACCCACGCTCCTAAGCATCATCCGTTTTACAGATTGCTTGCGTTCGTACCACTTTCCGCGAAATCTAGTATGGATAGCATCATTAACTCCCAAGCCGTCTTCGGTGACGAACTTCAGGCCATCGCAACCAATAACCTCGATACTATTTCGTCGTCGGCACCAACCCAAGAGTACAGTACTCTTTTGTATGGATCTGGCTGGGTTACCAATACCATGTCAGATGTGGTAGATCTTCCTCTCGGACAACTTCCTCCAGGTAGAGTTTGAAATTTTCGCGGCCTTTCCTTCAAATATTTACCATGTGCAAGGCCTAGACCTATTGTTCGCCAGTTCCGTTAGCCATGAGCTCTTTACACCAGTCGTACCTGGGCATGTCAAACAGACCATATCTGGTTCTTCAGCCAGACGCTACCAGCACCTGTGTCTCCCCATTGTGCTGGGCGGTCAGGAGAAATTGAAGTGCACATGGCTCGGATGCTCGAGCATCCTCAAAAAAGATAGTCACACTCGCCATGTAGAAGAAGTTCATTTTCGAACGGTTAAGGCTATCTGCACCCGTTGTGAAAGGGAATTCACGCGCACATACGCGAAGAAGAAACATGAACTTACGTGTCCAGGTGCACATTCCAAACGTAGAGCGATGAAACTTGCCATAAGGCGTCAATGTTAAATAATTGTGTATCATGCTATTTCACCTAGAACACCTCCGCCCCGATTCTAGCAGAGAAATCAATTTTAGATATCCTTTGGGAAAAGTACGTACTTATTGAGGTTGTCAATGTTCTCTTGAACACGTATCTCGGACCATCCAGACATTCCATGCTCGAGCACGAGTCGCTAGCCCGGCTTGTGGGACCGCTCGGGTCTATACTAAGTTCTGGGTGAATGTAAGGTATCGTGACCACGGGTGCTAGAGCAAGGAAATACAGACGGACTGTGGGATCTCGGCCACCTTAAAACGGTGATCTCAAGACGGTCCAAGGTACTTGGAGCCTGGGCAGATAATTACTCGGAATGTTCTGTTGAGTCCATCGCAGCCTATAGGGCAGTGTCTGGCCTCGTCGTTCCTTGCGGATGGTACACTGGCGAGTCGCGACCAAATGCTGATCCGAAGTTTCCAAACGAAGTGAACCGTTTCAATTCTGGCAATGGAAATTGACAATTACGGAGTTGCCACCAAAGCTGGAAAAACTGATGAAGCCCCCCTCTCCCTTATGAGGAGGGTGATGAGGTTGCCCCCTTGCAGACATGGATTCAACTGAGGTGATCAAAGTCCGATGGGCGTTTGTTTATTTCTAAAGGCTTTACCAAATAGCAACCAAAATGGAAATAAATATGTGGCGGCCGGCGGGAACCAACCGAAGTTACAGAATTTAGAGAACTTCGGAAGCACGCTTCACGCCAAACAGAAAAGACAATTCTCGTGCCCACGAGCTACAAGATGTCCAAGTCACGTCGTAGTCTCACAGGTGCACTGGGCAAGCGCTCAACTTTGATGGCTACCTCCAGCTCCAGCGCAACCGCCAGCGAACTTTCCGTCGTTCCGGAGTCCTCCTTCGTGTCCACGTCCGCTCATTCAATAATACCGGTCTCGTCTGCTCCAGTACCCCAGGCATACTCGTATTCGCACCAACGCAGCCCGTCGCCCCCAGCGTCGAGCTATTTCCCATCTGTATCCGCCACACACAGTGGTGAACCACTGCCCACTCCAGGCGCTTCTACCCACTTTGCATATAGCACAACCCTAAGAAGACATCATCTTGAAGGCCCCACTCTTCAATTATCTACGAATTTCAGCGACATTACTTCCAGCGTCACGACAGAGGGATTACCATCGCTCTGGCAGAAGGCAAAGGGTGTCATTGCACGCCAACTCACAGATGGCACTACAGAAAACCGTTATGAATTGGTCAACCAGCCCTCAAGACTTCGGGAAGATCGAGACAGGAGGGAAACACCTTCCGCGCGTTTTGCTCAGTGGACAGTTGAAGTGAGTATGTCTTTTCATTTCTTCATCTCCCGTGCGTGTGCCGCACTGCTCCCCACCACGCATACAACTTTTCTAGAAATCCAGAATGGAAGCACGTTTCGTGCATTCCGATCCGCACTTATTTTTATCCTCCCGCTATTCCTGAAATAGAATTTCTTGAAATGGCTGGATTCTAGCTGGCGGCTCCGGTATCAGGTGAAGTACCAATGAACTGACCAAATTGCCTTTGTAGGACACTCTGGCACACCTCAAAACATCCCCAGTCTCCGGTCTTCCTAGTTCATCGATTTTAGCGCTGCAGGGTGTCCATGGATATAATGAATTTTCCGTATCTATGCCTGAGCCAGCTCTGCTCAAATTTGCCAAGACCATCTACGAGAGCCCATTGATCCTGCTCCTGTGCGGCAGCGCTGTAATTAGCGCGGTCATGGGTAACATTGACGATGCAGTCAGTATCACGGTAGCAGTACTAATAGTTTTGACTGGTGAGTACTCAAGGAACATCATTGACGTATCTCATCTTCCCTAGTTGGCTTTGTACAAGAACAGCGCTCGGAGAAAAGCCTGGAAGCCCTCAACAAGCTCGTGCCACACCACTGCCATGTGATCCGGTGCGGCACGATTATTCTGTCACATATTCCATTTTCTCAACGTTCACAACCATTCGCAGTGATCAACGTGATATACATATCCTTGCCAACGAGCTGGTTCCTGGGGATATTGTCTCGCTCTCCTCGGGAGACCGTGTTCCCGCCGACATGCGTATCATCATGGCAGTAGACCTCGAAATTGATGAGAGCAGCCTCACTGGTGAGACCAACGCACGTCAAAAGGATTCCAATCCTTGTGTCTCTCAAGTTTCTACGCCCACAATTGTTTCGAGTGACCCAGAGAACGTAGGAGATATTGCGCTAGCTGAACGGTCATGCATTGGATACATGGGAACTTTGGTTCGGAACGGTGAGTAAATACTAAGAGCGGGATCCGTGTGCTTAGGCTCCACACTACCTTAAGGTCGCGGCATGGGTGTCGTGATCGCAACTGGTACTCAAACAGAGTTTGGTGTGATCTTCTCCATGATGCAGGATGTAGGTATCTTTTGAGCTTTCAATCAGGAACATGCTTAGCTCTAAACAGGTCGAGGAAAAACGTACACCTCTTCAATTGAGCATGGATGAACTAGCCAAGAAATTATCGATTATTTCATTCGGGATTATTGGAGTTATCTGCCTTATCGGCATGTGGCAGCAGCGGCCCTGGTTAGACATGTTCACCATCGGAGGTAGCTGATTCCATTTATGAAACATTTACTCGTTTGACTTTGTATGCAGTATCTCTTGCGGTAGCAGCCATCCCGGAGGGCCTCCCCATAGTCACGACTGTCACGTTAGCTCTTGGCGTGCTAAGGATGTCAAAGAGAAAGGCCATTGTGAAGAAACTTCATTCCGTCGAAGCCTTGGGCTGTATTTCTGTCATCTGTTCTGACAAGACTGGTCAGTTTATAATTACATTATGTTTGTCTTTTGTCACAATTGATGTTACAGGCACCTTGACAAAGAATGAGCAGACCGTTACAGAGATATATGTCGTCGATGAGAACATTCACGTCGATGATCCTCAGTCAGCAATATCTCCGGCGGTTAGGAAGGTACTGGAGATCGGCTCTTTGTGCAACAATTCCTCGATGTCTAAGGATCGTGACAGCAAAGTTGTTGGTCAATCAACCGATGTAGCGTTGATAAATGTTCTGTCGTTATTCGATATGCCAGATCAACGGCAGGTAGGTTGACAGTCATGGCATTGCCAGTGTTCTATACTGAATTCTGTCTTTAGTCCTTCACCCGTCTTTCAGAAAAACCTTTCAACTCGGAACAAAAGTACATGGCCGTCAGCGGCATCCACTCCTACTCCACAACTCTCTATTCAGGTTCTCCTTGCGAAATGTACTACATCAAGGGATCCATTGACGCCATCTTGGATCGTTGCAAGTACTACTATGTTACGGACGGCTCAACACCTGCCTTGGATACTAGCACGCGTAGCGTTATACTGAACAACGCCCAAGCAACAGCATCACGAGGCCTTCGAGTAATCGCCATGGCGTATGGCTATGGATCTATCGATTCTCCACGTCAGGATTCTGCACAATCGCAACACCGCGCCACCCAGTCGATGCCACAGTCACGGACCCCAGTGCCTGATGAGGACAAGACCAATTTGGTTTTTGTTGGGTTCCAGGCCATGTTTGATCCCCCGCGCAAGGGAGTTGCGGATGCTATCGGCTTGCTCCAGAACGGCGGGGTACAAGTCGTTATGATCACCGGAGACGCTGAGCAGACGGCGTTGGCTATCGCCCAAAAGCTGGGGCTCCGCGTTGGTCCTGCACACGGTCATGACGGCCAGCTCCGTAAATATTGCTTGACTGGAAAGGATCTTGACCAGATGAGCAAATCACAGCTCATTGAACGGGTAGGCAGCGTGAGCGTATTCGCGCGGACGACACCACGACATAAAATGGCGATTGTCGAAGCCTTCCAAGCTCGTGGAGCTGTTGTGGCTATGACTGGGGACGGGGGTGAGTGCTGTCTATATCTTGCTGTGATTAAGCTAATATGATTTGTGCCTGCTTTTCGTCGGCCTGTTTCGCTAGTCAATGATGCGCCAGCCTTGAAAATGGCCGATATCGGTGTCTCGATGGGGAAAAGTGGTACCGACGTCGCGAAAGAAGCTGCTGATGCTATCCTCGTGGATGACAATTTCAGCACAATATTACCTGCTGTCGAGGAGGGTGAGCGATTCGCCTTTCATAACGGTCACATACTAACTGAAGCCGGTTCTAAAGGCAAGGCTATCTTTCACAACATCCAAAACTTTTTATCATTTCAGCTCAGCACAGCTGCCGCTGCGTTGACGCTCATCACACTTAGCACGTTATTTGGGTTCAGCAACCCCCTCAACGCCATGCAGATACTCTTTATTAATATTCTGATGGATGGTATGTTCTCTGGATCGCTTTCGAATAACAGATGTCTGATTTGTTCCCAGGACCTCCAAGTCAATCGTTAGGCGTCGACCCTGTAGATCCAGCAGTCATGCGAAGACCACCACGTAAGAAAAACGAGCCAATAATAACGAAACGACTTTTATACCGCGTCCTTTTCTCGGCGGCTACGATCGTCTGTGGAACCTCTTTCATTTATACCACTGCATTGGGTGATGATCTCGTATCAAGGCGGGAACAAACTATGGTCAGTTCTTGAACTCCTGGATTCTGCTCATCGTAACTTACATATCGCATAGACTTTCACATGCTTCGTCTTCCTTGACCTCGTGTCAGCAGTGCAGAATCGCGGTCTCGGATGTGGGCTGATACAAAATAAGATGCTCGTGACAACCGTATCGGTATCATTTCTCGTCCAGCTGGCACTCGTTTACGTTCCCTTCATGCAAGCGATCTTCCAAACAGCTGCTCTTGGCTGGAAGGACCTGTTAACCATCTTACTCATAGCTGCAACGTCTTTCGTGCTGCATGAAGGACGGCGACGATTCGAGAGGGCGGTCCAGTCAGACGAAACATATGCTAACATCGCGGAAGAGATGGCATGATCTTTATTCTCTAATAGAGGGGCTGGGTATCTAGGCACGAATATATGACTGAATAGAGCGATGGATAACTATAGGGTCTACATAGTACTACACATTATAACCTTGTACACACACGAGATCAAACTACCACACATAGCTACCGCACAATTGAAAGCATGTTCTAGGTTAAGTCATCGCCTTGTAGGGATTGAAAGCTGGGGGAATGATCATCCAGGACGGTGCGCCAGGAGGGACTGCCCGAGGGGCATAGCCGGTCGCAAGACGAGATTGCGAGTAACATTCTGTACGGAGTTCCTGAATGTATAGGTCAGCGAATTTAACAATGTTTGACAAGGAAGCTGACGCACCTCGAAACTCCATGACCGAAGACCAGGTGTCGCCGAGATACTCTGAAAGATGCTGGAGGTATCTTGCGCCACTTCATCGGTGCAAATTTGCATGTCGTGTGACATACTGGAAGTGTCATCGGAGGAAGGGTCATCGGCCAGATTAGTGACGGCATGACCCCGAACGATGCCTGTGGCCATCGCGCGTGCTCGAACTGGAAGAGGAATCATTGCTCTCTTGGAAATGGCACCCTGCCAAACCGCCGCTGCCCTCGAAATGAAAATACCCTCGTCATCTTCTGCAATTTCAAAAGATAGGTTCAACGGCATGTCTTTTCCTCCTGCACCGAGCAGCTGAGAGGGTTCTGGAGACGTGTAATAGTGGCCATAACCATTGATTGATGTGAGGTTTGGTGTATCGGGAGGGACGGTCAGACCGAGTGTTCCGACAGCGCACTGCGCAGACTGCAAAGACATGGTGGAGAGGATTGGGGCTTAAGCGACTGAAAGATGGTTTTGCTGATACGCTAGATTTTATATTGTAGATGATGTCAAAGGAAGCTGCTAGGGTGGATTGACGTCAATTATTAGTTCACTTCAATCGGCAATGGAGAAGAATGAGATAACGCAATAAAGCACCTCATTTACAGGGCATATATGGCTGGAAAAGACCAGTTGCTCACTGAGACCGGCGACGTCCACACATTGTGAGACTTTGATATGTACACGGTTGTGGATTGACCCAAGGAACAAAAAAATGTTCACACTGCATCCGTGACTCGAAGCACTTTGACCGAGCTTCGCCGAACTGACAAACACGTGACACACCCTAGGGTCCCTAGCGCACTTGGCATTCTCAGGCATTCTCCACTGGGTCATCAGCGGACGTTTGAAGGTGTTTAACAACTTGTATTTAATTGGTCCTACGCTCATACGGAATACGTCACCTGGAATGCCCAGGCGTATTCAACCTGGTCGACTTGATCCTGAGGCACCATGATGGTCAAGACACCCGACCTGTCAATGCCCCACTTAAGATTCTTCGCTTTCTTCGAGGGTCCGAGCAGTACAATGCTGTCTCCCTTCTGAATTGGCAGCGCCACACCACCCGCGTCTACTGTGACTTGCCCATCGCTCGGCTTGTTGAACGCAATGACACAAAATGTCTTTGGAGTGGTGAGAAATCTAAATGATCCTGTCGGGTCTTGAGATGCTTGATACCAGTAATCCTGGTGCGAATGCGCGTCATTGACAGAGAAGAATGCCAAAGGGTACCTGCCACCTACTGTTGCATATACACAGTCGCCTGCATACTTCAACCATTTGCCGGCGGCGAGGAGGTTGTCTGCCATCGGTGCAATGATGTCGCCCTCCGCGGTGGGACCGACATCGAGCAAACTGTGAAATGAATGAAATAAAATAAAATAACCAGCAAGGTGATAATGCTATTACTCACTAGTTTCCGTTCTTGCTCACCACATCGACCAGTGTTTGGATGATAGTCGTTCCGTTCTTGTACTCGCTCGCATTGGTGGCAGTATTCAAACCGTAGCTGAATGGGTCCATCCCTTCGCTCGTCTCCCAGCGGCGAGTGGATAGGGAACCAAACGTCGCATACTCCGGTGTGTCAAAGTCCGGGACCGCACCACAGCCTTAAGTGGATATTGCATCAGACATGCCTCACAGCTCGCAGCAAAGACGACCTACGATCATTCATGATAACCTGATAACCACTCTGCATCGCCTTGTTGTAGAATTGTGCAGCAAATTCCAATGTCTTATTGGGGCCCCCAATGTCGCACCACTAAGCCCCCGTCAACACATGCTTGATCAAAGTCAGTGCTAATAACAAACTAACCATGATTTCTGTGTCATAGTCCAATGCCAAAGACAGCATCTGGGGGTATTGTAAATCCTCAACGTAGTCGCTGATATTCAATATTCCGGTATAAGGCTCCAGCTCAGACGCATTGAATGCATTGTGCGCCAAGCCTCCTGGCCATTCACCAAACCCGTACTTGAAAAAGTCTGGATTGAACCTGCAGGAGATTAGAAATAGGAAGTCATACTCGTGATATCAATACTCCTACCATTCGGGAAGTGAGTAGTATGTTCCACGATGAATATCGGGATAATCGGATTTGGCGGTGTCCATGAGCTCTTTGACAAAGTCACGATGTGGGTTTAGGTATACACTACTTCTATGAGTGGTATTTTTTGTATCAAACAGTGCATAACCGTCATGATGTTTCTGCAATGTGGCATTGTCAGACTGTATCGGTAACCAATGAAAAGGAGCTCGCACAGTTACGATGACAAAGTACTTTGCCCCAGCTTCGGTGAACAGATCTAACCAAGCACTGGGATTCCAAGTAGATGCCGTGAAATTAGCAATGAAGTCGTCATATACGACGTCCTGCAGTTTACAAGCATCAGTACTAATGGTGACTAAAAGCCCATTATGAGTACCTTCCCATAAGTGTCCAGGTGATGTACCCACGTCGGTGAGCTGGAGTTCGGAGGATTATGGAGATGCCAACTTCTCTGGTGTAAGAAAGACATGTCGCAGATGATGGAGAGCTTCCTCACTTATACCACTCCGCGTATGAGCCAGGCGGGCCCTATCTAAAATGCATCAACCATTGTGAGTGTCGCCGATACCACGAACAAACCCACCCAAGCAGGGACACTGAAAATGCCCCAGTGGATGCTGCGAATACCTCAGTCCACGGATCATATCAAACCCTCAGGAGTCACATCTGGTACGTACAAGATTCCATACTTCGCCTGGTTCCACCAATTAGGAGTCTCATGTGTGGTCAGGACATCAGCGTCTGCTGTCCATTCGGTCCGCAGCGGGACGATGGGCCAGCCATCGGACATCCCGACGACATTTCCAAATTCATCTTTGACCGTGACTGTTGCATTTCCCGTCCCGTTGTTGTTGAGAACAAGGACGTCTACACGAGCCTGGTCTGCTGGGACCAAGCGGTACACCAAGCCAGGTGTGACTGTGGAGACGCCCTCTCCTGCTACTGAGATCTCATACCGTGAGTCTATGGATGCGTTCATGGATGTCGCGTAGCTCCCTGGGAGTAGATTCGCAAGGGTGATGGCGATGGCTTGTGCCCGCTGGCCGTTGACGTCCTCCCACCTCGTGCTGAATTGGGCATTGCGAACGGAGAGCTGGGGTGTTAGAGGGCCAGTTGCAGGTTCAAAAGAAGGTGTCATAGAGAGTGCGAATATATGGAGTCTGTCTGAGGTAGAAGACGTTTCTGGGAGCGTGATGCTCTCAAGCGGCGCACGAGAGGGGACGGACAGCGATATCTGGAAGATGTGGCTTGAATTCCAGTTTTTGCTGGATGAATATTCTTCGAAATGATATGGTCTGTTAAGGGGTCAGTGGTCAGTATGAATTGACAAAGACGATGCACGTCTTTTACGTTCGAATATCTCCCCAGTTGAGAATAGGCCATTTCCACCAGTCTTTTCCAGTGACTAAAGGCTATCCGTGAGCTGGCAGAGTCCGCGTAGGGGTCGGGCAAACCTAACATTGCAAGTATTTGACTGAGCTATCCGCGTAGGTCAGATTCAACGTTCCACTTAAGCCGTCTGCGAATTCAAGTTGAAGTGTTTCAGAGTCGGGGGGCGCGGGTGGTTAACTGCACTTACTACCCGAACTATCCCCTGCATATACGATGTGTAGCTCATGAACATAAGTTGCGTTCGAAAGTTTCACAACTTGTCCTTCAGCAATGACGTTGTCTTGGCTGTGTCCCCAAGTCGATGGTAGGTCATACTGATGTGATCACTGAGTAAACAGACAACACGTCATCGTGATCCTCACTGAAATTCCATTATATAACCAAGGACCCTCAGGCAGGTACTCCGCCGCATACGTCGCGCCATTCCCATCGAAGTTGCCTGTGGTGCCATCTAGCGAAGCAGCCTGGTTATCGAATAGACCGCTTAGTGGAATAACAGCGGATGGAAATGCGATGAGGGATGACTTCACAGTCCTCAAGTAGGAGAGCAAAGCCCCGCACAGTAATGGCACACCAAAAACTCTCATGGTGGCCTCGAAGGGAGGCTGCTCCGCAAGGATGCATGCTTTTTCTACCCACAGCTAGGCAAAATATCGGCGTTATGTCACTCGCATAAAGAACACCGTCTGACCATGGTCACAGTACTCATGTTCATGGCATATGCTTCTTTCATATGTATGTTAGTTGGCAAGAAGCGCATCAGATGATCTATGGGTTATTTTGAAGTGGTGTATATGACATACTGAGATGATGAGAAGACGAGAATAATGTTGTAACCGCCCTCGTTTCTATGATGCTGTTAAAAAGGCTGCGAAAAGATGCCTTCCGAGTCGGAGCAATACCCACCCTGAAGTGCTCTAAGAGAGATATTTCAATGATTTCAATCCTATCGAGCATGGATTAATCAAGCAGGGGGCAGCATTTCGAAATCATCGACTTTCACCGTGCGTTCTGGTTCCGCGAAACCAGCCCCTTCTCCACACCGGATCTAATGTCGTATTGCACCGTCACGATGAACGATGGCTCAGGAATTAATCAACGGGGTAGGAGACTCAGAAGGAATGAATGAAGTGCATTTGGGGCTCTGGTTCAACTAAATTATGTCGTCCTGAAGTTGGAAGTTGTCAACAACCTAGCAGACCGCACGGACCGACTTCAAAGTTCGACAAAGTGCGCTTTATGTTTGCGAGTGTTTGGCGCTTAATGTTTTGAATAATAACTTATCAACGTTAACCTCTACTTCAGTTAGACCTTCTCAATCAGCTTCTGCGTCATTTCAGCAGTGTTTAGACTGGAGGATTGACGCTTGAGAATGACCAGAAAGCGGCTCGGGTAGCGCGACGTTCTTTGGAACCAAATATGGCCCGTACGCCGATGGCACTTGCGAACACGCAGTAAATTTCTGGCTTCAGCTTTAGAGCCACTCCACAGGACTATCTTCCTTCTAGCATTTGCACCGGTCTACACGTCGCGAACAGGTACTATACATAGTACAAAGAGTCCATGATCTTCTAATCTCATATTTGATTGCTACAGATCGATATTCATCAACTCGGTCCTTGTATATTGGGCCTTCCACGTCACACTGGATGACATGTGATATATAGACGGGTTGATGCTACTGGTCCAGCCATGCACTCTTGAGTTTAAGACGAGAATCTCGGAACAGGAGATCAGGCACATGCTGCAGAATTATTCTGAGGGTGCATGAGGAGCTTCATCGGAAAACCCCCTGGTGTTTGCGTAGTTTGTTGCAGAAAACATTTTTCTACTAAGTGCGTTCCCAGTGATATTTTAAATGCTGCGCTCAACTTGCATCACATATAGACTGCCTAGAAATTCCAAGATACTTGCAGAAGCGGAATGGGAATTTCTTTGACGTTGCGGTTGTGCCACAGCTGCAAGAGATGAAACAATGCAACCTTGGTTGAACGCAATCATCCAGATCCTTCGAAGCTCCCGCAGATGGATATCTAGAATGTTACCCGTAGCATCCAACATTTTGCTGGGATGCCAGAACGGAAGCTTGATAGACGTTATTGAGATGCTGCAGCGAAGGAGTGCGACAGCGGACAGGGGAGCCTCGCCGGTACTCGCTTTTCGCCGCCAAGTATTGGAGGGTCGCCAGTAGATATTCATCTTGCCTTCTCGGGGGTGTGGCTGTTTGGAGAGAACCCCAGCTGTGCTCTATAATTATCTGATGGCACCAGAGGCTATCATGATGGACGTCGGACGATAACCGGCTCACTAGTTAATAACGATTAGTCAGAATCAATCAGCAACGCTGCGGCCTGGCCGCACTCAATGACTTGAAACTTCCAAACCACGAGAAGCGCTCAATTCCAACCAATATGCCTGGCAATCTCCACCCTTCCCCACGCCAACGCACAGATGTCCTTAATAATTTGATCGCACAGGTCAGCCCATCTGTCATCGATGTCATCTGTGTCAGGAGTTAACCGGAAACCACCTAGTCCTTAGTCACTATGGCGTGCGATGCCAACTTGTAGGCAACCAACAATGCCAACGCTAGTCGCACAAGTCGATTAACCGACAACGTCTGGATTGCTCCACTGAATTCCTTCACCTGCTTAGGCTGCTATGATCCCCTCATAAGCAGCCACTGCCACGATTACCCGGATCAAAAATATTGCAAGTTTGGCTAGGCAACTGCTAGTGCTTCAAGACCTTCTTGAAGTAACCCTTTCCAGAATCGGCGCAAGTGCGAATACAAGTTTACTCAGCACCCGCGTGATCTTATCGTAATCATGACACAGAGCCGTCACCCTGAGCCAGGTACTTATAAATGAATCAAGCATCCATCGATAATCATCATCCAAATACCTTCAAATCGTATACCATCCTCACCCCCAGCAATCTCACAAAATGGTCAAATTATACGGTTTCTCCCCTTCCACATGCACTCGTCTCGTCGCTCTCATCTGCAAGGAGAAGGAGATCCCATATGAATTGATCTCTGTCAACCTTGGCAAAGGCGAGCAGAAGGACGCGTCTTTCACCGCTGTTCAGCCATTCGGACAGGTCCCATACATTGTGAGTCAATTCGTGGTCAGATCTATGTCCTTCACTCACGCGCCATTGAAGGATGACAACGGGTTCTTCCTATATGAGTCCCGCGCGATCGCAAGATACCTCATCAAGAACTACCCCAACCAGGGCACTCCCGGATTGATTCCCAGTGACGCCAAGGCTGAGGCCCTCTTTGAACAAGCAGCTTCGATCGAGACGTTTAACTTCAACGCCTTCGTCGCGCCCATCGTCTTCGAAAAATTGTTCAAGCCGTGAGTAGTTCGCTTTCTCGACCCAACGTAGCTTAGAAGGTTTCTCTAGGCGCCGTGGTCTGCAACCAAATGAGGAGCGTGTCGCCGAGCTGTTGGCGGCCCTCCAAGGCAAGATGGACACGTATGACTTGATCCTCAGCAAACAGAAGTACCTTGCTGGCGACGTGCGTCCAATTTCTTGTCCTACACTGGCTGTGAACTAATAGGACTTGCTGGATATTTAGTCTGTCACGCTCGCTGATTTGTCGCACTTGCCTTATGGCGCTGCGTTTTACCAAATTGGCTTCTCTGAGGTGTTTGACAGCAGGCCTAACCTCTCTAGGTAAGAGCTGAGGTGCTCGTTGTCGTGGATATGATTTAATCGTTTGATGCACAGGTGGTGGAAGGACATCTCTAACAGGCCTGCTTGGCTTGCTGTCAAAGACGGTGCATGAACTGTCGTTCAGTAGTTTAAGGAAATGCAGTTGACTAGTGTCGTTGTGTGTAATACCAATGGAAGTCCAGTTTCATGTATATTGCTTGATTCATCGCAAGAATCCTGCTTGGGAATATCGTGGAAGTTACTTGCAACAGTCAGTTTAAATCTGGCGGGCATCATCTAGTAAATGTACCCCGATTGATATCTGGTGCAATCATGATTGGAGATCTTTGCACCGTCGTGCGCCCTAGCTAGTCTACGCGCTAGTGAGGGGAATTTGGAATAGGCTGATCTGCTCAGTGACCCTGTGCTGTTCAGGGTGAGCTGACACTGTATTACGTAGAGAGGCACGAGGGGAATAGAGTATGTAAGGTCTAGACCCGCGCGCATATCGATGTTGTTTTTGTGCCACGATCATCGTTTTGCCTCAATCCTACGGCGAAAAAAGCGCTCTTGCCAACTTGCTGATACAACCTTTTGCCTAAACAAAGAGCACAGCTAGCGAGCCTCGAATTGTCTGCGCAGCGACGCTATCACGAGGGGCTGTGACCATCAGACAAAACCTATGTGACTGAACAACTTTTGACAGGTATCATGATTCTCACTGATATATGTAAGTGTGATCATTCCGGTCAAGATTGAGAGCGTGGTTATGCAGGTGATCTCCATCTTGATACCATCCTCGGAGAACCCTTGGCACTGGCAGTGTGAGTTGGATCCACTGCTTCCATCTAAATGAACTTCCTGGTAACAAGTTCTATATTATGGCCTTAACGTTTTTACCTGGTTACCAGATGGGAGTGAACACAATTTTAATATTGGGTGCCAGGATCGACATCCCACTGCGTCATGCCGGCGGATGGGATACCAAGTGACACCGACTGTATAAATGGCACGCCACCTTCGACTTCTGATGCTCTTCTGATCATGCGGACACCCACGGTTGGAACGCCTAAAACACCGGAAAGGACCCGAGCAATGTAGTTGACAGCAGGTATGAAGACCGTGTGCTGGACCGCGGAAGACGAACAAAAGTGCGTTCGATAACATGCTCGCCTTAGGATCAGATCGTGATGGGATTCGACGACGACGCTTACATCCTCGAGAGCAACTGGAAGCGAGATTCTTAGGCGGTGCCCATGCGGTGGCCTTCCCCAATTGAGTTGGCGGCTAATCTTGACATTGCCATGATCTTGCCATGTAGTCATTTGTCTGTTAATCCCAGGTTGTAGAATACAAATTTAGTACATACTAGAATCTTTTGAATTCAGTTAATGATGAACACGCCGCCGCCCTTATATTTTCCCAGTTTGTCCAGATTGTCAACTTGAGTGAAAGTACTTATGTCCGTTTCCTCCGTTTCCCATTCCATCCTCTCTCGATTGTCACCCTTCATGAACTTTGCATCAGGTTGGCCAGGACAGCGATAACCAGGTCCGTTGCTCGTCGTATACAACACTGACAACCTCATCTCCGACGACCAACTCACAGTTTCACGAGCAGAACGCCCTAATCATTGTACACAATCCAGTCCCTCAAGACCCTCATCGCTCGTTTTTTGATTGTCTAGAAATGCCACCAAGACGTGGCGCCCCCCCTCTCAACTCTCTGAGTCCGCAGGATGCCCCAATGCACTCTGCTTCCACCCCACCCTCTCCTGCTTATATGCAATTTCCTCAAGCACGTTCCAATTCTCCATCTGGATTTGCTCATCTGCTCTCCAAGTCTTCAAGATGGTTCCGAAAACCATCTGATCCACGATTGGCGTCGGGCGCAAGTGAACCTCGAAGCAGCACCAGCTCGGTGGCCGTACGCAAACCGAAGATATCCCGCCCTACAGACCCACGCCCCATTTTCCAGGGTTTTCAACCGGAATCCCGCGTTAGCGACGCGAGCAAGTGAGTATTGTCTTGTAGCCTGCTTTTGATGACCCTTGCCTCGACTATGTCGTGTTTTCGGATAAGGTCACCGCCCGCGTCTTGAGTCTTATGGCATACCCTGAATTGATACACGTTCGTGTGTTCGAGACGCATTCTTTGCATCAAAGTTTGGCTGTGCATCGTAATGCGTGTGCTGATAACTCGATGTGCTTCTTAGGTCGGTTCTAGACCTCTCTTCCAAGAAGTCCTTCGATTTACAACGTCCCTTTCCCACTTCACAACCATCCTCTCCTGATGTCAATGGAAGTCTCGGTGATCTTCGCAGCATATCTCGCAAAACTTGGTCAAAATCCGCAGATGACCTTGGAAACTTCTCGGCATCCTCGTATTCCTCTGCAGACATCTCATTTCAACATAGAGTGGAAGAATACAGAAATAGAAGTAATAGCAGCGCAACCTTGCATCCCATACATTCTGGTCCTGGAAGCCCCGTGAAGCACATATTCCCGACCATTGTGACCGATATCACTCTTTCATCTTCCCCTCCTGAGGGCGGGTTTGTCTCTCCTGACCCTGGCATTTCCATCTCTGTCTCCTCACCCACTTCAGACGCGTTCGTTTCCCCTCCGTCAGAAGAGCCACCCCATGTTCACTCCCGTAACACGTCATTCGCTCCTCGATTACCTTCTAAGCTATCTGCGTCCAAGCTCGGGTTTTCCCCAACAAGCCCCAAAAGGAAGGGATCAGGTTCCGAGCGAGATGCCGAATCAACAAAGGACAAAGATAATGACCGGAGTGGCCCCAATGGCACGCGTGGTGTCTTTCCTTTCGGCCTTGCAAGTCCTTCTTCCAGTAAACTGCCACTACCCAACCCAACTTCCCTCAGTGGCCAAAATACAACTTCTTCGTCTTCACCATTACTTGCGCCTACTATGCTCAAACCTGATGCATATGACAGTCACGATTCGCGTCGCACGTCGCAGATCGTTTATAACGCCGGTTTCATCAACCGTATGGGAGATGCCGCACCATCGATCTATGCGCACTATCGGCCATACAGCACTGCTACGAATCTGACGCTGTCAAAGGGATGGAAATCGTTCAAGGCAGAGCTTAAAGGATCGAAGTTGTACTTCTATAAAGCACCGAGCGATCGTAGCGCAGCCATCAAAGAACTCTTTCCAACTGAGATCGTTCCTGCGCTCGAAGATGACGAAGTGGACGTCGAAGCCGATACCTTGGATGATCTAAGGGCTAGTAGGGGTAGAGATGACGGTGCAGGTGGCAGGAAGAAACGTGCATATTGGGGTCGAAGGACGCATCCTGACCTAGTTCGCGGTGAGGGTGGTATAGAGAAAGGGACCTTTGAGGCTCTCTTACATGAAACCGTATTCGCCACGACCTTTCTTCAGCATTCCGGCGAGGAGCAAAGTGCTTCCACAGGCGAGCCTCGCAGACCAGAGTGGAAAGACTTATCTTCTGCTGTTTTGCTCTGCTTGCCCATCCTCGTGGGCCGAGAGTCATTTGAGAACGAGTTTACTCGTTTATGTGATAACCTCGTGAGTGGTGCGGACGAGAAGACAAAGAATTTTGAGCGCTCCTGCGTTTCATGGATGGCTGGCGAGTATCTACGGTACCACGGAGTGCCTGCTGATGAGCCTGGCTGGGATGCTTGGCGAAAGGAAACGATACCCGCCTTTTCATGGAACAAAGGGTCGGCCTCCGGAATGCCTAAATCCACCTCTACGCAAGCCGTTTTTGCGCCTTCTCCAAACCCTGGCATGTACACTCCCTCAATGACCGGATCTACATTCTCTCCAAACTTAGGCACATTCTCCCCCCGGCCAGGCGACGACGCCAAGATGGCATCTCTAATGGAAGCCTTGGGTACTCCGGGATTGCAAGCTCCCGCATCATCTGTCAAGCCTATCTCCCCACGACAACAACGCCTCCAACATCCATTCGCTGACCCTAAACAGCGTGTATGGACGTTACTTGCGCAAGACGGCTTCACCCGCGAGGTGCTCTCGCTCCTTGACCCCACATCTGTCGCCCATAGTTTGAGAATATTCCATCGACGCATCCTTCAGCAACTTCCTGACAACCTCACATCAGATCATATCTTGAAAGCGGACAGCGATCCCGGCGCTTCTCCAGATCAAGGTGCTGGTGCAACGACCGGCTCGTCGCCGTCGGCAGCACTGTTTGGAAGCGAGGACCGACCCCACTGGCTCACGCGACTACTTCTCATGCAGATTCTAGGTGCTGATCCGTCGAGCAGCTCTGGGGTGGAGCGCAGTGCGTCGTCGCGCACGCATTCGCGTTCTGAAGTGATCTCCATGTGGGCGAGGATTGGAGAGCTTTGTCGGATTGCGGGCGATGAGTGCTCGTGGATGGCGATTTCTGCTGCGCTGTGCTCGCGTCCTGTTGCACGGCTTAGCAAAGCGTGGAGGCGAGCTGATCGTCAGAGTATTATGGCTATAGAGTCGTGGATTTACCCTGGGGGTGATGGACAGGTCGCGCTTATCAATGGGCCTGTTTTGACGCCTTGGGGTGGGGAGATTAGGGATCGAGCGAAGCATCTCCTTGAGCAAGCTAGAGAAGAAAGGACGGATGAGGTATGGGCTACAAAGCCTCTCTTACAGACCAGGGATTTGTTCGAGGGCCTTCGGACGAAAGTTTCGTTGTGTCCTAGGAATCCTTCGACGGATAATCTTCCTCACGACGTTGAAAAGCTGCTCGACTTTTGGCAAGATTTCGTGGAGGAGAAAGGTAATCAGAGCTCGACATTGGCGGCCAAATTCCAACGGTACGTTGAACAGTCAGTATCTTGCGGTAGAAATATGTTGATTTGCGAATAGGGTGGATCAATTTATGTCACTTTCGTTGGCTGCGGAACCGAGGCGGAAAGGACTGTTCGAGCCGTTTTTCTGGTCACATTCCATGTCTACGCCGCATACGCTTTGTCATCCCCTTACGCCCCTGCTATTCGTGGATCCGTTGCCGACTGTGACACTTATTGATCGGGCGCAGATTTGGCGCGGCCGGTTAGAGAGTGGACCAACGAAGCTTAGTGTTGATGAGCTCCAGCGTCTCCGCGGACTTGATGTGGCGCTTACTCCGGCGTCTCGTAGAGCGGATGCCTCGTCCAGTAAAGATAAGCTGTTCAACATCGGCGACGTCGACATCCGGGAGACTGCTATTCCTGTTTATGATGGAGAGCTTCTCCTCGTCGCTCGCAGCGACCTAGACCCATTGTCCTCATCCCGACCTCCTTCCCGTGCGCCATCCAGACCTCCGAGTTCTGTAGTGGAGGGCAATTCCGACAAACCTATGACGCGTGCGCCTTCCATCCGTGTAAAGCCTGGATCGTCCCAGGGTCTCGAGCGGAAGAGCAGTGTTGCGCGTCGAAGCTCGTTGCCTTCTATATCTTCTCGACCGAATGCTATGGTGACAGAGGTGTCGTCAGAGCGGCCCATTCGCGTCATCGTGCAAGCTGGGACTTTGGACCGCCTGGTCAATGTCCTTGTGCATGGTCTTCAGGGCGTATCAGTAGCTGTGGCTGACGACAATGGCGAGACGTCTTTAAGGGACGGCAAAACCAGGGACCTTGTCGTTGATCGAGCTGAGTTTGCGCGGGTATGGTGGCATGTGTTCCGGAGCTTTGTGACGCCTATCGTCTTCTTTGAGGTATGATAGTCTCATTTCCGCGTTTGAGTTGACCTAATTCGTATATTCTATAGCTACTTCGTAAACGCTTTTTAGGCAGTCGACCCTCCAGCCAGCCCTCATCAACCAGTTCTCTCCACGTGATACAGTTTCGATCGGAAGTGCTGGAGGCGATCAAGGACTGGATAACGTCTGGAGGAGGAGCTCAGGACTGTCTCGATGATGTTCAGCTATTTGAAGCAGTGCGGTCTTTCCTGGAAAGTCCGTTAGATCGCGCTTCCTTAGATGCTTCGACCATGGATGGAAATGATGTCCGGCAAGCTTGGGACGCTCTTGACAGCGCTCGTCAAATGACCCTCGCGGCATTCACAGCGCAGACTCGACGACCTCCGTCCGCTTACTTGGCTAATGCCCGACCGTTGAACTCGACACCTCGAGTACGATCCTTTGGTAATCAATCACCAGACGTAGATGCAATCAGTGCCGATGAGCTTGTGGAGAACTTGAACGCTATGGGTTCTGCCGCACTTAGTAATATCAGCGAGGAGGTTAGTCATCCCTTGCTAACTTCTAATTATGGGTGCTCATTTTCCTTTCAGGACCTTTTCATTACCGCTGATCTGTTAGAGGTCCAAAGCGCAGATCGTACCGGCTGGTTTTCAACTCGGGAAGTGCCATCGACTGATGACATCGACATACAGTCCATGTATTCCCACATGACGGACGTTCAGCCATCTTCGCTGATATCCGAGCTTTCTCAGGATACTATCTATCGTCTCCTACCGCCTAGCATCCGCAGCTGTATTCGTGCCTTTAACATCCTTCGGAAATGGACGATTTCCAAGCTCGTCGCACCGAAACTGGGGATCCGAGTACGGCAGGCAAGAATGGACCTTTTCCTTCGAGCCATCGAGATCGCCCGTCTGAGGAGTATGAACGCTGGTTCTGCATCCCTCGGATGTGGGGACCGACCTTGTGTCCGGTCTTTCGTCGAAGCTGTTCTTAGCTCGGCCATTGTCAGTTCCGAAAGCCGTATGCATCATCGTCCATGGCAAAATCTTGCAAATATTCGGGGGGTTCAATGTGACAGCCTTGTAGGGCTTCTCTCGAGACCGGCTGTGCCCAAAAAGTCGTATGGAGATGTTCTTGCTATTGACGTTAGCTGGATTTTGGAGCGTATGCTCGAGTTGGTGAGCATACCGAATGTGGTCATGACGTCGGGCGAGAATGATCAGTGCATCATAAACTTGGACAAGCGCAGGTGAGGCTAGTTATGGGTTATGAGGTACGGTCTGCTGACAAGTTCATTAAGACACCTTTGCAATCTCATTTTAACTACCCCGTCGCTCGCAAAGAGGAGCCGTCCCCGCGAAGAGGTCGACCGTAAAGACTTCGAACGGTTGAACAATATCGAGAGAGAGATGAACTTGATTTCACTCGACCACCGAAGTATCAGAGACGAGGCCCAGCGGGAGGCCCTACAATCTCAAGGCAATGTTTCGGCGTCTGCCAAGAGGACCGTGCGCCCATTCCAGAGGCTAGTCGCGATGCAACAAGAGAAGTACAAGCGAGACAAGTATCTCCATGACCGTCTCAGCAAGGACAAAAAGCAGGAGCAATTGCGCAATGAGCGGAGAGATGATCAAATTAACAAGGCGATGCGGTCGCGAAAGCCGATGACTCAGGTTCAGAAGCAACACCGGATGAAGAAGAGCTACTCCTCAGCGTTTTTCCAACTGATGAGGCCTATCTCTAGTGCATTTACTGATAGCACGCACGCTACGGCATTGAAGCGATCGCCCGCTGAATTGGACTTCTCGCCCTCTGGTAAACCTTCTTTGGTTCTTTCGGTCGTTGACGCTCGAGTTGCCCAATTTATCAATAACGAGAGGTCGTTCACTTTCCAGCTGGACACCGAAGACGGCGGACATTATTTACTACAGGCTATTTCTAAACAAGAGATGGTACGATGGATCGAGCAAATCAATCGTGTTGCGAAACTTGCTGCTAAACGCCGCTTGACGTATCTTGGAAATTCACCAAAGCCGCAACTTGCAGACCATATCCATGACCATCCGTCAGCAACCACAGCTTCGCGGGATCCCAGAGCTGGTAAGGTATTCCATGTCCTCCATGTTGCTGTGTCTTATGCGTTTCTAGTCTTTGGAGTCGAACTTGAGTTCCTCCTCGAGCGCGAAGCTAATGGAGCGCAGCCCGAGATTGGCTCGATCCCGTCCGTCATGCTGACTTGCCTGTCAGAAGTCGAGTATCGTGGCCTTAGTGAAGTTGGCATCTGTATGTTCTGGCGTCGCTTGCTCTTGCAGAGGCTTAACGTTTTTTACAGATCGTGTTGCTGGAGCTACTTCTGAAGTCAACGCTCTCCGCGAAGCCTTCAACAGAGGTAGGTTTCCATTTGGAATGGGCCGCACGTGATTAACTGATGATTCACTAGGCGAATGTCCTATAACCCCCGATACTGATATTCATTCTGTGTGCGACTTGGTCAAGTCGTGGTTCAGGTTGCTCCCCGAGCCTGTCTTCCCATCATCGTCGTATTTCAATGTTATCGAGGCGATGAGTAAGGTCCATTCCGTCAATGATTTTTCGTCGAAACTGACGTTCTTCCAGAGCTCGAGAATCTTAACTCGCGGCTTGCTTGTATCCGGAGTGTTGTGCATGGACTTCCCCAGGCGAACTTTGATCTTTTAAAGAGGGTCACCGAACACCTCGATAGGTGAGTTTCTTGTTCACTCGTTTCTTGCGTCAAGCGTGCGATACTGATGCTACTCCAGAGTAACCGACTACGAGGAACACAACCAAATGGCAGCCGAGGCTCTGGCAATTGTTTTCAGCCCCAACCTTCTTCGCGCACCGCAGAATGACTTTGCCTTAATCTTGGCGAACATGGGACATACCCACAAACTTGTGAAAGCCCTGATCACCCATGTACGTGGTATGGCGCTGCTCATCGTTTATTTACTGATCTTTGTTGCAGTTCCATGTAATCTTTGATGACGAGCTTGAAGCCGACCACGATGTAGAAGAAGATGAAATGGAGGAGCCTATCCTCGAGGAGGACGAAGAAGAGGAGATAGATTCTCCAGCCGCGGGCGATGAGTCATAGACCATGGACGCTCATGTATTCAGTAACACCTAACCCCCCACCCCATCTACAACGGACTCATTGTTGTCGTCATAATCCTGTTGCATTCCGTTTTCTGGGTCACCTACGGCCGTTCGCGGATATCTATCATGGACATTGTACAGTAACACACATTCTCGCTGCTCATCCTGGCGTTCTTTTTGGCTTCATTCATTTTTACTTCATTACTCGTGCCTTTCCTGGTCTGCGCAAAATTACTGTAAAGCAGTCTAGATGCTCCCGTAGCACTGTCCTAATCTTCATCCCAGTTACTTGCTTGTTGAGGGACTTTGGGTCCTCCTGCGGGTTTGCTCATGATGATGCTGTCGACGCTGAGTACGGATACGGCGGCTTCTGTTGCGAGCTTGATCGCCCACTGTTTTGCGGCTAGTGGGTCGAGAATCTTGAAGTCAGTAGCCAGCAGAGTGCCATCTTCTTCAGCCTGGCGTATAATCGGTCAATCAAAGGGTAAATGATTCAGATCTGGTTAACATTACTTCGATATCAACGCCCCAGGCTTCGCCGCCCTTCTGTTCGTGCTTGGCCCACAACCGGCTGAGTACCTCGTTACCCTCAGCACCTCCCAGAGCGTTCTCAGCAAGCGTCCGGGGTATTACCTCCAGTGCTGTCGCATACCGTTTGACAGCATGTTGTGCCAGCCCCCTCATCCCACTCCCGTATGCCTCTACACGCTTGCCCAACTCCAGTTCCGTCGCACCGGCACCAGGAACTAGCCGTGGATCTTTTATGAGAGACTTGATGACATTCACACCATCATCAATCGCACGCTCGAGGTCATCAAGATGGTTAGCCGTTGCCCCCCTAAGCACGATCGTTGCCGTGCGCGTCTTCTCCGTGTGTCCTTGGTACCCTTCCTCGCCGGCAGCAAGCTGACGGAGCACTGTAACGCGGTCTCCGCCTATCTCTGTTGTCTCGAAGATGTCGACGTAGCCTGCTTCCTCTGGGGTGGGTGCGCCGACGCGGGCGAGGGGTGTAGCGTTAACGACACGAGCTACGCGGCGAAGGTCGAACTTGGAGAGGACTTTGAGGACGGCGATGTTGAAGCGATTGAGGTAGTGTAGGGCGAGGTCGCCAACGGATGAGCCTGCGATGATAACTTTTATGCCTGAGTCGGCAATTTCCTTGAACATCTGTATATTGAAAGACAATTAGTAGATGCAAAATTTAATGGGATGTAGAAAAACATACCTTTTCGAGTTGTAGTTCCTCGCCGCGGGTGAAGTTGAGCATTTCGTCCGCGCTTTTGAGGAGAACGGTGCCTTTTGTTTCGGTTTGGGCGACGTCGAGTGCACAAGTAAAGACGGCCACTTTCGCATTTGAGATTTTTTTGACGATACCTTTGGGGTGGGGTGTAAGTGAGTGCTGCATCGAGCATTGTGGTAGATTTACCTTCCGGTTCGCGACCGAAAACCATGCCTTGGACGACTTTGCTGCCTGAAAGACTGCCGCCCATGATCTTCACGACGCGGACGTTGTCGACGTTGAAATTCTTGGGATTTTTGGGCATGACGGCGAGTGCGGCTTCTGCGACCAATGATGAGAGTATGTCCTCGTAGCCGTACTGCTTGGATGCGATTGCGGGTTTGAGGGCTGTGATCAGGGACTCCTGCGTGAAAGGGGACGGTAGGCTAGATGTCGATAGATCTACGCTGCTTCATTAGAAAATGTAAAGGGGAGGAGGAAGGAACTCGCTTTCAAGTTCCGTGAGGGCTTTGGTGCATGCGAGTTCGTAGCCCTTGATGACTTCGCTAGGGTGGAGGCCCATCACAAGAAGGTTCTCCGATTTCTTGAGAAGTTCACCTGCAAGAATGATAACCATGTTAGTAGAGTCACCCATCTGGCATCAAGTTAACAAATGGATGGTGATGGGGTAGAGAAGGACGCACCTCGGACTCTTGAGCTTGCGAGGCCATGACAAGGAGCTTGGCAGCTGGGTGAACGACTTCGACCTCCCTGATGATGGTTGCGGCATCGGATGTAACGAACAACCGGCCCAGGTGATTTATTATGAGTTTATTCCGGCCTAAGAGGAATCAGGATAGACATGTCATAAGCGCAGGACACACGTACCATTGGGACCAAAGCTTGTCCGTACGAGATCTGATAGTTCTGAGACTGCTTGGATGTTTCGAAGGACGGCATCCTCAAGGCCCTGGGATACCTTGTATCCATCCTTGAAGAGCTGAATGTTGTTGGCCTTGGGTACTTTCAGCGACATGGTATCGATGAAGTCAGACGCGTCCTTCAAGTTTGCGCGTTAGATCTATCATATCCAGGACGTCTCCCACGGTCACGCGGCGATGCCTTCCAATCCACACATCAAGCGCTCATGCTTGAATTTTACTCTTAAAGGAGGCTGCGACTATTATGATACAAACTGCGAGCTTTAAGACACTATGAAAGGTCGGAAATCAACTGATCCCTCAGGCTGCCCTGGATACTCAATAGGTCGAGCACATCATTTAAGCACTCTGCATTGATGTTGGGGTGTGCAACCTCCCTTTTCAATTTTATTGCAGATTCGAGGAACCTGCGAATATGAGCATCGACTTGCATATATGCTGTCTTGGCAGTGACAGAGGTCCTGTAGTTGTAAAACAGATCTTGAACTAAGTGATATAGTCAGAAGGAATGTATTTAGTGACATAGAAATTCAGAACATACAGTCTCCTATGTTTTCTTGTTGAAGAAGCTTGTCCTTGTTCAGAGCAGAGATCTGCCCCCAAGCCACATTGCCAAGAGCTGATGCAGTCAGTAGGGTGGGTAGCAGGGAAGAGATAATGCTGTACCTTCAAAAACCTGATTGACAGTTTGCCATTTGGCCAGAACTTTTTTCTCTGCTAATCTTTCAGCCTGAATGCTCTGTATGTCAGCTTTCAGTAACTCTAACTCTCTTTGCAACTTCTAACCCAACTTGATTAGTTACAAGCTAATATCAAATCAATTTTAAAGGCTTACCTCTCTGCTGTTCACTTCAGAGTGATTTTTCACCATCATTGATTTTCTCCATGCCTTGGGTGTTACCTTGTCAATGTTGGATTCCGCTCCTTAGCCCCTATCCGGATATAGTAGAGTCTTCTGATATCCACCGAAATCGGTTCTAGAAATGTATCAGCAAATATGATGTATCAGCAGCTAATATTCTGAAGATCAGAGGTGAGCGGATCGGGCGAGGGGGCACTAGTAGATAGAAACAAATCTAACTTCAGTCTGGTATTGGGACTGAAGTGCTCGTGTGGTAAGTACAAAGTCTATAAGGTAAAAATGTTGCTATACTAATATGAGCGTAGCTGGGGATTGGGGTGAGACATTGCACACTAGCTCGACGTCACCTGTCCATTCCTCAATCGGTCGTGCTCGTACTACGTGGCTTCATCCAACGTCTCCATTACCACGGGATCCAACAAATATTACCTCGAATGTATCGTGTATTGGTGAATGTGATGTATCAACTACCTAGTATTGAATGTATCGGCTCTCTCGAATGTATTGTTCAAAGCTGTATGAGACAACTCAGCGTTAGGAACAAATGACTGAGGTATGATCTAAGCGCAGAACATGATATATGTAGTGAAGACGAAAAAGGAAATGTGATCAAGGATCACTAGTGACGTCGTTAACAACTTCCAACACACCCCCTTAACGACAAACTAGTGATAATCCAGAACGATGATGAATGAAGAGCGGACAAGGGAGAGTTTTCGTAAAGATATCTGCGATGTTACAATGTGTTGAGAGCCAGATGGGGAGAAAGGTGCCCTTCTCGATGTGATTGCGAATGAAATGATAGCAGAGATCTATGTGTTTTGTTCGAATATGATTTGCTGCTTCAGTTGAGAGTGCGATCGCCCCGGCGTTGTCTGCGAATATTTGTAGGGGAAGTGACAGAGGAATGGTGAGACAATGAAAGAATGATTGGAGCCACAAGCCATCTTGGATCGTCGCCGTTAACACCATGTATTCGGCTTCTGTGGATGATAGCGCTTGGGTTGCTTGTTTCTTCGCAGAGTGAGACACTGGCCCCCCGTTGTAGAACCACACGTATCCTGTGACTGAGACGCGGTCCTCCGGACATGATGCCCAGTCTGAATCTGAGAAGCTGTGTAAGTTTCGTTTGATGTTTTCACCCCATAGTGAACATCATGAGTCTGCAGAGTCCCCTTTAAGTAGTGTAGAGTTTGTTTTGCCACCGTGTAATGACGAGGTTCGGGATTCGCGTTGTGTTGTGCCAAGCACATGACAGTTAGCACGATGTCGGGCCTCGTATACATTGCAAGATACAGAAGTTAGCCTACTAATTTGCGATATTCAGTTTCAAGGTTTTCTACATGTGGGTACACATCTGTGGGATGACCGAAGGCAAACTTTGGATCCATTGGCAGGGAGACAGGGTTGCAATCAGTGAGTCCGTGTTCGTCGAGGAGGAAGGTGATATAGTCCAGCTGAAACATCCAGAGCTCGCCCGTTGCGCGATTGCATTCAAATTGAATGCCAAGGTATTTTGATACTGGCCCCAGATTGGTGATTCCGAACTGCTGTGCTTCTGATCGAGGAATGGACGATTGTTACTCCCCACCAGTCCATCGTCAATGTGCCATGCGATGACGCAAATAATCCTCACCCTGTGTCCATCGACGTGATTGAAGATGAACACAGCAAAATCCGCTGCGCACCGATCGAACCCTAAGCTCGCTAGCACCTCACGAAGAAGCTCGTACCAGTCGTAGGCTGCCTGCTTCAGACTGTAGAGAGAGGAGAGTAGGTGGCACACCAGCATCTTGAATGAGTCGTCGAGGCGTTTGAATCCTGGGGGTTGACGCATATATACGTCCTCTTGAAGTTTTCCCCAGAGGAAAGCTCTTTTGGCGTTGAATGCGTCGAGTTCCCAGTTATTGAGGGCTGCGTGGGCAGAGAGGACATGGATAGAAGCTGATTTGGCGACAGGTGCGAAGGTTTCGCCGAAGTCCACTCCTGGGATCTGTGAAAAACCTTGCGCCACTAATCGCGCTTTGTTGACGGCCCCACCCTTTTGATCCTCCTTATATTCAAGGACCCATCGACAACCGATCGCTTTTCATCCTTGAGGAAGTGGCACAAGTTCATAGACTGACATTTCTGACATCAGATTGATTTCTTTTCGCATTGCCGCCAGCCAGAGATCACGATCGGGTCGTTGGAGTGCCTTGTCGTACGTTGCAGGTGGAATCTTCAAGTCGTATCCGAGTGACAAGGGGTTGCGTCGTGAGTCGCTACGAATACTAATGCACACTAACTCGGTGATGATGAGGTTCACCAGGACCTGGGGAAAGCTGACCTCCTCCTCGTCTGGGACTATGCTGTCCTCGTCCGTCTCCAAAGGTACACCGTGAATCTTGGCCTGTTGTGCGTCGCGTTGACGTGCCAGTCACGCCTTGTCAGCACTTATCTGTTTGTGCAGCAAGCTGCCGCGTTTGGTGAGAGCGCGAGATCGACCTGATCTGCGAAGCGCTGGAGGTGAGTTGTGGACAGAGGATGAGGGATTTGAGAGGCGCGGATCCAGATTGTGGGATGGAGGAGTGTTGGACTGTGGGCTGTTTGGGAGTCGCGGATTCGAACTGTCTGCAGAGGGAGGATTGGGGGCATTTGAGAGTCGCAGATCCAAATTGTGGGTTGCAGGAGTGGTAGGTGTAGAGGTGTCATTGTCCTTGTCGTCACTATCTGTGAATGCACGACCTGCAAATGTCTCGTCAAAGATTACGTCCCTTGAGTTGAAAAAGGTGCCCATGACAGTGTCACGGCAGCGCCATCCTTTTACCCCAGGTGGATAACCTAGAAACACCGCTTCCCTGGAGTGAGGTCCCAGTTTCTCTTGCAGCTCAGGTGGGATGCGAGCAAAGCAACGCGCCCCGAAGACCCGTAAATGAGAGAAGTCGGGCTGCACCCCATGCAACATCTCATATGGTGTCTTGCCTGGGGGTAACGTGCACAACTCACTGCGATTAAATAGATAACCAGCAGTGAGTATGGCTTCGCCCCACAAGGTGCGAGGGAGTCCAGCGAAATTGAGCATGGCATACATGCGCCCTTCTAGCGTGCGTAAGACACGTTCAGCCTTGCTGTTTTGTTGGTGGGCATAGGGTGCTGATAGTTGCCGTTCGATACCAGCGTTGACGAGGTCCGCTGAGAATGCGGCACTGAGGAATTCCCTGCCATTGTCGGATCTGAAGATTTTGACTTTCTTGCCGGACATTGTTTCCCAGCGTGCCCGCACAATTCGCCAGGCCTCCAGAGCTTGATCTTTAGTCGCCAGGAGTTGAATGTCGACAATGTTTGTGTGATTGTTGATGAACACCACAAAGTAGCGCTTGCCATGTGGTGTTGTGACTGGCATAGGACCGCAGACATCTGAGTGGATTAGATCCAGGAATTGCTCCGAGTGCTTGTCGTTGGAGGGTTTGTACGGCTGTCTGGGATGTTTCCCGAGAATGCATGATTCGCATCTTGAGAGAGGTATTGAACGATCAATGACTACACCTTTCGCTATGCACTCTAGCCGTTTAACAGCATCACCTCCCACGTGTCCGATTCGCGCATGCCAGATGTCGAGGGTTGGTGTGACCCTTGCAAACACTGATATTTCGGATGGGGGCGCGATTAGAGGTGTTTCTGATGATGCGGGGGGGGGGGGGGAGAATGAACTCAAGGTCCATGAATACAAGCATGCCTGTCATGGGTACGTTGCCCAAGTGCGCACCGCAGGGTGGGAGAAATCGTAGAAGTCCGCTATAGTGATAGCGTACTGATCCTGCTGGGTGCGAGAATAGTAGTCGACCCAAGGGGATAGCTCTGAGAGCAGTTCCTCAAGTATGAGCGAGGGGAACAGTGAGTAGGGAAGTGATGTGCTGAAGACGGAACGGCTGCTTGCGGGAGAATGCGTAGAGGTACGAGGATGCGCGGGGATGCAGAGTATGTGGATGCGAAGTCTAGGGAGTACCAGGTATGCGAGACAGGGAAGGTACCAGGTATCAGGACAGGTAAACAGGTAAAATGGGTAAGGTACCAGGTATATGCAGGACGCGACAGGACTGTCTTGCGAGTGAACTCAACTGGATCTAGCAATAGCCAACTGTCGATGATAATGCGAGCGTTCGCGCAGGATGAGAAGGCAAATGGATGATTGCTCAAGCAAGGAAAGACAAGGTAAGACTAAGCTAGTGACTTCGCAACACACAACCAGAGAGGGAATGTAGGAAAAGAGGTGGATACGAGTCCGCAACGTAGTATATATCAGAGTCCATAAGAAACTGGAACTGAATAAGCGAACGCATATGTACGCGAAATCGGAGGGGATAATATGTAAGTAGCACTATGCGACCTTGTGCATGGGAACGGTACACAAATAGTCCTGCGAATGATCAGGATCCAGTAATAAGAGATAAGAACACACCAGTAGGAACTGACAGATACAGACAGGACATGGACGGACGGTATGTTGCGATGCGTAGAGTGCGCAAATTCTGCAACCTTGTGTGATGGTCCGCAACGGCCTGTGGAAGGTAGGCATGACTTCGTCCAGTAAGGGGAAATGGTGCCGTACGGGGCTGCAGCCAGGGTGTCTCCTACAGCGGTATACGAGCTCACAGTGACCTGGATCCCCTCGGAAAGAGATCTCCCAGCCTTGCTTTACCATCCAGCCGACTGATAGTAAGTTGACCATTGCACTTGGTGCATGGAGGCAATGTGTGAAGTGTGCGCAACAATGTGTTCCTCCAATTGTCACCCAAGCGACACACTCACCACGGCCTGATGTCTCGAGGTGACCATGGTTTGCTGTCCGGACCTTTACTGATTGTCTGTTGAAAAGGTCCAGAAGTATTCATGGTTTTTTATGAGGGTTATGGATGTCCCAGAGTCAAGAATCATTGATAGGAAGTGTTGCGCAATACAGGCGATTGCTTCTGGAGATGGCAGGGATTGGGATTCGTTAAGTTCGTGAATGGTTGCACATGACAGGTCGTGATCTGGGTAGTAGGACGAGGTGTTGGTAGCGGCAGCTACAGCTGTCATGACCATAGGTGCACGAGGCGCTGGAATGGAGACGGGTGGTGGTGGAGTGACTGCTGCAGCAGCAGTAACCACACCTTCCCGTTTCTTCTTTTGCCAAGGTGCTTGTCCCTCCATGCCTCCGCCCTTACCATAACAATGTGCGTGGTCGTGGTCACCTTTGTTGCATCCGGGTGTCATGCAGAAGACGCCCTCTGGATTGTGTCGATGTTTATGAAGCCCTGTGATGGTGTTCGTACTGTTTGTGCTCGACACGGCGGTGGTGTTCGCATACTCAGACCCCGGCTTACTGTTGAGGAGGTCTTCGTTGATTTGACGTGCTGCTTCAGCCGATATGCGTGAGATGCAGCTCTCGAACATGAGGGCTGATGCAGAGGTGCCGAAGAGCTCAGATCCCGAAGAGAAAAAATGTGAGTTGTGCCTTGAATTGGGGCCATAGTCCCGATTTTGGGAGTCCTCAAAGAAGTTGGAAGATAGTGTCCTCTTCAGGATAAGATGCACCCATTGTTACGACTTGGATAGTTCTTGCGTAACTAATCCAATAAAGGAGTTCACATGTTATGACGTTCGGTTCAGACGTCTGAGGGGCTCTCCCTCTAGATGAAGTTCGAGTATAGGCTAGTCTCTTTGTAAGAGCTAGATCAGAATCAAGTATCTTCCTCAGAAGACAATCAAGTATCAGATAGAACCAAGTAGATTCAAGTTAAAGAATACAAGTGTAGAAACCGCAGTATTTATAGTGAATAGGAAGGGCACGGACCAGGCCGATGTGGGTGAGGAAATAGAGATGCGAACTCCGGGGAGTCACAAGAATATCTACCTCAAGAGGCGAGCTAGTAGAATCGTCCCTTAGGGGATGCTACTGAGTCAATCTCACTAAATAATGAGAGGGATCAAGAGAAAGGCTCAAGTCGGAAAGTGCACGAAGGCGCGCGGGAACGCACGGGGCTGATGCGATGTACACGCGGGACGCGCAAGTCATGCGGAGGAGTCGGAACACGCGCGGTACGTGCGCGGTAGGAGAAGTGCGGCGGAAGGTGATAGGAACCCTCTTTGACTGAGGGATAAGACTTCACCAGACTAGGAGGAAGATAGACAAAATGCTGGAATGATATTAGCGCTCTAAGCACAACTAGACAGAAAACTGATAGAGAGTCCAAGTAAGGGAAAAGTAAGTAAGTCTGAAATCATCTGAGTCTTCTAGATATGTAGGTCGCTACGCGCGCTCTCAGGGTAATGAAATGTAAGGGAAGCGGATAGGCTGCGCGGAAGCGCGCAAGGAAGCGGATAAGTATGTAACACTATGTAAGAGACCCTGGATGTGGTCAGAGGCGGAGATGACAGTGAGAGTACGCACCAACGGTACCGGATATATAGGACAGGACATGGGAGGGTATACCGAACATAGCGCCAGGCTGCGGAAGGTCGCGGAATGTCGCGCGTGCTGTGGAGGATCGCGCGTGTCACGGAGGATCGCGCACGTAGCGCGCGTCTACATAGGGCTGCGCATATGTTGGGATAGGGATGAGGTCGATGTATAAATGGGGGGATACGAGCCTGTAGAGATATTACTCTCTACACCGACTATGGAAGTGATGGAGTCAGAAGGAACATAAGAGAACTAACTAGAATGTTCATGCAGTGCATGTTGATAAGCAGTCAGAAATAGCAAGAATAGACGGAAGTATCTAGAACGTTCATGCAGAGCATGTTGATAAGCAGTCAATGATAGCAAGAATAGATCATAGGAGCATGATGATGAGAAAAATGATGGGGCCGCTGTAACACCCATCCGCTGGAGGTGCTCGTGTAATGTAGCATCCTTCACGTGCAGTGAATGGATGCTCTGACAAATGATGTGCTAGGAGGAAATGCCAATATGCCTGTAGTGTTCCTCGAGGGATTTCCAAGCTGCACGTGCAGAGACTCAGTGACTGGTGGATACTAATTGTTGCACGGTAGGTGAGAGCCGGCGGGTGATGTGGGACTTTGCTTTAAGGTCATTCACAAGCCATTTTCTGATTTCCTTAGTCTCCTCCTCCGTCAGCGTTGCTGGGACAAGCGCGACTGGGATGTACGAGGGAATGCCTAGGACATCATCTGGGTCCGTTGATTCTGATATGTGGCACCAGAGATCTTCAGTCCCCAACAGATACCTGGTTTCTCGTTTCCATGTGAAATATGAGTCCGGACCTGTCAGTTCCGGGACGTGATCGTACTTCCCCATGTTGAAGGTAGTGACGTAGACAGTGATATATTATGGCGAGCAGTTATAATGCGAGGGAAGTCGTAGGCTTCGAGATTCAGTGACTCGTTTAAGAGTCAGGGCTCATAACCTGTTCAAAGCTGTACGAGACAACTCAGTGTTAGGAACAAACGACTGTTATATTAAATGTACCTGTATGAGACAACTAAAGAGATATAATGATGAGACTAGGCCGGCGGGCAATTAATGAGACCATACATACCTCAGCGTTAGGAACAAACAACTGAGGTATGATCTAAGCGCAGAACGTGATATATGTAGTGAAGACGAAAAAGGAAATGTGATCAAGGATCACTAGTGACGTCGTTAACAACTTCCAACATGTATCAATGGGAAATGGTGCATCTGACACTGTTCAGCGATGGTGAGTGAGTGCAGTTTTGTACCCGATTTTTTGCGGTGCTACAAGGATTGATATTATGATAAATGGCCTTTTACTTTCCTCACAAGCTCACTGATGACTGGGCCATGAATAGTAGTGCAGATCCTTGTGCTGCTCCAAGTGTGGGTGCTAAAATCCGTCTGCGAGCCTGTAGATTATGCGAGTTGATTGAATGGTGGGAAGTAAAGTTTAAAAAAAATGCGGACATTAATCATCCAATTGGATATTTGCGTCATGCTCAATCCAGTGGCATGGCAAATATGCTTTTTCTCCTCCTCGCTTGGGTATGGATGATCCGAATGACGATGCAACCAGGTCTTTAGATAGTCCGTCACTTCCTCAGGTAATTTACCTCTCAATCTCTTTTGCATTGCATCATCAGTGTCGAGTAAGCACCTCAAAAAAAAGATCACGCACGATCTGGAAGTGGGAGGTACATTGAGTTTTCAACCAAATATTGATTGCCAGTGAAATTCATGATGACATACACTTTGCTGGACATGAAAGTTGCGAATAAGGAGCCACTCCGCATCACCCATGTGATTGGAGTCAATGTCAGAGGATCGCGTGCTTGGCTTCGCACAGCCATAATTACAGGTAATCTGAAACCGTCGTTTGCATTCTCGGCTTCTGATTGTTAGACACTGGCAGGGCCGAAAAGACAATTATACTCACCAATCAGTTGAGCAACCAGCCTGCAGTTGAAGTGAATACATGGCAGACTCAACGCCAAGGTGATTCACAGCGCCGCAAAAACGACATTTGTAGTCAACGTTAGAGATTGATCTCGCCTCCTGTTCAACAATTACCCTCATGACAATGGTTGTGCCTGCTTCGATGCTTGACCATTCAAGACCCGTAAGTCGGGTCACTCGTGTGCCCTCGTCGATGCATAAATCGTACTGTCCTTTCTCTACATACCATCTTTGAATACGGGCTTCGGTCGAGTCGGGTTGAAAGAGAACTGGGAGCATCATATTGAGTTGCTAAAGACAATGTGATCAGTAAACTTCCCTAAGACGGGTTTGGGCTGGCGAGCGAGCGGACCTGAAACGAGGTGCAGAAGTTCACCGATATTGCATGATGGTGGCCTGTTGCATCCACCAGTGTCACACAGCCAAGTGCGATAGTTCCATTTAAATGTGATGCAAACGATCCCGCGGCAGACTGCTCGCGGACCAATATGTTTTGCATGGTCAGCAGCAGCTTCTGATGATCCTCCTGCTGCCTCCGTAGATTGACCAACTCTTCGTGTATGTCATGTTGACTTTGGATTTGGGACAACAACTAATCGCAGAGTAGTGAGTAAATGCAAACACTCAAGTGGATAAAACACAACCAAATAGTCTGCCAGATAACGGTCGATTTCAATAAAGCATCCAGCGATGGCCTGCGTGACAGATGTGGATGCGAGGCAGCGTTCATGCAACACCGTCACTCGGGCTGAGCTCTCTTCCAGCATCCTATATGCGACTCAATGTCTGATGAATTCAAACACACGTCAACAAGGTGAATACCTGACAAAGGAATCTCTCCGGGATCGTTCAACAGGATCCCGGGCAGGCGGGGCATTGCACAAATCGAGGCTTAGTCGATTGAGTCGTAATGTCAGGCTAACGAGGTCCGACTTGTTCTGACTGTGTCTCTGTGATGAACCTTGGAATCAAGAGATATCCTCATCTATAAAGCTCTCACGTCTATAGCTTGAAGGCTTGTCATTAATCCACCGATAGCCGCTTGCATGGGAGCGCCAACAAGTGGAATTGCACCCGCAATAGCCTGTACAAAGGGCAAAGCTACCTGAGCCATGTCCGAAGCTTCGCGGGCAAGGGATACACCCTTGGAGTGTCTGGCGAACGAAACATTGGTGGAGACTTCGAGATTGTCGGTGGTTGAAGAGTTGAGTTGTGTGCGTCTATTCTTTGTGAGGCGCTTCAAACGAATTGCGATGACCTTGCCCAAATCGTTGACCCGCTGAAAGCGCATAAGACGGCAAAGGAGATTGGTGATTGTCTTTCTTAGTCTGAGGTCTGGCAAGAGAAACTAAAGGACAGATCAGATGGAATATGAATATGTAGGAGAGCGAAAGAAGGCGGTCAAGGTACTTAGCTAAATTATGAACATGACTCGGCAGCTGTATAGAGCTGTGTAGTAGTAGCGCCGCACTATGTAGCTGTAGCCTGTGAACAACTTATATTCTAAGTCAGTACGAGGCACGAGCACGTGCTTAGAATGAGGTCTATGCCTGATGCGAATAAGCGAGTGCGAGTCAATTTTCTTCCTCGCGCTCACTGCTAAGCAAGTTTTTCTGGTCGTTGCTGCACAACTACCAGCCTGCTCAATTCAAAAACAATTCAATTGAAAAACCAAGAATATGGTTTTTTGATCCGTTTATCCGATTAGATCTACTACTAGTATGAACCGTCTTCTTTCTGACCCCAACGCAGAGATCTGTCCAGACTTTACGTCGGATGTTTACCAGGCGAGCCGTGCGCCGCTCGTGGCCTTGAATAATACCGATCAGCAGGCTGCTGAACTTCTGCGTACCGTGTGGACTGCAACCAATGCTGCCCAGCGAGTCCAGTGGCAAAATCAGGTTGCGGCAGATCAAGCGCTTTTAGCGGAGCAACAGCGTCTTGCAGACGAGGAAGCAGAACAGCAACTGCAGGCGAAGCGTCTGGCAGATGCTGCGGCAGACGAGGAAGAAAAGAAGAAAAACAGGCTCAAGCACATTCCCATTCCCATGCGTCCTCGGCCCTCCCGCGCCAATGAGAACCTTCTGGTCTCAGATTTTGCGCTGCGAAAGCTCGAGAAAGGACACTATGTCGAGATTTACTATTGGACAAACAAGGGTTTAGCCGACGCTCGTTTACAGTTCCGCGCCACTGACGACGAAGGGATGGTCCCCACCACTGCATCAGACGGCACGACCACGTGGATGCCAGCCAGTACCACTCGTCCCTCTGCGACAGTCATTCCTGATCACAATCTGAGTGCGCTGGATTTTGCGCAAGCCATTCCCCACCTAGTTGCATCCTTGACGGAACGGGGGTGGGACAATGAGCGGGTGCACATGTTAGCTGCCTTTTGGGGGGCGCTCATGTTGCACAGGTACTGGTGTTCAGACGACCCTCTCGATCAACGTGCCCTGCTGCTGTATCAGGAAGAGCAGCGTCGAGCCTGGCACCAGGCCATTCCGCTCCCGGGGGGGGCCTGGGACATTTCGATTATCGACGATGCTGAGATAACTCGCACGTTGGATCGGGTTTATCGAGACGAACGACGACGTAGGGACAACGAGTTTGACTATCAGGTTAGTCCTCGAGCTCGTCCTTTTTCCTTGTACACTCGCTGACTTAACTCTCCTCTTCTTTCTACTATTGCCTTGTGCCTCGTTTGACCCTTCTGCGTTCTGCGTTGGTTTGGTGTGTTGTGCGTGTTGCGTTTTGCGGTGTGCGTTGTGCGTTTTGCGGTATGCGTTGTGCGTGGTGTGTTATGTGTTGGTCGTGGTGCGATGCGCTGTTTTATTCTTTAGCGTGTGCATGGGCTGCGGTCTACAAATACTCACAGAGATCCCACTTCTGCCCAGAGCCAGCGTCCCAGACGTTCAGGACGTTCGCCGGGTCCCTCGCGTGGTGATCGGCGGCGTTCAGCGTCCCCTACCAGGGCCAATCGCTTTCACTCCTCTCGCGAAGTCCGTCCACCTTTGCAACAAGCGGGTTTTCAGGACGGCGTGCATGGACAACGGCCCCCAGCCGTGTGCGCCGTTTGCTTGGGGAGGCATACGCACAACTTTATCACCTGTGCCGCCGACCACCTCTGGGACAACTCCCACCCCACAGTCTCCACCAGAGTCAACAAAGCCCTCCTCCTTCGCTCCAACAACAAACCTCTATGCGTCGACTGGCAGCGACCTCGGGGGTGCAGCCAACGTTCTCACGACGAACGGCACCTCTGTGCAGGCTGCCTCTCTCCAGCCCACGGATCTCAGTACTGTCCTCGCGCGCAGAAGGTTGTGCCCGGTCACACCTTATAAGGCTTCTGCTTGGGAGTCTCTGCTTCGCGTTCATCGGCTTCTCGATCGGTATCTTGATGTTCCACGGGGACTACGCCAGGGTTTCAATCTTCAACTTCCGGTACTGGGACATACCCAGACCCCTTCTAATAGTCCTTCTCTGGTGCATCATCGTGTGGCTTTCAGCAGCATCTTGTCGCGAGAACTGGTCACTGAACGTTACCTTGGGCCGTTCACCCGTCTCGAGCTGGCCGATCTCTTGGGACCCTTTCAGTCATCGCCGCTATCCATCATTCCCAAGCCGGGGAAGCCGGGCAAATATCGAGTCATACAAAACTTTTCCTTCCCCGAAGTTCCCTCCACTATCAATCCCTATCCTTCCATCAATTCCGCCGTCGACTCAGACAATTTCCCATGTACTTGGGGGACTTTCGAAGCGGTCTGTACGATCATTCGAACTCTCCCGCCCGGTTCTCAGGCTGCGACAAGAGATGTTGCAGAGGCGTACAGAACTGTTCCTCTGCATCATTCGCAGTGGCCTGCTACAGTGGTGCGAGAGTCGGAGGATGCTTTCTACATGGATACCTGCACGGCATTTGGCCTGGGTCCTTCAGCAGGTGCATATGGTCGAGTGGCTGATGCTGGTCTGGATCTGCTGCGTGCACATGGTCTTGGGCCCGTCACCAAATGGGTTGACGACCATTTGTTTTTCAGGGTGCGGAAAGAGTATTTGGCTAGCTATAACGACTTACGTTCGTCCCTCCACACGCGGCTGGCTCTCACGGGTCAATTCCAGACTGGTGGGCGTCTGTGGTACCAGGGTGAAGTATTCGAGGATGGATCCTTTGACGAGTTTACGGAGGACTGCGGGTTTCCTTTACAGGATTTGTCGTCGTTTTCTGCCCGTGGTGAGAATGACTTTGCGTATGGTTTCGGCGACATCGACCACGTGTCCTCTCCCCTTGGGATTCCATGGGAACCAACAAAAGATGTCCCTTTTTCCTCGCGGGTGGTATATATTGGCTTGCTCTGGTGTCTCACAACACGCACCGTCCAGCTCGCTGAGGGGAAGAAGACAAAATACCTGGGTGCGATCGCAGACTGGCTGGCGGAGCCAACCCATCTCCTCCTCGATGTTCAGCGACTTCACGGGAAACTCCTCCATGCTTGCCTCGTCCTTCCTGCCGGACGAGCGTATCTCACCTCCCTCGAAGCTATGCTTAGCGTCTGTGGTTCACGTCCGTTCGTGCCACATCATGCCGTCCACCATCTCCATGACGACTTGCGTTGGTGGTCTCACCAGCTCGACAAACCCTTCGTTGGAAGGCAGATCCCACAACCATTCCCCATCATCGACGTCCCAGCTTTCTCCGATGCGAGTTCAACCGTCGGCATTGGAATTGTTGTCCATGGGCATTGGCTTGCCTGGCGTTTACGGCCTGGATGGCAGACTCTCGATGGGGCCAGGGACATTGGATGGGCGGAGGCCGTTGGATTTGAGCTCGTTGTCCACGCCCTCCTGCAGGCCAACACCACCCACTCCCAACACCATTTCCGTGTCTACTGCGACAACCGTGGGGTCGTCGATGGTTGGCATAACGGCCGGAGCCGCAACAGGGCCACGAACCTCGTCTTTAGGCGAATTCAGTCTCTCCTCGACTCGCGAACACACCACACCTCCTTCCACCTTGCTTATGTTCCCACCCATGAGAACCCCGCCGACGAGCCTTCTCGGGGAATCTTCCCCTCCCGACAGCTTTGGCTCCCCCCAATCGAGCTCCCAGGTGATCTGCCGAAGTTCCTCATCAGCACCTCCACCTGCATCGAGGTTGACTGATCATTTGCAGGTGTGGCTGACGGGGCGTGGACCATTCGTTCCTGCGATCCCCACTGTCGTGCCTTCCGTGCCACCTGGAGTCGCTCCCTCGCGTTTCACACGATCCCCGCGGAATGTTGCGCTGCCCATAGCAACTGGTCCTCCTCGCCCTTATCCAGTGGGTTTAACCCCACTCGTCTCCCCCCTTCGCCCTCATTGTCTGGCTCATGACCGTCTCAGGCTTTGGGTCCCCTCCACTGCACGTTCTCGCCTTGATCGTCTAGGTCTCCCCGTCCCTGTGTCAGATGACAATCTTGATCGCATTCTGGCTGTCGTCTCACATGCGCACGCGGCGGGGACGAGGGAGACTTATGGGTCGGGACTTCTCGTCTATCATGTCTTCTGTGATGAGCGGGGGATCACGGAGGATCAGAGGTGTCCTGCCCCTCCCCTTCTACTACTTGCTTTCATTTCCGCGTGTGCGGGAGTTTATGCTGGTACCACGCTGGAGAATTATTTCTATGCGGTCAGGGCCTGGCATTTAGTTCATGGGATGCCTTGGTCTGGCAATCAAGCTGAACACTCACTTGCACTGACCGGTGCAGCACGCCTGGCTCCACCCACCTCCAAACGTCCAAAACGTGCACCATTCACGATTCAACTCATCTCGGCCTTGCACTCGGTCATGGACCTCTCACAACCACTAGCAGCAGCTGTGTTTGCGTGCCTTACGACTTCGTTCTTCACTCTGGCTCGCACCGGCGAATTTACGGTCCCATCTCTCACTAGCTTCGACCCTCACGTTCACGTCAAGATTAGTGACATCCGTCGCAATGAAGATCGCAACGGCTTCAAAGTCGTGGTTTTTGGACTACCACGCACCAAAACCTCGCCGACGGGTGAGGACGTCTACTGGGCAGCACAGTCTGGTGTTGCTGACCCGCAGGCAGCCTTACAGAATCACCTAACGATCAACAACCCCCCTGTATCTGCGGCGCTTTTCAGTTGGCGCCATCGAGGGGGATTGTGGCCTCTCACTCGTTCGCAGTTTCTCAAGTGTTTGCAGACTGCAGGCGATCGTCTTGGGGTTGGCGTGCTCAAAGGGCATGGCATACGGATTGGTGGTACATTGGAATATCTCCTTCGTGGGGTGCCTTTCGACACTGTCAAGGTGATGGGACGCTGGAGTAGTGATGCGTTCATTCTCTACTTGCGTCAGCACGCTGTCGTGCTCGCTCCTTATCTGCAGGACACCCCAGTATTGGACCCCTTCATGCGATATGCGTTGCCCCCGCCACGTTAATACTTTGTGAGTCTTTGCCCATTCTCCTTCTGTTTGGGGGCCAAGCATGTGCTTGTTGCGTCGACTGGCTCCTAGTCACTTGGGATACACAGCTCATACTTGCCCATCTTTGTCTAGGTCCTTATTGTCTGTTTCAGCCGAAAACCCCTGCGGGTTTTTCCCCAAATACCTTCGTTGTCACTATGTTGGTTGTGATCGATTATCTCACGTTTTAGTTGGCTTGTCACAACAATTAATTCTTTTGGAATTTCTTGGCGCCCTCTCTTTGAGTTCAAGAGCATAGAACAGCCCATCATTCGAAGCACTTTGTTCCACCTGCAGTTAAGTACTATCCGGTTCGCGCCAGTTCGCGCATGAGTTAGTAATTATTCAGAGGGCCACTTGCATACAAGGATCAATCAAACTTAGCAATTTGGGGACAACAAGTACTGGAGTACAGTTATCAGACAGTGGCTGAGAGCAACTGCGAACAGGAAGCTTTTGATACTCCGCGAATCCGCAACCAAAAGCAGTACCCGGGAACGATATTCCCCTCATCCTTGAACTTCCTCAGAGCGAATGACAGCACTACTACTGTTTGCATAATTTATAGGTCTCGCGAAACCTCGCCATGGTACTCAAAGTCTTTGCAGCAACGGTCAATGCAGTGCTCCCATCCAAATACTATGTACACGCGTTCATTTCTATCCTTGTCATCGTAGTGGTTCGCGCATTTGCACAAGGGCGCACGACAAACCGTGAACGGGATATGCATGCCAGGGTAGTCCTCCTCACAGTACGTATGCTACCCCCACATGTACCCCCATTACTCACTTGATCAGGGAGGGTTCACTCCGTTAGGCCTAACGCTCATGCAAAACCTTGCTCAGCGAGGTGCACATATCATCGCACTCTCACCCAAGCCAATTCAAGACCCTGAAATAGAGATTCTCATAAACATCTTGCGATCGACCACCAAGAACGACCAAATATTCGCAGACGAATGCGATCTGACATCCGCTTCTTCTGTCCGTTCCTTCTGCTCCCGCTTCCTCACAGCAAAAGAGACCAGACTGGACGCTATCATATTTGCACACGAGTACAAACAGCTAGGTTCCATGATCGGTCGCCAGGATCCTGTTATACTAACTCAGGAGAGACAAAACGCCTCACTGGCATCATTCTTGATTCTCACCCTTCTCCTTCCCATACTCCTCGTCGCACCCACCGAACGCGACATACGAATCATCAATGTCGTCAATCCTTTCTACGCCGCCGCCGCACCCACTTACTCCCCAACGTCCAAGCTACCTCCATCATCTCCACTTTTCCACCAAGAAGGCTGGCGCTCCCTTCAAACGGTCATTTTCACCCGCCACCTCCAGCGTGTCCTCGACGCACTCCCGACAGGTGGGCAAATACCCAAGACAGACGACTCCACCATTCACGTCGTCAGCGACAAGTTGCAAAAGTCCAACATCGTCGCCATATCCGTGTGTCCCGGGCTCTCTAGATCAGATACCATCGCACCGCTATTAAATGCAGTTCGGGGACGGGATCAATCCACGTTCGGCATCGTTCTGTCAGAGTCTTCACTTGACTCGAATACCTAGATACTGACGATTCCTCAGGTATATGCTCCTTCAGCCCCTCCTCCGCCTTGTCTCAAAATCCACGACGAATGCTATACAATCCGTACTGCACGTTCTCTTTCTCCCAACGCCTTTCAAGAGCAATGCTCGCCAAGGCACAGATGCTCCAGAAGAAGTGCTCAAGGCAGGTGCACTCTATCGCGAGTGCGCCGTCGTTAACCTGCGGATACCGAGTCCTGCAACTGCAAATACTGCTGATGCGCAGGTGCCAGATGATGGGGAGTTGGGGGGCGTGCATCTTGGTCAGGCAGTGTGGGAGGGCCTCGAGAGCGCACTGAAGGAGTGGGAGAAAGTGAATCCGCAAGGCGATGAGAAGGCTGGGTGCGATGATGGGCCATCGGTTGATACACCGAGTAGTTAGAGGTGGGTGAGTCGCTTTGCTTGGTTGGTGACGATGGTGGTGATGGATCGATGTAGGCCATGGACTTATGTATGTTGGATTAGGAGGAATACCATTTTTCTTGGATACCATTACTCCATCACTATGAGATATCCTGCGTTTATGAATACTAAGCACTGCTGCAGCGTCACGCACCGCTACGCCTCGTATTTAATTTATACGACAATAATCTGTCGTGAGTTATGCACTGCGTTTGGTGGAGTGATGCATTCTGACTAATGCACAGACGGCAACTCGATCGCAGAGGGGAGCGTAATGGAGACATACTGGGACGGTTTCTAGCCAGTGCTCAGATTCATTAAATTTGGGCTGAAGGAAAAGCCAGGCCATGCTCGAATCCTGAGTCGCAGCGCAGCTAGAGCAACTTGCTGCTCCAACTCCGGAGGCGTGTATGCCGAACTGACCACATGAAGGATTTTGGGGGTGTGTTATTGTTTGCTCTGAAGCCATGTGCCGAGTCTCGAGCTGCATACGACTGACCGTAAAGAAAGCTTTGCTTGCCGACTGGAATAATCTAATATCTTATGATGGCGCTGCGATCCGCAAACCTAGCTTATTGGCAGTCTCATCTAGCGGCGTAATTTTGACCAACGGCCTTAACTCGGGCAAGCTGTACGTGTTTAAATCAACATTCCATTTACTTTCAAGCTTCAAGCACTACTGTATCACTTTTTTTAGTCTTGCGCATGCGTTCTTCAATATCGCATGTTACAAGACTTTGTCGATCTCAGGGAAAGCCCGAGAACCACGTATAATGATACCCAAAGTATGTCAATTTTTGCGGAGTAAGGCTAGATTAAAGAGTCAAGAGCAAAATGGGATCAACAACGGCCAACCCTACGATCCAGCGTTTTAAAGGTGCAGCAGAACGATAGAATGAGAAATGATGTTACCCTTGTATGCGCGCTATGAATAAAACTGATTCTCATTAATGTCGGTCGATGACAATGCGCTTCGTAAAGAAGATTTTATGTTGACAGAGTACTAGTGTTGAAGATGAGTAATGATTAAGTAAGAACGTTCATAGAGGATACTTGAAGACGTACGTGCATTAATATTGCGCGTCATAAAATATCATCCAGCAAGATCAGCGAGACGGAATGAGCGAGGAAATTAATCTCTCATGCCGCTGCTGCAACCAATGCTGCCGGTGGCTCAGTCAGAGAAAGATTCTCAAGAGCATCCTCGAACTGGTCTGCGTCGCTGTCATCATCATCATCATCATCATCATCATCATCATCATCATCATCATCCTCATCATGCTCTTCACTTTCCTCCGACGCAGACCCCTCGTCATCTGGAGATTCGTCTTCAAAATCAAGCTGTCGCTCATGTTGGTACATCTCACTGAAGAAGATCCACATAACGTACCGGATCATAGACAACTCTAATGATCAGACTACAACTTGGACAGGTCGCGATATCCTCGCAGTTGGTGAGCTGCTTGCGAGAGATCTCGAAGCGGTCACCGCAGGGGCAGGGGTAATGGTAGACGCCTTTTACCTCATCCCATGCCATATCTTCAATTTCGATCTCGTCGTAATAAGCCCCCATGAAGGGTTCGTTGCTAGATAGCTGGTCGAGACTCGACTTGGTGAAAGTAAGTATGACTTGTGTCTGTGGCACGTGCAAACTTCACAACACTTTTAAAGTGTTGACGTGTTGTTTGTAGAAATCACGTGACACCCCTGACTCAATAGACGGTCGGTCGAAGAATGTGTCTTCGTTGTGCTGGACCGTCAATTTGCTCGTGATCAGTCCTTCTCCGCTGACTCCCGAGCTCGGCGCGAATGATGGGTCTGCTGAATCTTAGTTGCATTAATGGCACAACGCTGACAGGTGAGACACAACCTTTCAAGTGCTCAAGAATCAAGATGATACCACAGTGTAAACCCCCGTACATTAAGTATCTTGTGAAGGCACTGGGGGTGGAGGTGGAGAGAACTTAGCCTAGTCCATAGGATAACAGTACCTGCTTGCGCCTCGACATCCACGAACGATTCAAAATGATTCAAATTTTCACCGTCTTATCTCGTAGGTATGTAATGCTTTGCAATTCAAATTCAAATTAGATCAGAGCCCGTCTATAAAGAAGGACATCCTTCTCTTCTGTCCAGGTACCCTCGGGAAGAACTCTTAATCTTGTGAGCGCCTAATTTCGGAATAAGAGGTCTACTTGACCAAGTCTGTTATCTGCGATGATTCTGCGTGTCGCTGCCTTTACTTGGGGATGGATTGGCCACGATGATGTGGGAAAGGTTTACGTTTGAAAACGAAAGAGATGGACCGACCACGGACGTCTCCCTTGGATAGATCGCAGGCGAATGCAGATAAAGCATGCATAACAATCACAATGGAAACGCGAATTTTACATTCTTGGCCGCCACGTATACTAACACAATCAATATTTGCACATTGCAGCAAATAATCCCGTCTTCTCCCGCGGTAGAATTCAGGGAACAGGCTCGGAGCAGAGTACTGAATGTGCAACAAACCTACAAAGATAATCATGCTTGTTGACTTGTTGATTTGGCCATCATCACATAACCACCCACGCGAGACCGTTCGAACTTATTCAACAGTCAAATATTGCAAATGCGACTATCAAATACTAAATCCGAAAGGTGCCGAAGTAGACCGTGAGATTTCAAACTCCATCAGAATCCCGTCTCGCACCGATCCGTGGCGGTTGGACCACCTCTACCCAGCTCTACCCGTGTCTGCGTGCTAAAGCTAAAGTATTCAATAGCGTGATACGTGCACGCACACCGCATGTGGTGGATACAATTGCCAGCGAGGCAGGTCTTCACATCGTTTAGATGTGAGCTCATCACGGTTACTGCGCTTCTCAAGATACACGCAATCCTTCGTATTCATCGAATAATTACAGGTCCGAACTCCTGTAGCCTCAGCGCTCAGCCTTGCGCTTGAGCTTCGGCTCTACGTTAATGTGGAGCTGGATGACATCATATGCTGCTTCGCCCCTACATTTTTGCCGAAATGACCCTTTGAAATTTGCTGGTCTTTTCCTTCCGCATGTCAAGGCGACGCCTCTGGCTAGCCATTGAGGCGGCTGGTGGCGGTGTTTCCGGGGCTCGCTGATAATGACATGTCGTGCTGCGTGCGGACTCCGATTTTGTTTGGAGTCACTAAAGTCTGAATCATTTCTTCTTCAGCACATTGATATTATTGAGGCCCAAGGAGTGTTGTACCAAATTGTGGGTGGGTCAACGAAGATAAACATATACCATCATCTTGTGACACCCAAACCGTCTGAGGCACGTCCGTCGATACACCAACATCGAACCTCCGAGCTCCTGCGTGGCCAGAATTCACACTGCTAGTAGCGCTGTCTCCTACGACAAAGCCTCCTACATTTGAGGTGAGCTTGTACAAATATTTCCCCGAGTGTCTCTTGGTGACACGTCGCATCTTAGATGTCTTTTTCCAGTTCTCCCTAATCCTGTTGCTATTTCACCCGATTTCGACATGAAAGGGCATCATTAAACCGCACGACCAAATGGTGAAATTTCGCGCCCCTACCCCGCCGCGGTCATTTCGATACTTGGAGGCGATATAATATTCATGCGAATCAGTGTGTATCCCATCAATTCAAACATCATGCTTCTCCTAAGAGGGCGTGGAATAGATAGAAGTCTGGAGTTTGAATTTCGCTGCTCCGGGAACATCCTACTGTATTCTACAAGTTTTTTAACATACGTGTCTGCCACCGGACGTTGCCCTCGAGACTGTCACTAGGTCAGAACCATTTGCCACTCGCAGATCACTCAGACTATTACCCCGCAGTTGAAAAAACACTGCGAAATAACTTGCAATAGGCCACTTTCATTCAAACCAACCAGTGAGTGCCCTGTTACAAAACTGCCGCGGTCGCCGTCACTGATTCCGGACCTCGCAGTTGTCGAATACGCAAATACTGCCGGAGATCTTGAGTTTTAAATCTGGGTGAAATACTACGTTGAGCCTACCATATCGGATCACAATACAGCGAAATTCAAGTTTCATACGCCAACATGAGACATAGACTTACGCGTAAATCACCATAGGTTGAAGGTTCTGCCAACAGTGCCGCAACCGAGCAAGCTCCAAGTTGATGGCAGTCTGTAAAATTTTCCCCTCCGAACCAGCCGATTCTCGCGATGACATTCCCATCCTCTGCTAAGTCCGCCAGCTCAAAAGCTCGGGTTATCATGGTACTAACTACTCATGTATCACCCATCTCGCAAAACCAGGTAGGCATACTTCCTCCCCGTGGTTCCTTCCCAAGCTGAGTCGCTGTCATGCAGCAGAATGGTCAAATTTTCCTCTCAGGCAAAATATATCTCTTCGATCTCAGTTTTGCCAGATGACCTCCTCCTCGTCATCTTTCAGGTCGTCGCAGACGATATTTATGGCGTCGATGAGCAGCTGCGCCTTGATTGCGTGGCACTCGCGAGTGTTTGTCGTGGATGGCGGTCACTTGTTCTCAGTACCTCTCGTTTCTGGATGCGCCTGCACATGATGACAAAGTTCGGCGCCCTTTCCAGGGAACATCTCGAAAGGAATGTGATGAGATCTGCGAATGCGCTAGTTGACGTTGTCATATATGTTGCAAAGCCTCCCGACCCATGGGGCCAAACTGGTTGGTCTCTGGTATTTGACGGAGCCAAGACGTGCCTCCAAGTGCTGCGGGAGTGCAGCCACAGATGGAGGAGCCTCAAAATCATCAATGAGAAGGACAATCATTCAGGCCTCTTCGACTTTGTGCTGTCAGAGCTGGGTCTCCCTCACGCACCAGTACTGAATGAGGTCGAGATCATCTGTCACAGCAGTGGTTGGATCACTTCGTTGCAGGAATCCTTCCAGTTTCTATCGACCACATACACCCCCTCGCTGAAGATGTTGAAATGGGAGGGATGCGACTCAAACATATTACCTGGGCACTTTGATGCATCATCCCTGACACATCTCAGTCTCAACTTCTTGCGTCAATTTAGCCACACTCCCGCTTCAAACAGCCTTGTCACATTCCGCAACTTCTTGTCATGTGCACGAAATCTCGTTTCCCTCGAGGTACATCGACGGGTCTTTTTGGTGGAGCACGCAAAAACGGACGGTGAAGTAGACCCTGTCATACTTCCTGCTCTCCGAACTCTCAGTGTCATTATGGGCACAGAGAAACCAGCCTATCTCAGTAGCATCCTTGAAACCATTGCCACCCCGAATCTACATCACCTCGCAGTCCACGGTGATTCGCTGGCATGGGAGGAAGATGGTCTTATCGATTTCTCCTCACCAGCATTCTTCCTCGGACAAGACGAGACGCCGAAATTCCCGTCTGTGTGCAAGCTGACGATGAAAAACATGCTCCAGTCGATCCATGGGCCGGGGAAGAACATGCGCTCTATCTTTACTGCGTTTCCTAATGTGACAGAAGTTGTGCTTGACCATGATGTTCGGGAGATCGCTGATCACCTCGTAATGGAATCATACGACGAGAAAGCGCCGCCACTATGGCCGTGCCTGCAGCATCTGATAATCGAGATGCCCCCTATGACGAAGTTCCACTACCTCCCACAGCTCTATGAGTGGCTGCGCCTTCGGCGCGGGTGTGGACTCTCCCTGCCCGCGGTGGTTATCCGCTACGGGCTCCAACGAGCCGGGGTGAAGGAGGACGCTAGAGATTTGATTGTCATGAGGAAAATTGTGAATGATGCAACGGGTTACCGCGCATCTGACACTAGGAAGGTGGTGAAGCAGCTTGGAAAGCTGGGTGCGTTGGTAGATCTGAGAGTTGAGTCATGGACTGAGTGAATCGTTTATTGATACAAACACATATGCCATCTTACTTTTAGTGAAAGCACTCGGCGTTGAGATACTATGTACAAGGCAACTTCAGGAATTCCGTCACTCGGCTGCATTGCGTGAGGAAAGTCCTTGGTCACAGCATAATTACCTACGTTCGAAAGGTAGTCTAGCTCTGGCCAAAGGCTCTACTACTATCGGCTACCACAACTTCGGACAACCACTGGTTCGGACACTTCGCAACACACACAATTCTGCCTCAATAAAATATTTTGCCTCACCACATATAATTGTACGCTTATTGTATAGTGTTACACAGTTGAATCATCGAAATTGGTGCAGAAATGACAGTCTCAGATAGTGGAGGTGTGACAGACCGACTTTGTCACCCGGCGAGTGACAGTCACACAACGTCAATGTGGTCAAGGCTGGGCTTGTAACATACAAGTAAGCGAAACTTGAAGATTTGAAAGTGTCAAGTGTTAATCGGGGCATAAAGGAGTAAGACTCCTTACAATATTAATACGCCAAGTACTAGTACTCTTTACAAAAGTCCCAGTCGTATAACAAAGCAGCCTAACATGATCCACGTCCGAGCAAATCCAACTTGCTCTATTTTCTATCACCAATTCATCAAAAGACCATTCCAGCGAGAAAAAATTCACTGGAGCAGAAGCCTCTCATGACACAATCTTGCCACAACAGCTCCATCTATAGGAATGTTCGTTCCCTGGAACCCTTCAGGATACGCCATCTCCGGGGTTCCAGGACTCGTAAAGTACCTGCAGTGATCTCAGACGAAAATGGCGCGACAAAATAGACCCAACTCACTCGTTATCCCAGAACCCGTAATGCACCATGCCAAGCGCACGAGTGGTGTACTCATAGTCTTGTGCAAAACCTCCAGGGAAGAAAAATTCCATTACCGTAGCTCGAGGCGACGGCCTCATCCAAACCAGCGACGTGAGTCCGTTGCCGTGGACACCCATCATGATCTGTGCAACGTCGTCGTCAGTCATACCAAAACAACATATAAGAACCAGCACAAACTGTGGTTCGTGCTGCGAGAGTGAACTGCTCGGCTCGGGAAAGCTTATCCATGCTAACAACGTTCACCTCGTACCCATACAGGTCACGAAGCTTATACAGTTCCTCCACAAGACGTTCATGGTCCTCCTGTATGAGCATACGTCGGCCCCACTCTTGACGTGATACGTACGTGATGACAGGCGTCTGTGCCATATCACCCACTACATTCGAGTCCAACCCGCAAACGCGGATGACGTTCGCACGAATGGTACTCCACCAATGCGCACTGCCAGGTAAAGCGGACGGCTCTGATGCCGTTCGCCCGGTGCTCAAGAAATGATGGCCATGCATGGCGGCAGCTCGGTCAGTAAAGATTACGCGGTCCAACATCATTGGACGGCCCATGGCTGCTCGGTCTTCCCAGTCATATATGTATTCTGCCGTCAAAGAGGGGAAGGCGCTGCGTAGGACCCATTGGTTCATCAGAGCATAGTCCCTCCAATGATCCGCATCAGCATGCGGAAAGAATATTCGGCGGAGAGCGGGAAGCGTAGATTTCCCCATCTCGTCTATGGAAGTGTCCAATGACGAATACGTCCGCCAGAACCCGAAAAAGAGTTCAGCCGACCAGTGATAATAGTGGGTGATGCTGGCATTGGAAATGAGCTCTAGTTTGTGACTAGCCCCTGAAACTTACAATTGAGGAGGATCATTGATGAGCCACTGAGGTATCATTCATTGAGCAGCTAGCAGATATTACGATGATTCTTATTACTCACTGTTACGCCATCAATCGACTCAGCACTGGAGCCGAATAATTTTTGAGCTTCATCAGTGGAAACGACTTGCATCTCGCGGTTCCCTGGTGTTCGTGTATTTACAGCCTCTTCGCCATTGCTGATTTCCACGGCGGTGGAAGTGATGGTAAGACGATCAGGAATACTCGATGGGAAATCCGTGACGACAAAAACGGTGCCGTTCAAAACAAAGAGGTTATCAAAAATAGTCCATCCTATAGAAGGCTAGTGAGCCTGGGACACAAAGCCGACGACGATAGTGAACATACCAGGAACATGAGATACTACACGAGTATTTGGTACACGCCCGTTTGACCACGTTATTCGGGCCCTCCGAGGCACAAGAGGTGCTGAAGGACGTGGAATGGACACGTCTGACCTATCGTCATTCCAGAATCTGACTCTGGTCGTATCATAGCCTGATCTTGAGAACCATAAGAGTGAAACGAATACGAGGATGAGTAGGACGGCCTCTCTTCGTGTTGGCGCCGACAGACTGTGCATGAGTATTGAGCGGGGCAGGAACAAGTTGAGCGCGCCCAAACCCCGAAAGGTAAAAATAATATAAGTTCTTCTTTCTTCTTTCAAATAGATGTAAAGCAACTTGGTTCTGCCCCACTAGCTTCTATAGGTGTGCCTATCTGCAGCGTGCCTATCAGAATGTCGCTATCGCTGTCATCGACGACAGTCCTTGGGAAACGCAAGGCCACTAGATATATTTTGCATATTTCTATGAGTCCACAACCCGAGCCATCGACTTCAACCGCAAATCTTGCCGTCTACGATACCCCAGAGCCTTCCTCACAGAAAAGGCGCCATCCTTGCACGTATTCTGGATGCACAAAATCCTACTCCAAAGCTTGTAGGCTAGAAGAGCACATACGATCTCATACGGGAGAGGTGACGTGGCCTGGTGTCGTTTTACGCCCACTGTTTGCTAATCAATTCGAACAGCGTCCCTACGTCTGCACCACTTGTCAAAAGTCTTATCTGCGCGAATCCCATCTTCAAGCACACGCAAAAAGCCATCTTCCCGAGTCAGAACGCCCTCATGTATGTACGGAATCAGCAATCTGCCAGAAACGATTCTGGACCCTCCAGCACCTCCAGGTACATGAAAATACGCACAGCGGGGCTAAATCATATGCTGTGTGTGGTCTCTTTACTATCTCAGTCATCGGCACCAATTTTGTCATCTCAGTGCTTGGTAGAGGGCTGCGATGAGGTGTTCGCCAAGCACCATCAGCTCCGCTCTCATACTTGCCAGGTACACGCACCCCCAGGCACGAAACCTTATATGTGCACACACCCAGGGTGCACCAAATCGTTCGATACGAATCAAAAGCTTAGAGGTCACATCAAGACTCATGACGGTTCGTACCATCTTCACGTCCATGCACGATGATTTATGATTCGTTCAGATAAACGTTACACGTGTGCACACCCAAACTGCTTACCTTCATCCAACACTGACCCTACATATTACCCAACATGGACGTCCCTCCAGACTCACATTCGCGAGGCACATCCTCCGACATGCATGCACCCTTCATGCAACGGACGACCCTTTGCTTCCCAACATAATTTACGCGCCCATCAGAAATTACATGAGCAACAAGAGTTAGAGGCTGTTCTCGCAGACGTAGAACCATCAGGTGCGACTGAATTTCCTCGCAAACGCAGACGCGGCGGAGAAGTGGGCAGAGACTGGAAATGCGACAAATGCGGGAAGGAATTCAAATCTGTATGATTGTCGGGGCATGATTCTTTCGATCAATTCTAACGCTACGCGCAGATAAAAGCCCTCACGACGCATAACAACGTGATTCATCTGGGCCACAGAAATCACGTCTGCCCGCATCAACACTGTTCCAGTGCCTTTGGCTATAAACATCTCCTCGAAAGGCACCTGGCCAAGATCCATAGCACGAGGAGTGATCAATCTCTTACAGATCCGTCCGAATCAGACGACGCCACAACCACGGATACGGACACTGACTGTCCCGACAATGATCCGGCAGACTCGGCGGTACACCTAAGCATTGACCGCATCACTGGACATGCTTACTCCCTCCGCAGTCGCATGCCAACATCAAAAACTATACGGTGTCCATACCCCAACGTCGAGGGTTTATTGCTATCACCTCCGGATACTCCGCTTTCCAGCTCTTCAGCGCATTGCGAGCACATTTTAACTCGCGCATATGATCTTCGCCGGCATTTGAAGGCCGAGCATGGACTCGTTGGGGACAAGAGTAAGGTAGACTCTTGGGTAAGATCGCATAGAGGGGTCAACTAGAGAGCGCTCTGAGACCTTGATATATTTCTCACGGGGAGACGCCCTGTCTACAGTATCAATGCCCAGCCTGCCCAGCTTCTGGGTGTTTCCATCTCGTACCCTTCTTGATGTGGGAAGGTGATGTGTGTTTTCTCTGGAGTCTGGGCAATAAAAGGGGATGGAGGGTAGGAATGGTGTATATGCTTGCAAAAAGAAGTGTTCGCTATGCATGTATTCCATCCCTATCCTAGCCGTATGGATTCCATGGGTCCATCCGCGTTTTCTACTATGTGGTATTACTATCGCCCAGGTTTGCTCCACCTAAACGTTAGCTGAAAGATGTATTCAGGTCTGCAGGTACTTCGACTGGTCACGAGTCTAGGCCTGCATGGGCAATACGAGAAATTTATCGTCAGGTTTGAGGAAGCCTTCTTCGAACTCGTGTAGTGTGACATGCTGTTCAGTGCAATCAGATATATTTCCTCGCACTAGAGAGCACTAGAGAGTCTGTACTCGAGCTCTGATCAGGAGGTGGTAGTTGCAAATGATTGATCAAATTGTAGGTACTGGGCTCCCGGCATGTGCGTTGCTTCTATGATGACCCGCCAGTTCTCACATCTATCCTCGATGAAATCGTATCTAGTGTCGATCTTTGAGATCATTAACGAGCCTCGGCAGCGATGTTTGTGTATATTTGGGTATTAGAGTACTTACCGTCTTCGGTTCCTATCTCTCCCTCAGTCGTTCCGCTCACGACTGAGGTGAGTACAATAGCTACTCACATAGAACGTTACTAACATACGCTATAGTTCGCGTTGTTAGGTATGGTAAATTAATACAGTCGTTCCGCTCACGACTGAGTTCGCGTTGTTAGGTTATGAGCCCTGAGGCCGCTCAAGTCTAGTAGGTAATCTACACTGAACGACCCTCCACGAACCTGCGATGGGCGTTGAGTCAGTGACGACCAATGTTCCCATCCTCTCCGAACATAACTACCCAACGTGGAAGATCCGGATCCGAGGAAAGTTGCAGCGGGAAAAGGTCTGGGGCACTGTATCTGGTGAAGACCCTGATCCATCAGCACCGCAGGCCAGCACGACGTCACCCGCTGCCCCCACCGCGTCTGCATCGACGAGTGCTACAACTCCATCTGCCACCTCCTCAGTCACGTCTGCCCCCTCCGACACTTGGAAGATTCGGAATGACAAGGCTCTCGGTATCATCATCGAATACGTCAGCAACGAGAAACTGGATCTCATCGCAGACCAGACTTCCGCCAAAGATGCATGGGAGAAACTTGAGAAAGTCCATCAAGGGACTAACCCGGGGCTAAACGCGTTTTTCACGCTCAAAAGCATGATGGGTCGGAAGTACATTGACACTTCGTCGATGGAGGAACACATTGCCACCTTCGCTGCCGACAACCGTAAACTCGTAGCAATGGGAAAAGCAATCGCCGACGAGATGCAAGCATTCCTCGTGCTGACGTCACTGCCACCTACGCCTATCTGGGAAACGTTCACAACATCACTGCTCCAATCACTCCCTGCCAGTTCGACACTCACTTTCGAAACCGTCTCCACTCGACTGCTTTCACAATCCTTACTCATGAAGGGGAGCTCGACACCTCCAGAATCTTCGTCTGCCCTCGTTGCTAATACCCATGCCGGTACGAGTGGAGCTCGTGACCAAGGCCAATACTGCGATTACCACGAGTCGCATGGCCACGCCACAAAAGACTGCAGAGATCTGAAGGATATGAAGAAGGAGCGTAAGAAGCGGAAGCGGAAACCGCGGGAGCGAGAGAAGACGAGCAAGACTAAGGCTAACAAGGCAGATACGGACACGGACACAGACACAGATGAATCAGACTCGGACACTGTCGAGACACAGACCAGGGGCGAGAAAGCACAACATACCCGTACAAAGCACCGTCGTAATAACGAGCGTGTTTATATAACGAAGACATTAATGAAACGTGCTCAATTGTATGTGCTGGCAGCGGGCATGAATAATGACACTCGTCGTTCCAAGGACATACTCATTGACTCCGGCTGCTCTCGCCACATGACACCGCACAGAACCTGGTTCATCGAGTCCACCTATCGAAAACTTCACAAACCTGTCCTTATCCACCTCGGTGATGACTCCACCATCAAAGCAGTGGGAGTAGGCTCTGTGCAATGCGTGCAACACCTCCAGGGTGAACGACGTCACCTGACCATCAAAGATGTGTTGTATGCCCCAGACCTCGCAGTCACGCTACTGTCAGTGCGACGACTGGCACGTCATCACTGTATCACATTCGATGGTCCAACATGTGAGATACGAGACAAAACGAGCAACCTAATTGTTGCAGAAGGCGAAGAGCACAGCAACCTGTACCGTCTCATTTCGGAACCTATCACAGCAATAGTTGACAACCACGAGTCGACTCACCTTGCAACCGACATCAATGTGCTACATCGCCGACTCGGTCACGTCGACCACGACAGCATCAAGCGCATGGTGGCGAAAGGATATTTGCAAGGTATTACATCAGTAACAGGCAAGGAAACCTTCTGCGAGAGCTGTGTCAAGGCAAAGATGAAAAAACTCCCATTCAAGCACCAAAAGGAAACTGCTGCAGCCCCGTTGGCCTTGATCCACTCAGACGTGGGCGGACCTATCACACCACAGTCACCTGAGGGTTTCCGATACTGGATCACATTCATCGACGACCACACACGCTACCCGTGGATATTCTTCATGAGGCACAAGAGTGAGGCCCTGACCAAATTCAAGGAGTGGCAAGCAGCAGTCGAACCTTTGCACAATGCCAAGCTGCAACAGGTCGAATTCTCCCACAACTGGGTCCGTATCTTCCGTACAGATAATGGAGGAGAGTATATCTCGCACGATTTTGAGACGCATCTTCGTTCCAGCGGGATTGTTCATCAGACAACTGCTCCCGACACTCCTGAACAGAATGGACTCGCAGAGAGAATGAATCAGACGCTTGCAAATCGTGCACTTGCAATGCTAATCGACTCTGGGCTGCCGAAAACTTATTGGTCCCACGCGTTTCGTACAGCATCGTATCTTATTGCACGCAGCCCTGCGTCAGGAATCAAGGGCCAAACACCTTTCGAGAAGCTCACTGGTCGAAAAGTTGATGTCTCAGGTCTACGTCCATTTGGTTGCAAAGCCTACTCATTAATACCAAAAGACCAGCGCTCGAAGCTCGACCCTCACGCCCGTCGATGCGTTTTGCTCGGTTACGAGTATGCCTCCAAGGCATACACCCTATTGGACATAGTGACCAGAAAACTGTTCAAATCCAGGCATGTAGTCTTCGACGAAAGCCCCGGAACGGCACCTGAACTGCAAGGTGACCCTATGGAGCCCATTGAGTGGGAGCAACCAGTACCTGGCGAAGGAGACGTGACGACGCACCCACAGTCCCTTCTATTGGACTCCGGATCGAATACCGGACAGGTGACGTCGTAAACGTCACGCTGAGACATTGCGAGCGCAGTTGGATGACGACGTTTGACGTCGGGCATCGCGCCGACGATACAAAGTGTCAAGGTCGTATGCTATCCATATATTTTTCATCACTATGCTACTTTACTTAAATTCACGACTCTATCCGTCCGAGCATCTCAGTCATTCTATACAGACTGAGATGTAAGCTTATGTTCCCCCCCTTACATTATACCAAGCGGCTAACTCGTTCCATAGAATCTATCTAGGTACTATACATTGTATTGAGTCATTCTATACAGACTGAGATAATCTATCTAGTTTTCCCGCTCTCTCGCGTCCCCGCTCGCCTCTGATCACCAGAGGTTATGAGCCCTGCCTCGACCATGGACTCCGCGCTCCCCAGCACCAATTCCGCACTATTCAACGTCCCCAAGCTAGCCGAGGATGGCAGCAATTGGATTACCTATAAGGAGAGAATGTTGACTGCGATTGCTGCCCGAGGTTTGATGCGTTATGTCGACGGTCGAGCAGTACAACCGACTCCGTTCAAAATCGATCCGAAGACGAGCGCCCTGTCGAAGCCAGACGGTTCGCCAGCTACGGAAGCGGAGGTGGACGAATTAGATAAGAAAACGGATGAGTACTTCCAGAAAGACTCACTCGTCAAGCAGCAGATGTTCAGTACGATCACTGATCGACTGTTACTGCGCGTGCAGAAGCTCGAGGGCTCTGCGAGAATCTGGAAGGAGATACGCGATATCCACGAAGGCAAAACTGAGCTGGTTCAGATTGACCTTCGTAGACGCCTACAAGAGGTCAGATGCGACGAGAATGGAGACGTTAAAGCTCACTTTAGCGAGCTACTCCGTCTACGAGAGTCCCTAGCGGGCATGGGGGCCGATATAGAAGACCGCGACTTCTACGCGATCACGCTCGGCTCGCTCCCAGAATCGTATCGACCCTTGCTATCCTCCATAAACGCTGCCGCGAAGATCGCGCAGAAGCCGTTATCGCCCTACGAATTAATGAATGTCGTTAGCGAAGAGTATGAGCATAGGCTCCTCACCGAAAGACGCCCCGCGAAGAAGGGCACTAACTCTGCCCTATCCGCCAATACCACCCAGAACAAAGGCCGCACTACCAGTTCATCCAACCCTGACGCCACGTGCTATAATTGTGAGCGAAAGGGACATTACAAGAGTGAGTGTTGGAGGCCAGGGGGTGGTAAAGAGGGACAGCGCCCCCCTCACCATAGAAGGAGGGGAGGACGGCCACAAAAGCAAGGTGCTAATGCGGCAACGGACAAGCCAGCAGCTGATAACTATGCCTTCGCGGCAACGTCAGACTTAGCTGGGATAGCGGAAGGACTAAACGTACCTCCAGATCGTCGTGGTGCGATAATGGACTCGGGAGCGACATCGCACTTCTGCCCCGATCGGGCGAAGTTTACGAACTACGTCCCCATCCCGCCCCAAGACGTTCACACTGCAGACGGCTCCAAGATTAGCGCAGTGGGAAGGGGAGACGTCACGATCGACTTACCACTGGGAGACAAGCGCAGTACCGTGACCTTGAAGAACG